GGTTGATGATTATTTTACGGTTATGGGCGTCCCTACCACGTGTTCGCTCAGCGCGGACGAACGGACGGACGGTCGGACGTTTTATTCTTTTCCAAGCTTTTGCAGATTCCTTTTCCAACACTCTAATCTCCCACTAGATCCCAAAATTGAAACTATCTCTCTATACAACGGAAAGCTCTATACAACGGAAAGCTCTATATAATAGAAAACTTTTCCTCGTCCCTTTCATTCCGTTAGAGAGAGAGTGACTGTATTTCAAACCCCGAAAGGGTTTTATCCAATTTCATTTAAACATTCTTTACAAAATTGAAAATAACGCTGAAAAACAGACCTTTTTTTGGAAAATAACTTCAATAACGAAGCTTCAATAACAAAAAATAGGAAAGAAACAAAAAATAATAAAGCGGATTAGTTAGACGCCACTTTTTTCTACTGGAAAACGAGTTTTATGTGACCGATTGACCGATTAGTCAAAAGATTTAGCTTTTGCAACTTTTGACATTGCTAACTGCTAAGCAGTTAACAGCTAACAGTTAAAGCTAAAACAGCCAAAGCTAGACAGCTAAAGCTAGACAGCTAACTGCTAACTGCTAATCTGCCAAATGCTAGCTGCTAACTGCTAACTGCTAACTGCTAACTGCTAACTGCTAACTGCCATCTGCTAACTGCTAACTGCTAACTGCTACCGCCAACTTCTAACTGGTAACTGCTAAAGCTAGCTGCTAACTGCTAACTGCTAACTGCTAACTCTAACTGCTAACTGCTAAATGCTAGTTGCTTGGCCAACTGCTAACTGCTAACCGCTAACCGCCAACTCCTAACTGCTAACTGCTAACTTGCTAACTTCCAATTGCTAACTGCTAACTGCTAGCTGCTAACTTCTTAACTGCTAACTGCTAACTGCCAACTGCCAACTGCTAACTGCTAACTGCTAACTGCTAAATGCTAGCTGCTAACTGCTAACTGCCAACCCAACTTCTAATTGCTAACTGCTAACTGGCTAACTGCTACACCACTAACTGCTAACTGCTAACTGCTAACTGCTAACTGCTAACTGGCTAACTGCTAACTGCTAACTGCTAACTGCTAACTGCTAACTGCTAACTTCTAACTGCTAAATGCTAGCCAAAACTATTTAGATAAAACAAAGCAAAATCTGAGTTTTTCTTTCTCTTGTAGACTGAATCTTCTGATGCTGTCACATAAAGCTAATATATTAAGTCAGCAAAAAGCAAACATCGTTTAGTTTAGTTTAGTCTTTCTTTTTCTTCATTTAGTTCTTTTCAAAAGTATTGCCCTTGGCTTATAGACGTTATTGACAAGCTTATAGACGTTGTAGACAAGCTTATAGGACGTTATAGACAAACTTATAGACGTTATAGACAAGCTTATAGACGTTATAGACAAGCTTATATACGCTATAGACGTTTTGGGAATGGGTCAACCATGGCGAGAAGATATTGGGGTTGAGCTTTTTTGAAGTGGTTTTTTGAAGCTCCATGCTTTTTGAAGTGATTTGGAATGAATCCAAGTTGGAATAGGCTTTTGCACAAGCTTTTGACACTTCACACAGAGTAATGCATTGAATTGTGGTCCGCAGATGAAGATGAACATGGGCATTGATCGGAGATGAAGATGGGCATTGATTGGAGAGGAAGATGGCCATTGATCGGAGAGGAAGATGGGCATTGATCGGAGATGAAGATGGTCATTGATCGGAGAGGAAGATGGGCATTGATCGGAGAGGAAGATGGGCATTGATCGGAGAGGAAGATGGACATTGATCGAGAGGAAGATGGCCCTTGATTGGAGATGAAGATGGTCAACATGAGTCAACATGAGCGACCATCTTGGGAATGGAGTGACGTGGGTTCACGATCAAGTACACTATTGATAATCACGATCACGTAGATCGTAGATCACTTTGTAGATCACCGTATGCTTTCTCCTTCTGTCTCTGACGATCAGAAGTGGTTCTCAATTCCTTTTCAGAAGTGGTTGCCAATTCCCAAATTCCAGAAGTGCAATAGTGGTTGATACAGGTTTTTTGGAAACGTTCAGTCGCTAAGAAATCGCTAAGAAATGTCGGATATCGTCCTTATGAAGTTGAATGATTGATTTGCGATGCACAGAAAGTCTTGTGGACCCAGGCACAGAGACCTGGGCCTGGGCCTGGTGGACCTGGTCCTGGGCCTGGTGGACCTGGTCCTGGGCCTGGTGGACCTGGGCCTGGGCCTGGTGGACCTGGGCCTGGGCCTGGGCCTTGAGGACCTGGACCCTGGACACCTAAAGTAAAGCTAAAACTTTCTGTTGCACGTCTTCTTTTGATTTCATTAACACTAGAAATCCCAATCTAAGCTAATTAAAAAAAGCTAATTCCAAAAAAGCTAATTCAAAAAGAAACCTCTGAAGTTATTTAAAAGAAACATTAATCATAATTATGACGAAATAACTAGCATCTAGAGATCAAAGGGGTGAAAGAGTATCAAAGGAGTGAAAGGAGTACTCCTTTGGTACGGGAAAAGCAAGGAGATTGACCCCCACTCTTCCAAGTGTAGGCCAACTGTCCCCACTCCTCCCGTTCTTTCAATCCACCCGTTCTTTCCATTCACCCATTCTCCTGTTCTTCTTTGACTCTTCTTTGACTATAAAATGTGTCCTCTTGACTTTTTTCCTCACTTTTTGTGTCTTTTCCCTTTTCCCTTTTTCCCTTCCCTTTCTCTCTTTTCCTCCACTTTTCCATTGCAATGTCCACTCTCGATCCTTCCCCCTTCAATCGGACTCGATTTTTCGTCCAATTCTCAGTTAACACAAAGCTTTTATTTATTTTATTGTTTTTTGCTTGTTTTTTGCTTGTTTTTGTTTATTTTATTGTTTTTTATTATTTAGAAAGTTGAAAGAAGGTACTAGAGGCTCGGGAGCTCTGGAGCTGGAACTCAGGAGCTGGAACTCAGGAGAACTTTGGAGCTGGAGCTCTGGAGCTCTGGAGCTCAGGAGCTGGAGCTACTGAGCCCCGGAACTCTGGAGGCTGGAACTCTGGAGAACTTTGGAGCTGGAGCTCTGGAGCTCTGGAGCTCAGGAGCTGGAGCTACTAGAGCTCCGGAGCTCTGGAGCTAACTCTGGAGCGCTGGAGCTCTGGTTTAGTCTATCTTAGCTCTCCCTACACTAATGGACAATGAAATATCATATTTGAAAAAATCATATTAAAAACGATCATCACTTTGACGCGCCTGTAACTCTCTTGTCTTTACCGTATTTCTTAATATTAATATTACCATTGTGTAGCCCTTGAAAAGAGCTTTCAGAAAATGTATAACACTAATAGTTTAAACTCAAAGACAATGGAGTTACAGACGCGCGAAAGGACGACAGTTTTTCAAATATGATATTTCATTGTCCAGTGCTGTACCTGGCTACCCGGTTGACGTACCCAACAGCCATCCAAAGCTGTGTTGGGTAATTGAACCGGAAAGTTGACAAGACTGGTCAGTGCGCCAGGCAGAACAAAGATTTAAGCCCAAATTGATTTAAGCCCCACTCTATGATTGCGAGATTGGACTAATTGGACTACTAATTACAAGTTTGTTTTGTTTTTGCAAATAGAACAACCTTTGTGCACATCTATTTACATCTATTTACATCGATTTACATTGCGGTTTATTTCCTCGGCTTTCACTGATCGTCAAAGCATTGTAAATCAACAGTAAAATAATGTTTTTCAATGTTTTTCTCTTCTTATGTATTCAATCTTTCTTATTTTTCGATTTATATCTTTCTAGAATCGATTTTTTAGATAAATCCATTTTTTTTCGCAGCAATGCCCCGTTATTTCTCGTTTAAAAGCGGCGATGCGCGCTTTTGGAAACGAAAAAATTCGGTGAGTTTTAAAAATCTGAATCTAAATGAAAGATTTTGAATACTAGATGACTGTTCTAGTTAGGCTTTAGTTCTCGAGTTTGAATCAGCGCCAGATCTAAGTCAGATCCCGGCCAGATCCCTGACAGGCTCAGGTCAGGAGGCTGGTTCGAGTTTGATTAGCTTCGTGGCCTTGATCAAAAGGCCATGAAGCTGGCGGCTGGCCGATCAATGGCGGCTGGCCGATCAATGGCGGCTGGCCGATCAATGGCGGCTGGCCGATCAATGGCGGCTGGCCGATCAATGGCGGCTGGCCGATCAATGGCGGCTGGCCGATCAATGGCGGCTGGCCGATCAATGGCGGCTGGCCGACTAGCTAGCCGACCGGCTAGCCGACTACCTTGCTAGGCCGGCTAGCCGATTAACTTGCTAGCCGGCTAGCCGATCAACTAGCTAAGCCGGCTGGCCGACTAACTTGCTAAGCCGGCTAGTCGATTAACTTGCTAGCCGGCTAGCCGATCAACTTGCTGGGCGGCTAGCTGATTAACTTGCTAAGCCGGCTGGCCGACTACTTGCTAAGCCGGCTAGCCGATCAACTAGCTAGGCGGCTAGCCGATCAACTTGCTAGGCGGCTGGCCGATCAACTAGCTAGGCCGGCTAGCCGATCAACTAGCTAGCCGGCTAGCCGATCAACTAGCTAGGCGGCTAGCCGATCAACTAGCTAGGAGGCTAGCCGATCAACTGGCTAGGCGGCTAGCCGATCAACTTACTAAGCCGGCTGGCCGATCAACTTACTAAGCCGGCTGGCCGTTTAACTTAATCGGCTACAAATATAATTCTTGTAGGAAGACGGAGACGAAACTCGGATCCAATCAATCAAAACCCGCACCCAACGAGCACCACTACGAGGAATTCGTGAACGCCGGAATTCAGGGGAAAGACACGAGTATCACTACGAGGTTTGGGGAGAGAAACTGTTTCACTGATGTTTCACCGATGTTTCACTCACTGATAAAATCTCCAAAATTGTTGTTTCACTGATTCTCCAAAATTGTTGTCCAGGAAATTCGTCCCCGTTCCTCATCACATGATCGCTATGCGACGATCGAATTCACGACGCGCGCCACGAGAAAGAGTGAACCGAGAAATTCGTGCATCATATTGCGATTGGTTGGTTTTCAGAATATAGATTTTTGGTTATTCAAATTGATTTTGAAAGTGATTGATTGATTTTGATTGATTGATTGATTCTGATTCAAATTGTTTAAAAGTAGGCAAATTTACGGAACAGGCTATGGCCTGGGTGCTTACATCTAGATCATCTAGACCTCTAGGCCAGACACTAGTGCTTACACAGCATCTAGATCAAAGAAAAATGATCGTTTCTAGATTTAGCCCGATGTGCTCTAGTTTTTGCAATTAGCACCTGTTTCTATTGCGCGCATTCATTCATTCAATCGATTCCTTCATTCAATCGATTCATTCTTTTAGCACAGAAAAGCTTTTTTTACTAAAGTTTTTTCTACTAAATCGCTGTCTTACTTTGATCTTATTTTCTTTAGAACGCGAGCCACCGAAAACGCCGCTTCGGACAGCCAGCTCGCAAAGTCTTCACTCCACTGTACTCAAACAACAGCATCGACAACACACGCATGTTAGAGGTAATAAACATGCGTAACAGTCGTTTGCAACAGTTATAACAGTTTGTAAAAGTTATAACAGTCACGTGCTCACTAACTGATGTCTTTAGATCATCAAAATGATGTCTTTTCAACGGTAAAAACTGCCCGATTGCCCGAAGAGTTCAGTACAACAGCGATTTATCAGGTTCATCCATTAAAATCATATAGTCTTTCAGTTAAGGCTTCTACAAACCTATTTTCAGAAAGGAAATCTTTTGGATGAAAAGGGGCTGACGAAGGGACGCGGAGTCCTTGTCTCGTCATTCCGAAGTCATCACTCGTCCGCCTCGACAAATGCCACAAAAACGAGGTGCAGTACACCACCAAACACTAGTTTGTGATTTTCATTAGAAGATTCATTAGGTTACTTTTGTGTTGCTGTAGGTAGAACAGAAGTAAGCATTGTAATCATGCCTCAGCCTAAGCCTGAACCTGAGCCTGGGCCTAAGCCCGAGCCTGGGCCTAGCCTAAGCCTAAGCCTGAGCCTGGGCCTAAGCCTAAGTCTGAGCCTAGCCTAAGCCTAAGCCTGAGCCTGAGCCTGAGCTTGAGCCTAAGCCTAAGCCTAAGCCTAAGCCTAAGCGTAAGCCCAAGCTTCAGCCTAAGCCTGAGCCTGAGCCTCAGCCTCAGCTTGAGCCTAAGCCTAAGCCTAAGCCTAAGCCTAAGCCTAAGCGTAAGCCTAAGCTTCAGCCTAAGCCTGAGCCTGAGCCTCCCAGCCTCAGCCTAGGCCTAAGCCTAAGCCTAAGCCTAAGCTTCAGCCTAAGCCTGAGCCTGAGCCTAAGCCCAAGCCTAAGCCTAAGCCTGAGCCTGAGCTTGAGCCTAAGCCTAAGCCTTAGCCTAAGCCTAAGCTTCAGCCTAAGCCAGAGCCTGAACCTGCAAGCAATCCATTGTAGCATCTGATATAAGGGTGTCATTTCTCTAAATCAAAATCAGATCAAGTTTAACAGTAGCACCACTTGAACTTCAGTTGGCTAGAAGCCAATTCAGTTGGCCAGAAGCTAGCTCAAATCCTGAACTGGAAAGATACTTTTCCTGCATTAGACCAAGTCACTCAACAGTAAAACTAGCCCCCAGAGTCAGACAAAGAGAAACCTAAGCCTAAGCCCAAGCCTAAGCCTAAGCCTAAGCCCTAAGCCTGAGCCTAAGCCTAAGCCCAAGCCCAAGCCTAAGCCAGAGCCTGACCTCTGACTGGTCAATTTTTGAGTACCAATGCTTGCTTCTGCTCTGACCGAGTACAAGAGGAATTAACTTTAAACCGATTTTCAATTCCACTTTTCTTTTCAGTTACGAAGAAGAGGAGCGCTATCGTTGCGAGCATTTGCTGACTCGAGCAAATGGAGGACCACCGCTGAAAGAAAGCGATTTTCACGGAGACACACCCGTTGTGCACTATCATTATGTGTAAGAATTGTTTTTTGTTATCGAATGCTATCTGTTATCGAAATCTGTTATCGAAATTTGCACAACTGTAACTTAGTCGTGTTTTCAGTGCCGGTTCTCTCGAGTGTTTTCACTCAATCAGTCGATCGAACTCAAAGAAACGCCGAAATGAGCGACATGGGGATTCGGGGAGGAAAAGAACGAAAGATAAAGGCGAAATGGAGAGGTTTGAATTGAAATTTGCATAAAAATAAGAAAATATTCGATGTTTTGAGGAAACCTGAGACAAGTACTGTAGCCTAGGACAAAGTACTGTAACCTGGGACAGGTACTGTAACCCGGGACAGGTATAGTACCCTGGGACAAGTACAGTACCCTGGGATAAGTACAGTACCCTGGGATAAGTACAGTACCCTGGGACAACTACAGTACCCTGGGACAAGTACAGTACCCTGGGACAGATACTGTACCCTGGGACAGATACTGTACCCGGGGACAGGTACAGTACCCTGGGACAGATACTGAACCCTGGGACAGATACTCTACCTCTGCGGGACAGATACTGAACCCTGGGACAGATACTCTACCCTGGGACAGGTACAGTACCCTCATCCAGGTACTTGTACCCTCATCCAGGTACTGTATCCTCAGCCAGGTACTGTATCCTCAGCCAGGTACTGTACCCTATCAATACTCTTGTGTAAGCCAAAGAGTACTGTACTTAGCTAGGGGATTTTACTTGTACTATAATAGCTACAGATACAGTAACGAGTACAGTTTAACAGTACAGTTCGATAATCTAACCTGGCAGGCACAGTAACACCTAGCAGTACGCAAGAGTACTATGAACAACCTTAAACGAGCACAGTACTGAACACAGACTGTCAACACTAAGGTACAGAGATCGATACTGAAAATTTGCATTTCAGATATATTGAATAGTTGCAATAAAGTCGGTGACATCCAGATTGATTCTTTAAATTCTTTTTTCAGATGGATTGAATCCCAGCACTCACAACAAGTCACCACTCATCGAAAACCGCCGCCAATCCCGGTTTTCGATGAAAAACCGCAAATTTCGACGATTGGAACGGAAAAATCGACAAAATCTACGGAAGATGGAGATCTCTATGAGGAATTGGGTGAGTTTTATAAAAGATAATCACTTTTTTACTTGGCTGGCTGGGCTCTTGGCAGGCTCTTGGGCTTTTTGAATCAGCAGTTGGTTTTGATCGTTCATAACTTTAGTTAGAGATCGTAATGTTCTTAATTATTCTAATCATTGAATAGCTGAGATTACAGGCTTTCGAATGATATCAAATTCAGCTTGATTGGATTAGGGAATCCTGAGAAAATAGAGGCTAAATAGGGAGAGCGCTGTGACCGACTCAAGCGTTTTTTTCTTGATTTTCTCAAGTTCGGATAATCCCATCAAAATCTTTTTAATATCATTCGAAAGCCTAAAATCTCCTCTATCTAATGATATAAAGAACTAAAGATAATATTGTTTCTAGGCAAAGTTATGCGCTGTCAAAGTTGGCAACTCAACAAAAATTTCCAGCTTGCCAAGCCAAGGTTGGCAACGGCGAAAGTTGAAGGAAAAATGGCCAAAACCCTCTATTTTTCTTCGTTTTTCATTAGTTTGTCTATAAAATTTCGTAATTTTCCCCATTTTCTTCCATTTTTTGCTTTTTTCAGAAAAAAAACCATTCTTTTGAGAAAAATGAGTCATTTTTCCTCTTTCACACACAGCTGCACATTCAAATTCTCATTAAAAACATTCAAAATCAAATTTTCTATCCCTTTTCAGCTATATTTTAAATCACTTACCAACTTTCTTCTTTCCCCCTTTTTTTTAACAAAAAAGAGGCTCTTTCTGGTGATAAGCGGCTTTCAAATGAAATTCCCCCAGATTTTCACTGATTTTCACTGATTTTCTGGAAGTTTTCTGCTTGAAATTGAACAAAATACGGTGAAATATCGATTTCCTATTGAAATTCTTGATTTTGTAAAAGTTTTCGCATCTTTCTGGCCTGACCGGGGTCGAACCAGCGACCATTTGCCTTCTGACGACTGACGACGACTCGCCTCTAAACCCACTGCACCATGGTGGCGTGGTGCAGTGGGTCACCGCTTGGTCGGCAATCGGCTGAGACGCGAAAGCTCGAGGGTTCGATCCCGTGTCGATCAATTTTCCGATTTTTTTTTCAGTTATTTCTTTTGGGAAATGTTCTCCTAGTCTGAAAATGTCTAGGAGTTGTTTTCAAGCATGAATTTGATCTGATTTTTGCTAAATCTAAGCTACTTGGAACCATATTGGAACCATATTGGAACCATATTGGAAACATATTGGAACCGTATTGGAACCATATTGGAAACATATGGAACCATATTGGAACCGTATCCGAACCATATTGGAACCATATTGGAAAGATATTGGAACCGTATCCGAACCATATTGGGACCATATTGGAACCATATTGGAACCATATTGGAACCGTATCCGAACCATATTGGAACCATATTGGAACCATATTGGAAACATATGGAACCATATTGGAACCGTATCCAAACCATATTGGAACCATATTGGAAACATATGGAACCATATTGGAACCGTATCCAAACCATATTGGAACCATATTGGAAACATATGGAACCATATTGGAACCGTATCCAAACCATATTGGAACCATATTGGAACCATATTGGAAACATATGGAACCATATTGGAACCGTATCCAAACCATATTGGAACCATATTGGAACCATGTTGGAACCGTATTGGAACCATATTGGAACCATATTGGAAACATATTGGAACCGTATTGGAACCATAGTGGAACCATATTGGAACCATATTGGAAACATATTGGAACCGCATTGGAACCGTATTGGAACCATAGTGGAACCATATTGGAACCATATTGGAAACATATTGGAACCGCATTGGAACCATATTGGAAACATATGGAACCATATTGGAACCGTATCCGAACCATATTGGAACCATATTGGAACCATATTGGAAACATATTGGTACCGTATCCGAACCACATTGGAACCACATTGGAACCATATTGGAATCCGAAAAAACCCTCTTTTTTTACTATAAACCTATTTTTTTTGTTAAAAACTCGTAAAATCACCGGAAATTAGGTGAAAATGACCAAAATTCCATCATAAACACAAGATTTGAGTTGTAAATGACTTGAAAAGTGTGATTTTCTGACGGAAAAATGAGTCATCACAGCCTGCCAGCCTCTCCAAAAGCTTTGATAAGCCCCGAAAAGCAACAAATTTTTCTTTTCCAACGCCAAATTTCTTTTCCAATGCTAAATTTCTTTCAACGTTTTCAAATTTCGTTCACAAAATCCCTCTTTTTTTACTCTTTTTCTCCCTTTTTCCTCCCCTTTCCTCTCCTTTCCTCCCCTTTTTGCCTTTTTCTTACCACTTCCAACTGATTTCTCCAAGTCTAATCACCATTCCGTCGATCCACGCCCAAAAAAAGTCCACAAAACAATCGATTTGCTACTTCAGAATACATTTTTGACTCTGTTTTCTCTGAGATTCTGTTTCTTTCTTTTTTTGGGGTTTCCTTTCTTGGTTTTCCTTTCTTTTAAGCCCTTCTTTTAGCCCTAAATCTTTTAGAATAATGCTAGAATACATCGTTTTCTTTATTTATCTATAGGTTTTAGGGGAGTGGGACAAATGCGACCTTTTTTTTTTGCGCACCCGGACATTTGCGAACCTTTTTTTCTACACTTAACCCATTATCGCACCTTTTTTCGCGTTTTAAAAAAGCAAAAAGCTCTAAAAGCTAATATTAACCATTTTCTATTCCAAAAGTTGTTTTTCTAGGTAATTTTAGGGCGTAGAATCGAGATTTTGGCATTTCAGAGCTTGTGGAAGCGAACGGACGGAGTCATACAAAGAGAAAAATGAACAATTTTCTGTAATTTGACCTAGTCTTTCAAATTGATTAATATTAGCTTATGTTATGTCATATACACGCTCTGTTATGTCAAAATTTCGATTCTACGCCCTAAAATTACCTAGAAAAACAAGTTTTGGAATAGAAATTGGTTAACATTAGCTTTTAGAGCTTTTTAAAACGCGAAAAAAGGTGCGCTAATGGGCTAAGTGTAGAAAAAAGGTGCGAAAATGTCCGGATGCGCAAAAAAAGGTCGCATTTGTCCCACTCCCATTTTGAGTCAAACCAAATGACAGATAGCCCCCCCCAAAAAGAAGTTTTATGGAGAATGGGTGGAGATATCGAGCTATTTTTGCGACAATCGTAATGGACGATGGGTTCCAAATGAATTGAACATCGAGAATCTGAAAGCACGCGTTTCGATCAGCCAGATCTCAAGTCGAAAAGAAGCCACGAAAGAAGCTCAAGTCAAAAAGAAGCTAGAAAAGAAGCCATTCTTTTGAATATCTTGGCGATAGACAAGAATTGGATTTGCTTTGCTACACTGCTACACTTTGCTACACTTCTCGAAAAAGGCAATGGCTCAGCAAGGTCAAATGCCCAATTCCAACTCCAAAGCCGGATTTTCATGGGCAGAAAGTGATGTTGTCTTGCTTGAAATATCAACGGACGATATTATCAACGATATTGTTTATTTCGAATTATTAGAGCCCGGAAAAACAGTTGAATCAAAGTGCTGAATCACCTTTTTTTATTCAACAGCTCAAGAAGTTTGATGAAATTTTGCGTGAAAAGAGTTTAAATCTCTCGACTTTTAATTTTCTCCGTAACACAGCACACAGCGAAAGCTTCGTATATGGAAGAGTTGGTTTGTCCGATTCCGAGAAGGTATTGAATCTCTTGAGGACGAGCCACATGAGCATCACTTGGCAGCGATCGATGGTATTGAATCTCTTGAGGACGAGCCACATGAGCATCACTTGGCAGCGATCGATGGTATTGAATCTCTTGAGGACGAGCCACATGAGCATCACTCGGCAGCGATCGATGGTATTGAATCTCTTGAGGACGAGCCACATGAGCATCACTCGGCAGCGATTGATGGTATTGAATCTCTTGAGGACGAGCCACATGAGCATCACTCGGCAGCGATTGATGGTATTGAATCTCTTGAGGACGAGCCACATGAGCATCACTCGGCAGCGATTGATGGTATTGAATCTCTTGAGGACGAGCCACATGAGCATCACTTGGCAGCGATCGATGGGCCATATAGTCCGCATGGGCCAGATAGTTCACTTATCACTATCTGATTTTCACTTCTTCAGACGATGCAACGTTTCCTTGCGAATTGCGAGTTTCAAAATGCGCAAAAGGTCGAGTTTTGGCTGACCGACTCTCTTCAATCACAGAATCAAGAGCTCTTCGATAAGGGAGTCAAAGCAATGTTGGAGAGATGTTATAGATAACGATGAGGCTTTTGTTTATTCTGCAATTTATTCTGCTGTTTAGAATAAATTGTTACCTAAATGACTCTTGATTTAATTTAATGTTTGTAAATAATCAAAGCTTCTTTTGCATCAACCTAGTAACTAGTTTTAGAAGTTCAATTCAAAGCTCAACCTCAATTTTTCATCATTTATCTGAATACTTTCTAGAAATAATGTCATGTTTTGTTTTGTCATGGAAACAGTAATGTTACGGAGTGAATTTCTGGAGTACTCTTTGACTAAACTATACTTTGCCTATTATAGAGTGAATTCCTGGATTCTCGATTCCTTTTTGACTAAACTAAACCTTGTCAAACTGTCAACTCAAAATGTTATAGTCGGGCAGCTATTGCTACAATGTCCACGTGCTTTTCTTTCTTTAACATCACCCTTAAATTCAATCTAACTAATTTCTGTTTGAAGTGCATTAACTCATTTGTTTTTTCTTTTCAGATAGCATGTCTTGGCGTGATTACCCGGGCACCCCACAACCAAACAACAGTCAATCAATTCAAAGAACCGCGATCACCTCGGTCACCCCGTCATTCACCTCTCCTTCTCCATTCCATTTATCCACTCCACCGTCGATTCCGCAACGAAGCTCGTCACTCTTTTCTGGCAATGGATTGACTCATTTCTCTTCATCAAGAGTCTCGATTCAGGAACGAGAGGAGAGAAGGAGGTGCGGTTTAAATTTTGAATAACATATAGTACCGTCAAATCCGATCTAACAGGTCTAGCCAGTCTAGCCAGTCTAGCCAGTCTAGTCTAGCCAGTCTAGCCAGTCTAGTCTAGCCAGTCTAGCCAGTCTAGTCTAGCCAGTCTAGCCAGTCTAGTCTAGCCAGTCTAGCCAGTCTAGTCTAGCCAGTCTAGCCAGTCTAGTCTAGCCAGTCTAGCCAGTCTAGTCTAGCCAGTCTAGCCAGTCTAATCTAGCCAGTCTAGCCAATCTAATCTAGCCAGTCTAGCCAGTCTAATCTAGCCAGTCTAATCTAGCCAGTCTAGCCAGTCTAGCCAGTCTAGTCTAGCCAGTCTAGCCAGTCTAGTCTAGCCAGTCTAGCCAGTCTAGTCTAGCCAGTCTAGCCAGTCTAATCTAGCCAGTCTAATCTAGCCAGTCTAGCCAGTCTAGTCTAGCCAGTCTAGCCAATCTAGTCTAGCCAGTCTAGTCTAGCCAGTCTAGCCAGTCTAATCTAGCCAGTCTAATCTAGCCAGTCTAGCCAGTCTAGTCTAGCCAGTCTAGCCAGTCTAGCCAATCTAGTCTAGCCAGTCTAGCCAATCTAATCTAGCCAGTCTAGCCAGTCTAATCTAGCCAGTCTAGCCAGTCTAGCCAGTCTAGTCTAGCCAGTCTAGCCAGTCTAATCTAGCCAGTCTAATCTAGCCAGTCTAGCCAGTCTAGCCAGTCTAGTCTAGCCAGTCTAGCCAGTCTAGTCTAGCCAGTCTAGCCAGTCTAGTCTAGCCAGTCTAGTCTATCTAGGTCAAGGTCAAACCATCTTATTTGGCTAGGCCATGTCCTAGTTTTACTCTGAAACTGATCTGACCGATCTGACCCGACTTATACAGCTCAAGCAAGGGATTGGAACACTCCTGCTAAGCAAGCCTGATCTAGCTAGAGCTTGTAAGCCTGGTCACGTTTCCGGATCAGCTTTGTCATTGAGCAGACAGACAGACAGACCAAAAAAGACACCAAAAGAGTCATTAGTGTCAAAAGGAGTCATTAGATTGGTCTAGTATTAGACTAGATTATTAGACTAGATTATTAGACTAGATTATTAGATTAGATTATTAGACTAGATGATTAGATTAGACTAAAATAACCATTTGAATAGGTAGATATCTTTGTTTTGTTTTGTTTGAGCCCTTAAAGATAAGAAAAAGATATTTCCATTTTACTGAGTACACTTTAGAATAAAATCTGATAAGAGCTTTGGTGCTAAAGTTTAAATCTAACATTGTTCAATGTATGTTTCAATGAAATTCATTCATTCACCCAATTTTCATTCACCATTCACTCACCATTCATCCACCATTCATCCACCATTCAATCACCATTCACTCACCATTCACTCACCATTCATCCACCATTCAATCACCACTCACTCATCCAATTCTCAGATTTCTTCATTCACCCACTTCTCCACTCCGTGCCTATGATGACATTCGTCAGATGAGCGGTGGAATCGATGCACAACAGCGGCTCTCGTCCTACTCATTGCACTCGATTGCAGGTGTGAAAATTTATGTTACAAATGACAGATTTACCAAGAAGAACAAGGAGTAGATGTTGAATGATATAAATGTATGGTTTTGAATGTGATGATAACTCAAGTTTGAAGCCGTGGAAACTGTAGAAAAAATCACCAGGCGACTGTAGCTCTTTGCGGGACTGTAGCTCTTTGCGGAACTGTAGATCTTTGCGAGACTGTAGATCTTTGCTGGACTGTAGATCTTTACGGGACTGCAGCTCTGCGAGACTGTAGATCTTTGTGGGACTGTAGCTCTTTGTGGGACTGTAGATCTTTGCGAGACTGTAGATCTTTGCGGGACTGCAGCTCTTTGCGAGACTGTAGCTCTTTGTGGGACTGTAGAACTTTGCGAGACTGTAGATCTTTGCGAGACTGTAGATCTTTGCGAGACTGCAGCTGTAGCTCTCAAAAGTGGCTCTGTAGCTCTCTCTCCCGAATAGAAAACTTTATAACTATTGTTTTGCTTGATTCATTTATACAATTTATGCAAATCGTTCAGCGCCTCCGTTTTCTTTAATCCATTTAAGGACAAGGTTTTTTTATGTAAATGCCGAAAGAATTCGATCTTCTCTTCGTGTACTGTTCAAAGCCTTCGAGCGTGTACTGTTCAAAGCCTTTGAGCCTTCTAGCAAAGCAAATCTCAATTTGAAGTCGAATCTCAATCTGCTAGGAATTAAGTGTTTGCAAAACACTTAATTTTCTTTTTCTTTTCTTCAGTTTTTCTTCTTTTCTTTAATTTTTCTTCTTTTCCATTCTTAATCCATTTTTGGCCAAAGTATCAGATAACAAAGCCTTAAAAAAGTCTTTTTCAAGCCTTTTTAAGCCTTTTTCTTTTCTTGCCAAAAGCAAATCAAACACAAATCTTTCGCAGAGATTTTTTTGTTACCTTTTTTCTTTTAAAATCTCTTTCCCAGAAAATGACTGTTCATTTTTTGGAGAATTTGCTTTGCTCTACTGCTTTGTTTTGCTCAAAATCCTTCCCATTCCTTCCCATTCCCTTCCATTCCTTTCCATTCCCTTCCATTCTTTTCCATTCCTTTCCATTCCTTCCCATTCCCTTCCATTCCTTTCCATTCCCTTCCATTCCTTTCCATTCCTTTCCATTCCTTCCCATTCCCTTCCATTCCTTTCCATTCCCTTCCATTCCTTTCCATTCCCTTCCATTCCTTTCCATTCCTTTCCATTCCTTCCCATTCCCTTCCATTCCTTTCCATTCCCTTCCATTCCTTTCCATTCCCTTCCATTCCTTCCCATTCCCTTCCATTCCTTTCCATTCCCTTCCATTCCTTTCCATTCCTTTCCATTCCTTCCCATTCCCTTCCATTCCTTTCCATTCCCTTCCATTCCTTTCCATTCCCTTCCATTCCTTTCCATTCCCTTCCATTCCTTTCCATTCCTTTCCATTCCTTCCCATTCCCTTCCATTCCTTTCCATTCCCTTCCATTCCTTTCCATTCCTTTCCATTCCTTTCCATTCCCTTCCATTCCTTTCCATTCCTTTCCATTCCCTTCCATTCCCTTCCATTCCTTTCCATTCCTTTCCATTCCTTTCCATTCCTTTCCATTCCCTTCCATTCCTTTCCATTCCTTTCCATTCCTTTCCATTCCCTTCCATTCCCTTCCATTCCTTTCCATTCCTTTCCATTCCCTTCCATTCCCTTCCATTCCTTTCCATTCCTTTCCATTCCTTTCCATTCCTTTCCATTCCCTTCCATTCCTTTCCATTCCTTTCCATTCCCTTCCATTCCCTTCCATTCCTTTCCATTCCTTTCCATTCCTTTCCATTCCTTTCCATTCCCTTCCATTCCTTTCCATTCCTTTCCATTCCCTTCCATTCCCTTCCATTCCTTTCCATTCCTTTCCATTCCTTTCCATTCCTTTCCATTCCCTTCCATTCCTTCCCATTCCCTTCCATTCCTTTCCATTCCCTTCCATTCCTTTCCATTCCCTTCCATTCCTTTCCATTCCCTTCCATTCCTTTCCATTCCTTTCCATTCCTTTCCATTCCTTTCCATTCCTTTCCATTCCCTTCCATTCCTTTCCATTCCTTTCCATTCCCTTCCATTCCCTTCCATTCCTTTCCATTCCTTTCCATTCCTTTCCATTCCTTTCCATTCCCTTCCATTCCTTTCCATTCCTTTCCATTCCCTTTCCATTCCTTTCCATTCCCTTCCATTCCTTTCCATTCCTTTCCATTCCCTTCCATTCCTTTCCATTCCTTTCCATTCCCTTCCATTCCTTGCCATTTGTAAGAAATATATGTTTATGTTTTGATCTATATAATTTCTTGTGAGACCGTGTCTCGGTGTGGTTCAATAGTGGCCTTCTTGAAAAGGCACAATTTATCCAACTTTCCCTTATTAGGGCAACTTCGCTCAAACTGAAGCAACCTGGCACTATCACAATTAATTCAACACTTGCATGTAGATGATAAGAAGCAAAAAAAAAGGAGAACAAAAACTCACTCAAAAGCCAAGCTTAAAAAACGGGGTTTTTTAAGTATACAAGCTACAACAAACGGACAGCCGAATATCGTCTAGTGACTGATTACTTTCCATTCTTTACGCCTAACACTACTGTATGCCTAAGCCGTTTAAATATTCTAGAGGCTAAAGGAGTCTCATTCTAGAAAAACATTCTAGAGACTCACTTTAGCCTCTAGAATATGCAAATCTCAGGAATGAGATTTACGGGCATAGGCTTTGCCCATAAATCTGGAAGAGAAGAAGAGACTGGAGGTAAGAAAAATGGATAAAAGGGAAGACAAGAAAAAGGGAAGACAACAAAGCGCGCACATTTGAGAGGAGGGTTACCCTGCAGGGATAACAAAAAAGAAGGGTAAAAGAACTAAAGAGAGACCGCCAGAAAGCAAAAAAGGAGGTGAGGGTGTGGTGGTATTCGGAAAAGGGGAACAGGGAAGAACAGGGAACGCGCTAATCTTTAGCTGCAACCTTTCACTCAAAAAGCTATACCGAAATGTTTTTCTGTTGTCTCTGGTGCTTCTGAATCATCAAAAATAGCAGGAACTTCGAAATTTCATTGAAATTTCGAAGTTCCTGCTATTCTTTTATTGTCCAGTCTTGTCTTTCTCTGTCAGTCTCATTTTATTTTTTTATTTGCTAGGCTATTATGCTAGGCTTATAAGTAAGGAACGGCTTGTGCCCTTGTGCGAATCTCAGAAATGGAGATGGATAGGACTGTGAGATGGATAGGGCTATGAGATGGGTAGGACTTTTAGATAAGTAGGACTAGTGAGGACTAAAGATGCTGGGGATTTTGGTGGTATTCGTCTAGTGGTATTCGTCTAGTGGTATTCGTCTGATCGTATTCGTCTAATGGGTGAAGAGGCTAAGAGGGGGAGCACAGGGGAACAGGGGAACAAGGCGGACAAGAGAAAGAAAAGGCCGTGACTCGCGCGCCTCCCGCCACCCCTCAACCCTCACCGATCGTTCAATATTTCACCCGTGTACTAGACTATCCTAATCTGTATCTCTACCTTGTCCTACTCGCATAACACTCGTAAAACAGCTGTGCATCAATCGTATCAGCTATGATTTGTAGATTTGATGTATCAACATTTTAATTTTGTGTTTTCCCTGGCTCCTAAATGGTTTTTATCATTTTTTAACCTTTTCCCTGGATTCTTGACACTAATTGTACGCTTAGCTAAGCTGGAACCTTTAAAACTTTCCCAGGCTCTCTCCAGCGGAATTTCCAAAACCGATCTCCAAACCAAAAAAGAGCCGACTCCGGACTTAGTTCCGGAGTCTGGACTGTTGGCGAGATGAGCTGGCAGAGTCCGATCCTCGAACCAGGCGTCTTTTATATACAAATTTTTCGTTAGACCTAGCCGGGTTTGACTGCCTAGACCTATCCATACTCCAGACTGGGTTTTGCCTGTTCTGGCCTGGTTCGGACTAGTTTTCCTAGCCTGGTATTAGCCTGGAAGTCCCTCGAGTCCAGGCCCAGACACGGCTTAGTCCGGGGTTGGCTCTGTCTAGGCACTAGTCTGGCGAATTCTAGACCTGGTCTTGGACCAAAGATCACCCAAACCAATCTCAGGCTCATAAAGGAGACAAGTAGGTTGGTCAGCCTGGTTCTGACCTGGTTCTGGCCTGGTTTTGATCTGGTTGGCCTGGTTCTGGCCTGGTTTTACCCTGGTTCTGACCTGATTTTGGCCTGGTTAGCCTGGTTAGCCTGGTTAGCCTGGTTAGCCTGGTTAGCCTGGTTAGCCTGGTTAGCCTGGTTAGCCTGGTTAGCCTGGTTAGCCTGGTTAGCCTGGTTAGCCTGGTTAGCCTGGTTAGCCTGGTTAGCCTGGTTAGCCTGGTTAGCCTGGCTAGCCTGGTTAGCCTGGTTAGCCTGGTTAGCCTGGCTAGCCTGGTTAGCCTGGTTAGCCTGGTTAGCCTGGTTAGCCTGGTTAGCCTGGTTAGCCTGGTTAGCCTGGTTCTGGCCTGGTTCTGGCCTGGTTAGCCTGGCTAGCCTGGTTAGCCTGGCTAGCCTGGTTAGCCTGGCTAGCCTGGTTAGCCTGGCTAGCCTGGTTAGCCTGGTTAGCCTGGTTAGCCTGGTTAGCCTGGTTAGCCTGGTTAGCCTGGTTAGCCTGGTTAGCCTGGTTCTGACCTGATTCTGATCTGGAAATTTGGCTCTACGATCAACCCTGTCGAGCCTAACGATCAGTACGAGCCATTTCTCCGTACTAGTACGTACTAGTAGTATACTAGTCCGAGCCGTTTCTCCGTTTCGCCAAGTGCTTCATTGCCTTCCCTAATCCAATATCCATATTGCCCTCACTCAAAAAAACAAAGAGTGGACTGTTTTTGCTGTTTTCTGTCAAAAACCCTTCTATTCCTCCCCTTTTCCTCAATCTCTACGGTTCCTTTTCTTCTCTAACATTTCCACGTGTTGACCATTCACTTCCCCATCCACAATTCCCCCTTTCTCTCCATTCTCTCAATTCTTTTCCATCTTTCCATCTTTTTTTTCCTTTCACACGACAGTCACAGGCCGTATTCGACCCCTTTTCTCTTCTGTGTGTACCCCCATCCCTATGGATCATCGGGCCGTTCACTACCCCGGGTCTTTTACCCACATTTGCTTACTCATTTTAAAAAGTATTACAATATTCTATCTTCCTGGCATGCACAACAGCTTTTTAACTTTTTAAAACATCGTCATTCTGTGCCTGTTCCGATGGGCCATTGGGCCGTCCACTACCCCGGGTCTTTTACCCACATTTGCTTACTCATTTAAAAAAGTATTACAATATTCTATCTTCCTGGCATGCACAACAGCTTTTTAGTGTTTTAAAACATCGTCATTCTATACCTGTCCCTATGGATCATCGGGCCGTTCACTACCCCTGGTCTTTTACCCACATTTGCTTACTCATTTAAAAAAGTAGTGCAATATTCTATCTTCCTGGCATGCACAACAGCTTTTTAGCTTTTTAAAACATCGTCATTCTCTTAGGGAAAGAAAGACGTTTAGGAAAGACGTTTAGGAAAGGCGGTCGTCACAAAATTGGCGGTAAAACCTGATCCTTATCGGTTTTTGAAATTTTGAATTGTATTAACTATCCGAAATTTTGTATTAACTATTGTATTAGCTAAGTAATCAAGCTCTATCTTTTCCCTTTATTCACCAACCCAATATTTCCATTATCGTTTCTTTTTTTTTCATCGCTTTTCTTCTCAATCAATTTTTTCTTGAAGAACTTTCCTTACGATCACTTTTCCGGGAAGATTTCGATTGATTTTGACGATTGACTTTGTCGATTGGCTTTGTCGATTGACTTTGTCGATTGACTTTGTCGATTGGCTTTGACGATTACCTTAATTGCTCAATTCTTAAATGCTCAATTCTCGTTCAATTCATATACCCAATTTGTTAATTTGCTCAGTCTTTACGTTTTCTTTTTTATTTTCAATAAAATCCTACAGAAATCTGTCTTTGTTCTTGTGTTTTCACAAGCCGTCTGGCTCGCTCAATTCTCCCATTTGTCAATTGGATCTTCTTTTCGATTTTCCATTGAATCTTCCATTGGATCTTCCCTTAAATCTTCTTTTCTTTCTTTCTTTCTTTAATCATTTCAAAAACTAATCCAGAATGTCGATTTTGTACTCGATGGCGGCTGGTGTTTCCGGGTATTCCGAGCCGGTTCATAGCGACAACGCCGAAGCCGAATGCCTTGAGCACTATGAAAGCAATTTACAGACACATAAAGGTATCGTTTGTGAATTTTTTTGTGAATCCTGGATGTCACGAAAGCTATTCAGAAAGAAAAAACTGGGCCATTCTTTGAAAAAAAAAAATTTGAAGTCAAAATCCATCCTTTTACTGAAAATCCTTAAAGAGAGCTTGTTTCTTCGTCTTTAAACCTTTTCTTCGTCTTTAAACCTTTTCTTCATTCATTCAACTTACCGTAAATCCTGTAATACCCCCATAATGACGGTGTCCCACTCCCATAATGACGGTGCGGAGTGTTGTGTAGTCTAGCTTTGAACGAGTTTTTCTCGACACTGGTTTATGCTACAATGCTCGTTTAAATATCAAAAAATAGCTGAAATTCAGGGCTATTTTTTGATATTTAAACGAGCATTGTAGCATAAACCAGTGTCGAGAAAAACTCGTTCAAAGCTAGACTACACAACACTCCGCACCTTCATTATGGAGCTGGAGTACTTTTTACAGTATTTACGGTATTTATTCATTTCTATTTACGTCGTAAAACTCTTCAACCGATCACCTTGAGTGTTCGGTTGAAGAATAGAATATAAGAGTATCATTAAGGTCTCATTTAAGATCCCATTTAAGATCCCGTTCTGTTCCCAAAAGCTATTTATCTTATCTTCCTTATCTCTTTAAATCTGTTTTTGCAAATGTTAAGACAACGTTGACAGCCTTAACGCTTTAGTGAGAGTTTTGGATGATAATTGGGCTTTGAATTTGAGCCATTCTTGAAAACTTCTCGTCTAACTGATGAGTTATCCACTTCTCCACTTTTTTAACCTTTCCGATATCCTTCAAGTGATCACTTATCATCGAAATCTCTACACTAAAGTGTTTTGCTAGAGTTTTGCAACGGTTCAGGAAATGAGCCTTGCTTTCGTTGTTTCCATTCAAATTTGGTTCCTTATCTCTCTAAATTTGGCTCCCTATCAGCCTCGTTTGTGCTTTTTGGTAAACGCACGAGTTCTGGTGCACTGTTTAAAGTGTGTAAACACGTGTTTAAAGTACGTGATAAACTCTCGAATCGGTCTAAAAGACTTACACAAAGGCTCTTTCATCAAAAAATATTTCTGTCTTCTTTCCCTTGACTCTTCTTTTCCCCTCCATCACCGACCTCATGCATTTTTTCAATGTGATGAGTGAAATGGGAAAACAAGTGGCATCTAATTGGAAAAATTCCACTTTTTAAGGCAATTCTGGTCTTAAAAAGGTCTTAAAATGACCTTAAAATGGCCTTAAAAGGCCCTTAAAAGACCTTAAAAAGCCTTAAAAGGCCTTAAAATGGCCTTAAACGGTCCATTTGATGAATAATTGAGTAATTTGTCGAATTTTGACGTTTTATAGCTCATCCTAAAGCTGAATTCAAGACGGATCGATTGGTAAAAATCGTTTTGAGATATCTCTTTTCTAAAAGTTTTTACAGCTATTTTAGTAAAGGCAGAGCCAAAAAAGCCAAAAAATGGCTGTTTTCACGTTTCGTTAGTTTTTCGTGCAGAAATCTAGGCTAAAAACATGTGTTTCGTGATCAGCGTCCAAAATAACCCCTAGACACGCATTCTCAGAATCTTGGCAAGAAATTTGTGAAAAATATTGTCACCGGTGGGAGTCGAACCAGCGACCCTCAGATCAATAGCCTATTTTCCGCCGCTATTTTGCGATTTTCCTTCGTTTTTCTCGTGAAAATGCGTGTCTAGGGGTTATTTTGGACGCTGATCACGAAAAACATGTTTTTAGCCTAGGTTTCTGCACGAAAAACTAACGAAACGTGAAAACAGCCATTTTTTGGCTTTTTTGGCTCTGCCTTTACTAAAATAGCTGTAAAAACTTTTAGAAAAGAGATATCTCAAAACGGTTTTTACCAATCGATCCGTCTTGAATTCAGCTTTAGAATGAGCTATGAAACGTCAAATAAGCTATAAAAGCTATAAAACGTTGGACAAATTTAAGGTACTCTCCCAAAAAATCAAAAAAATCGGAAAGGACTTTTCCATCAACCCAATATAAAGATTTAATTACCCAATTATTCATCAAATGGACCGTTTTAAGGCCATTTTAAGGGCTTTTAAGGGCTTTTAAGGGCTTTTAAGACCATTTTAATCAACCCAATAGAATAGAAACAAGTGTTTTATCGAATAATACAGTAACTTTCTTCTAATTTCTTCGAATTCGTTTCCTAAAGCGTGCCCTTCCTTTTCCTAATTCCCTTCCTTTTCCGTTTTCATTTTCTAGCAAAATTACCGTGCTCGTTGTCTCTATTTTTATTAAATCTATCCAATTTTTTTTCTAATTTTTATATTCTTTGTGAAATGGCAAAGAAAAAAACAAAAATTCGAGAGATTTAATAGAAATAGAAATAGAAAAATGAACAAAAGACAACGATTACGGTAGTTTTGAAGGCTAAGGCCTCTTTTGAAGGCTAAGGCAGATACAGGCAGGCTAAGGAGAGCAAGGCATCGCTTGGGAAACGATAGCACAACGAAAACGAACAAAAATCGATAGCACATTGTTTTGATTGGATACTTTGAGCCGGATTGTTTGTTGTTGGGTCAAAATACTTCTACTAGAGCCTAGGGAAAGTGTTGTTTAGACAAAGAGGCAAAAAGAGGCAAAAAGAATAAATAAACAACGCCCAGGAGGCCACGCTTCGATGACAGCTAGAGGGGAACCTGACTGACCAGAGTCCTACAGGGTGGCCCATAATTCTACGTGCAGATAAAAAGCTTTGTAGGTAGACAAAGTTAAACTTAGACAAAAACTTAGATCTTTAGGCTCAAAGTCGGACTGACAAAAGGGGCGGGGCTAGAAAGACCTTTTATACGCGCCCCGCCCCTTCGCCATTGGCAATCTAACTTTGAGCTCCAATATCTTGGGATTGGACTGTCCAATTTGAATACTTTTTGTACCAATCGACAGAGAAAGACTTGGCGCATCAAATGATACTAAGAACACTTAAATTGGACAGCCAAACACCGAGAAATTTGAGCTCAAAGTTGGATTGGCAAAGGGGCGGGGCTAGAAAGACCTTTTATACGCGCCCCGCCTCTTTTGCCATTGGGAGTCTAACTATTTGCTCAGATATCTTGGTGTTGGGCAAAATTGAACAGCCCAACACCAAGATATTTGAGCTAAAGTTAGATTACCAATGGCAAAAGGGGCGGGACGCGTATTATTGGTCCTGCCCCTTTTGCCATTGGCAAGCTAACTTTGAGCTCAAATATCTTGGGATTGGACAATCCAATCTAAATACTTTTTGTACCAATCGACAGAGAAAGACTTGGCGAATCGAATGATACTAAGAACACTTAAATTGGACAGCCCAACACCGAGAAATTTGAGCTCAAAGTTAGCTTGCCAAGCGCCCGTTTTACTCGTCTAAAAAACTACTCGTTTTACTAGTGAAAAATAACAGAGAATAAGCCATTGCACCGATAATTATCGACCATCCTGTATAATCACAAATAGGCAACAAATCTGGAAACTTACTTAAATTTAAAAGCAATTCCTTTTTCAGATGAACGAGACTCGATCCAGAAAAAAACCTTCACGAAATGGGTGAATAAACACTTGCAAAAGGTGAGCTCAGCTATATTTTAGTCTTTCAGCTAGAGTCTAGATCTAGTCTAGATCTAGTCTAGATCTAGTCTAGATCAAAAACTATGCATAATTACTATAAAATACTCGTGTCAGTCTTGTTTTCAACTGATTTATTCATGCTAATGTTTTTGATGAATCTTCTTTTCATTTCCTTTTCTAGTCCTCCCGAAGTGTCACTGATTTGTTCGAGGATCTCCGCGATGGAATCAATTTGATCATTCTACTCGAAGCGTTGACGGGAGATCGATTTGTGAGTTTCGGAGTTAAAACAAACCAGGCACAGATCTTGCGACGATTTAAGGTTAAGCCAGTATGACCAGGATGGATGGTTTGGGGTATGGTTAGGCCCAGATGGCCGAGGATTGATATCTAGCCCTTGACCAGGTGCCAGGCTAGAGCTAGGCTAGAGCTAGGCTAGAGCTAGGCTAGAGCTAAGCTAGAGCTAGGCTAGAGCTAAGCTAGAGCTAGGCTAGAGCTAGGCTAGAGCTAGGCTAGAGCTAGGCTAGAGCTAAGCTAGAGCTAGGCTAGAGCTAGGCTAGAGCTAGGCTAGAGCTAGGCTAGAGCTAGGCTAGAGCTAGGCTAGAGCTAGGCTAGAGCTAGGCTAGAGTTTTTTTTTTTTTTGGTTTTTTTTCGCCTCGGACCTGACCTGACTGGCTGGCCTGACCTGACCTGACCGGACCTGACCTGACCGGACCTGACCTGACCTGACCTGACCGGACCTGACCTGACCTGACCTGACCTGACCTGACCTGACCTGACCTGACCTGACCTGACCTGACCTGACCTGACCTGACCTGACCTGACCTGACCTGACCTGACCTGACCCGACCGGACCTGACCTGACCTGACCTGAACGGACCTGACCTGACATGACCGGACCTGACCGGACCTGACCTAACCTGATCTCTTGACCCTGCTTAGGCTTTCGATCCTGCCTAGGCTGCCTAGACTTGACCTGCCTAGACTGACTTGACCCTGGTCTGGTAACGCGACCTGGCTTTGGTCTAATTTTCAACATCAATTTTCAGAATCGCGAGCGCGGTGTGACTCAGTTTCATCGAATGCAAAACGTGCAATGCTGTCTCGACTATCTCAAACAGAAAAACATCAAGCTCGTCAATATCAGAGCCGAGGATATTGTGGATGGGAATGGGAAATTGACGCTCGGACTCATCTGGACGATCATTCTCAATTTCCAGGTGCACTTTCGGAGCTAAACGTACAGATTTCTCGTGAACTTTGCGCTCTTTTTGTACGCAAGCCATTAGCCATTTGGTTTGCCATTAGGCTTAGGCTTAGGCTGAGGCTTAGGCTGAGGCTTAGGCTTAGGCTTAGGCTGAGGCTTAGGCTGAGGCTTAGGCTGAGGCTTAGGCTGAGGCTTCGGCTGTGAGGCTTAGGCTGAGGCTTAGGCTGAGGCTTAGGCTGAGGCTTAGGCTTAGGCTTAGGCTGAGGCTTAGGCTGAGGCTTCGGCTGTGAGGCTTAGGCTTAGGCTTAGGCTGAGGCTTAGGCTGAGGCTTAGGCTTAGGCTTAGTTTACGAGAGTACAAAGTGCTGAATTCTACTCAGCTTCAGCTCGCCAAAATCCTTCACATTGCCGTCATAGAAGTTCGAAAGCCTGGGGTACCCGTGGATTTAAGATTTCTTGAGTTTAAGACTTCTTGAGTTCTAGATTTCTTGAGTTTAAGATATCTTGAGTTTAAGATATCTTGAGTTTAAGATTTCTTTAGTTTAAGATTTCTTGGGTTCTAAACAACAACTTTTGTTACTCTTTCCATTTCTTACCTCAGTTCTTACCTCAGTTCTGGGCACTCTTGTTCTACTGGGTTAAATCTAGACAGTAAAGCCAAACCATGTTCCATGATTCATCGGTTTTATCAATCTTTATTTGAAGCAAATCTTTATTTCATATCAATAAACAACAGATTAACAATTAAATTCAAAGCAATCACCATTTTTAGCCAAGCACGCTGTCAAGCACGCTATCAAGCGTTTAGGAAAGGTGTCCACAGGATTGTGGGACATTTGATACGCGCCCTGACCCTTTGCCATTGGCGAGCTAACTTTGAGCTAAAATATCTTGGTGTTGGGCTGTTCAATTTCAGTGTTCTTAGTGTCATTTGATGCGCAAAGTCTTTCTCTTTCGTTTGGTAAAAAAAGTATTTAAATTGGACGGTCCAATCCAAAGATATTTGAGCTTAAAGTTGGATTGCCAATGGCAAAGGAGGTGCCCGCCCCTTTTTCGTGCCCCGTCTCCTTTCCCATTGACAATCTAGCTTTTAGCTTGAATATCTTGGGGTTGGACTGTCCAATTTCAATAGTCTTAGCATCATTAGATGCGCCAATTCTTTTTCTGTCGATTGGTATAAAAACTATTCAAATTGGATCACGCAACACGAAGATATTTCGCAATCTAACTTTGAGCTTAAATATCTTGGGATTGGACTGTCCAATTTGAATACTTTTTGAACCAATCGACAGAGAAAGACTTGGGGGATCTAATGATATCAAGAACACTTAAATTGGACAGCCCAACACCGAGAAATTTGAGCTCAAAGTTAGCTTGCCAATAGCAAAAGGGGCAGCAACATCAAATGTTCAATAACTGACCAAGTATTGGACATTTGATAAGCACTCGAGTTAAGTAACTCATCGAGTTCATTCCAAGCTTTCAGAAGACTTTTTGGACCGGAGCCTAGTCTTGTTGAAATGTTCAAATTTGGTTTTTGAAAGCCTTTTGTACCTAGTGCAAAATCTCTTGCAAATCTTGCAATTGTAGCTTTGAGAAGATCGAGATAGTTAATGGTAATAGATTAAAAAGCCACTGCTTCTATCTATCATTAGCCACTGTTTCTATTTTATAATTAGCCACTGTTTCTATTTACAATTAGCCACTGCTTCTATGATAAGTCACCCTGTACATCTTTGAACTCAAATTTCTTGGCTTTGGGTTGTCGAATTTTGATGTTCTTGGTATTAATCGATAGAGAAAGATTTGGCGAATCTAATGATATCAAAAACATATAAATTGGACAGCTCAACACCGAGAAAATTGAGCTCAAAGTTGTCAATATGTCAATCAAGATCTCCCTGGGTTGTTAGCTCTGGTAGATATCTAGATACAGAATCGATTATCCATCCCGAATGCTTATCGTTGTTGTTTTTTCAGGTCTCCCAAGTGCAACGCTTGCACCAGCAAAAGCACGCGAATGGAAACGGGGATTCGCTGAAGGTTTGTGGCTTTCAAAAACAGATCATTTTGGTCTTTAGATCATTTTGGTCTTTAGATCATTTTGCTCTTTACTATCATTATATTATAATCAAGTTCTTTCATTTCTTTCATCGAAACCTCATTCCAATGCCGGTGAAATTTGAAAACATCATTTTCTTTTGAATTTCGGAATACCGATCTTTTATCCACCACCTAGTTTAGATTAAATTTTTGTTTCTTTTCAAAACTAAGCTCTTCAAACTATTCATTTCTTATAATATTCTCTTCCGATCTCTTCCGATCTCTTCCGATCTCTTCCGATCTCTTCCGATCTCTTCCGATCTCTTCCGATCTCTTCCGATCTCTTCCGATCTCTTCTGAGCTTAAATTAAAATATTCTTTTTTTCTTTTCCAATCTTTTATACTCCTAAAGACACTTAGCAAAGAAAAACACTCATTTTGATTCCGCTTGAGCGCTTGAGCATTTTTCAACGGAATAATTCTCTTTTTCTATTTTAGTTTTCTAAGTTGACCTCCAGATTGATCATTTCGATTTTTGGAATTTCTAAAAACGCTTCTCAAGAATTGTTCAGTCTCCGAGAAATTTTTTGTCATTCAGCATTTTTTAAAATCAACGAATTTTGTGAAATTCTTTCATTAGAACTCTAAGTTGCCTTCCAGATTGATAATTTCGACTTTTAGAATTTCTTTAAACGATTCTCAAGAAAAGTTCAGTCTCCGAGAAATTTTTTGTCATTCAGCATTTTTTAAAATCAACGAATTTTGTGAAATTCTTTCATTAGAACTCTAAGTTGCCTTCCAGATTGGTCATTTCGACTTTTAGAATTTCTAAAAACGATTCTCAAGAAGCTTTCAGGCTTCGAGAAATTTCTTGTCATTCAGTATTTTTTAAAATCAATGAATCTAATGAAATTCTTTTACTAGAACTCTAAGTTGCCTTCCAGATTGGTCATTTCGACTTTTAGAATTCCTTTAAACGATTCTCAAGAAGCTTTCAGGCTTCGAGAAATTTCTTGGCATTCAGTATTTTTTTAAATCAACGAATTTTGTGAAATTCTTTCATTAGAACTCTAAGTTGCCTTCCAGATTGGTCGAATTTTTTTCAAAAACCCCCCTTCTTACAACTTATGCCCGAGATTTTACGAGATTTTTATCAACCGACATTTTATCGCCCTTTTTCAACGTTTTTGGAGGGAAAATCGAAGCCCGGCGGAAAGAAATCTGATGAATCGCCCCTCTAAGCAAATAATCCCCTTTTTTGTCAACTGAATATCTTATTCTTTAGCTGAAAAGCCGTCCTTAAAAAAATACACAACCACTTAACTGAATATTTTTTATTTGTCGATCATTTAAAATTTACATTTTTCTGTAAACATAAATTTACATTTTTTTCTTTTCCAACCTCACCACTGCACTCCAGATTGACGCTTTCGCAAAAAAATTTTGGAATTTCGACAATTTCTTAACGAGAATTCGCAACGAAAAGCGATCAAACGATTTTCTCGCTGGATTTCGATCGAATTCTCAATTCCACGTAATTTTTGCGAATCCTGGATGTCACCGGATAATTTGAGATAGATATTATTATCTATCGCCTACAAAATTGGAGTTGGAGCCGAGCTGGAACAGGACTACCCCAAAATTTGCATTTAAAAGCAAAAAAGCCCAAATTTTTCTTTATTTTTCTAAATCCTGGATGTCACGAAATAATTTGGGATAGTTAATACATTGTTATCGATCGTCTAAAAATTGGAGTTGGAGCTGGAAACAGGACTGCCTCGAAATTTGCATTTAAAAGCAAGCAATCCCAAATTTTTCTTCATTTTCCTGAATCCTGGATATCACCGAATAATTTGGGATAGTTAATTCTTATTATTCTACTGCCTAAAAACGTTGGAGCCGAGCTGGAATCAGGACTGCCCCGGAAATTTGCATTTAAAAGCAAGCAAACCCAAATTTTCCTTCATTTTCCTGAATCCTGGATGTCACGAAATAATTTGGGATAGTTAATTCTTATTATTCTATTGCCTAAAAAGTTGGAGTTGGAGCTGGAACAGGACTACTCAAAAAATTTGCATTTAAAAGCAAGCAAGCTTAAATTTTTCTTTATTTTCCTGAATCCTGGATGTCATCGATCGCATTGCGTGATTTATTTCTGGTGGGCGGAGCTTTTCTCGGCATTTGGTTCTACCTCTCGGCTCTCTCCTTTCTCTCGTCTCTCCTCCCCAACCCCATTTCTCCCCACCATCATCCCTGCGAGCGATCGAAATTCTTCCTCTGGCCTCAAATCGGCCCGTTTTTAGCTCTATTCTCTTTAATTTCTTTGTTCCTATATAGTTTCTTTACAATGCAAAAGTTATTCCAATCCTACAAGCGTCAAGAGCGGAAAGACACGTACTCGAGCAAAAAGACGAGAAACTACACAACGAATTCTCGAGATTCCGCTGCTTTTCCGCAATCTGGAACGCACCTCAGCCAATCGGGGGGCTTAAACAAAAATCTGAGCAATTCAGACTACCTCGAGGTTGAGTCGCTAGGTAGTGCCCAGAATTATGCCCAATCCAGAAGTTCTGAAAAAAGTTTTGACAAATTTGAGGGATCTGGAGCGCACCAGGGCCAAGGCAGGGGCTCAAATGGGAATTCTCGCCATTTGGAACATTATGGAAACGGGAAATCGAGTTCTCGAGTCTCTGGACTCAACAGATCCACGAATTCAAATTCCAGAGAGATTTTGGTGAAAACTGGAACGCACACCGGCTATCGAACGTCGAGTTCGGCGTTGAATCAAGATTTTGGGTCCTCTGACCACCAATCTCTGATCACTAACCTAAATCAAGAGTTTTTCACTCCAAATGCCCGTTCAAGACCTTCAATCTCCAGTCTGGACAGCACGCAAGCGTCCTATTCATCCGTTTACTCAAGTACTCCGCTTACTCCGAAAAAGTACGGTACAGGGTCGGGTCCAGGGTCGAGCCTGGGCGTTCGCCGTGGCCATAGCCCGAACGAGTATTCAGCTAATCGCTCTTTGCACAGTGCGCCTATTTACGAGCTACCGTACTCCGAAACGTCGTCGTTTTCCTATGAAACGCATGAGCGCCGTAAAGTCCATCGGGAATTCACTCCAGAAGAGGAGCTCGACATTCGGAGACGAGCAAGAAAGGTAAACGGATAGATTTGAATATTGTAAACATTTGTGTGCGCTCCAGGATCACCAAAAATTAGCATAATAGTCTTTTTTGATTAATAGTTGTGGATATATAGCCGTGTACTTGTTTCGTAAATAGTAAATAAGCGGAAAGTTAGTGATCGTCGAATTTACATATCCCAAATACTTGCATGACATCCAGAATCACCGAAAATTAGCATAATAGTCTTTTTTGATTAATATTTGTAGATATATAGCCATGAACTCGTTTGTAAATAGTAAATAAGCGGAAAGTTAGTGATCGTCGAATTTGCATATCCTAAAAGCTTGCATGACATCCAGAATCACCGAAAATTAGCATAATAGTCTTTTTTGATTAATAGTTGTGGATATATAGCCGTGTACTTCTTTCGTAATTAGTAAAAAAGCGGAAAGTTCGTAATCGCCAAATTTACATATCCCAAGTACTTGCATGACATCCAGGATCACTGAAAATTAGCATAATAGTCTTTCTTGATTAATATTTGTGGATATATAGCCATGAACTCGTTTGTAAATAGTAAATAAGCGGAAAGTTAGTGATTGTCGAATTTGCATATCCCAAAAGCTTGCATGACATCCAGGATCACCAAAAATTAGCATGAAATTCTTTTCCGCTTATTAGTTTGGGATATTTTCCGTTGAACTCATTTTGTCATCATTTATTGTACTCATAGTAGTGTCTCGTACTAGCTGATCGTACTATCCTGTATGCCTTAAATAATTTTTAGTATAGGGTGGTAAAAGGAAGAGATTGTTGACCCTGATAGCCAGTCATTCTTCCCATTTTGCCTTTTCTTTCTCTTTCCTAACCGCCAAATGATTGCTCATCCTTTTCCGCGATTCCTTATTGATCTCTTTCTTTCTCTTTCTTTCTCTTTTCCTTCACCTTTCAACTACAATGCCCTTGAACACTTCCCACACCCAAATAAAGTAGAACGGGGCTACTGGACTAGACAAGATTAGATGGGTGAACAAGTTGGGTGTACTTTGAGCGTTTAGACCTAGTAAACGCATCCCTTCTGGTGCATACGATGCTTTCGATTGAAACGATACTTTATCGATGCAAAGTTAAATGCTAAAAACCTAAACTCGACTCATTATGAGAGGGGCTCAACATTTTGCCACATAACTTTGCATGGATATTAGATTTTGCATTGGTTTTGGTATCATTCGACGCGCAATTCTATTCTGCATCGAATGATAGTCCAAATCAAAGGATTGGTGCTAAGAAAAGCACGAAAAAACTTAAATTTAAGATTTTTTGTGTTTTTCTCAGCATTAACCTTTCGATTTTGACTATCATTCGATGCAGAATAGAATTGCGCGTCGAATGATACCAAAACCAATGCAAAATCTAATATCCATGCAAAGTTATGGGACAAAAGGTTAAGCCCGTCCCATAATGAGCGGGGTTTAGGTTTTTAGCCTTTAACTTTGCATGGATATTACATTTTGAATTGGTTTTGGTGTTATTCGACGCGCAATTTCATTCTGCATTGATTGATAGTTAAAATAATCAAAATAGACAGGCTGGTGCTGAGAAAAACACGAAAAACCTTAGACTGCCAATGGCGAAAAAAAAAAAAAAAAGGACAGACGGATTTTTTTTTGTTACAAGTTTACTAGGCACCACAAGATAAGATTCAATACCCAAAATCTCGACTTTTAAGTGATATTCAGATATAGCTTTTCCTTAGCTCTACCTACACTACTGGACAATAAAATATCATATTAAAAAATGATCGTCACTTTCACGAGCCTGTAACTCTCTTGTCTTTACCGTATTTCTAGACATTAATATTACCATTGTGTAGCCCTTGAAAAGAGCTTTCAGAAAATGTATAACACTAATAGTTTAAACTCAAAGACAAGGGAGTTATAGAGGCGCGAAAGTGACGATCGTTTTTTGAAAAGATGACGATTGAGATATTTCATTGTCCAGTACTGTACGTTTAGCCCGGGAGCCTGAGAGCCTAGGAGCCTGAGAGCCTGGGGGCTTGGGAGCCTGAGAGCCTGGGAGCTTGGGAGTCTGAGAGCCTGGGAGCCTGGGAGCTTGGGAGCCTGAGAGCCTGAGAGCCTGAGAGCCTGGGAGCCTGGGAGCTTGGGAGCCTGAGAGCCTGGGAGCTTGGGAGCCTGAGAGCCTGAGAGCCTGAGAGCCTGGGAGCCTGAGAGCTTGGGAGCCTGAGAGCCTGGGAGCTTGGGAGCCTGAGAGCCTGGGAGCCTGGGAGCTTGGGAGCCTGAGAGCCTGAGAGCCTGAGAGCCTGGGAGCCTGAGAGCTTGGGAGCCTGAGAGCCTGGGAGCTTGGGAGCCTGAGAGCCTGGGAGCCTGGGAGCTTGGGAGCCTGAGGGAGCCTGAGAGCCTGAGAGCCTGGGAGCCTGAGAGCTTGGGAGCCTGAGAGCCTGGGAGCTTGGGAGCCTGAGAGCCTGAGAGCCTGAGAGCCTGGGAGCCTGAGAGCTTGGGAGCCTGAGAGCCTGGGAGCTTGGGAGCCTGAGAGCCTGGGAGCCTGGGAGCTTGGGAGCCTGAGAGCCTGGGAGCTTGGGAGCTTTGGAGCCTGAGAGCCTGGGAGCTTGGGAGCCTGAGAGCCTGAGAGCCTGAGAGCCTGAGAGCCTGGGAGCCTGAGAGCTTGGGAGCTTGGGAGCCTGAGAGCCTGAGAGCCTGAGAGCCTGAGAGCCTGAGAGCCTGAGAGCCTGGGAGCCTGAGAGCTTGGGAGCCTGAGAGCTTGGGAGCCTGGGAGCCTGAGAGCCTGGGAGCTTGGGAGCGTCAGAGCCTGGGAGCGTCAGAGCGTTAGAGTGACGATCGTTTTTCAAATATGATATTTCATTGGCCAGTAGTGTAGATATAAATCCTATATCTAAATCCAGAAGAATCCAGAATCCAGAAGCTTTTCCAGGATAAACCCGATCCTTTTTGTTTCTTTTGTCTTCCCATTCAAATCGATCTTTTGCACCCATTCGAATCCATTCAAATCCATTCAAATCCATCTCAAAAAGTCTCTTTTATACCAAAAACTAACCGGTTTACCCTTTGAAAAAGCAAAAAAGAACAAAAGCGACAAAAGCGACAAAAGCAAAAACATTTTACGACCGTTTTGCACATCTTTTGATTCGTCAATGGCTCGGGGAAAAGCCAGGGAAAAGCCAGGGAAAGGTTCCTTTGTTGCGCCAATTTGTATGCGCCAAAAAAAATAAACCAACTATTTGGCGCAACTATTTGGCACATTTCCTTCCAAAAACAACTGATTCTTTGAGAAATATAAGAAATCTAGCGCCAGAACTAGTGCGTTTACAGAATGCGTTTACAGAAGAACTAGTGCGTTTACAGAAGCACAAAGTACAATGTACGAGTATAAGAAAAGCATCAATGGCAAATAAACGCTAAATATCTGGTCATGATTGTTATGAGTTAATTTTAGGCTTATGAATTGGTTCATGGGAACGCCTCGTTTACAGCGACATCAGCCCGTGAAGCGCTGCTCAATTGGGCACAAGAGGTACGGTTTTGTTGGAAAAATGGATTACAAGGGAATAGCCCGATCTGGCACGTCGAGTAGAAATATGTTTTGCTGAAAATCAAAAATCTGGCTTCTAAAAATTCTAGTGTGACATCCAGATCAAAGGAAAAACACAACTAAAAGACAATAGCTCTTGTCAATTTCTCGGGATGGTCACGAACTCTTAGCAGTTCACTCTCTTACAAATATTTAGGTGAAAATCGAAAATCTGGCTTCTAAAAATTCTAGTGTGACATCCAGATCAAAGGAAAAACGCAATTAAAATCGAATTGCTTTTACCAATTTTTTGGAATAGTCGCAAACTCTTAGCAGTTGACATTGGGTACAAATGTTTTCGTGAAAATCAAAAATCCGAATCCTCACAATTCTAGTGTGACATCCAGATTAAAGAAAAAATACAATTAAAATCAAATTCCTCTTACCAATTTTTCGGAATAAGCACGAACTCACGAACTGCCAAGAGTTTGCGACTATTCCGGAAAATTGGTAAGAGGAATTTGATTTTAATTGTGTTTTTTCTTGGATCTGGATGTCACACTAGAAGCTTTAGCCTTCAGATTGTTTGATTTTCGACAAAACATTTGTACTCGATGTGCACTGCCAAGAGTTTGCGACTATTTCGCATCGAATGCAAATGTTTTGCTGAAAACCAAAAATCTGGCTTCTAAAAATTCTAGCGTGACATCCAGATCAAAGAAAAAACGCAATTAAAAGGAAATGGTTCTTGCCAATCTTTTAGAATCATCGAGAACTCTCGACGGTGCATATCGAGTACAACTGTTTCAATGAAAATCAAAATCTAGCTTCTAAAAATTCTAGTGTGACATCCAGATCAAAGAAAAAACGCAATTAAAATCAAATTGCTCTTACCAATTTTTTGGAATAGTCCCAAACTCTTAGCAGTGCACATCGAGTACAACTGTTTCAATGAAAATCAAAAATCCGGATCCTCACAATTCTAGTGTGACATCCAGATCAAAGAAAAAACGCAATTAAAATCAAATTGCTCTTGCTAAAAAAGAATAAAATAGCTCTAAAATAATAATCGATAATAAGCGATACCTACGAGCCACACCTACAGTACCTATAATTATGGTACTGTAGGTATGGCTTGTAAGGATCATTTTATCACCCAGTAAGCATCATTTTATCCCTATTCTATCAAGCTAAAGTCCTAGAACACAGAGAAAGTGCGAAATTTTACCTAAGAGCTTTGTTTAAGCCCAGAGTTTTGTTTTTAAAATCCCAATTTCAGGCAACCGACGGCTATCCGCAAGTTCGCGTGAGTAACTTCAGCTCATCGTGGCGTGACGGATTGGCTTTCAACGCGATTTTGCACAGATATCGACCGAATTTGATCAAATGGAGTCAGGTTTGTTTTTTTGAATATTCGGAAATGCTTGGGCGAAGAAAAAAGCTGAAATCCTTGGAAATGCTGAAAAAAAAGGCTTGTTTTGGGTAAAAATCCGGTTCAAAGGCAAACAATTATCCGCACAAAGCGTTCAAGCGTTTCCCCCCCAAACACTTGATCTGTGGGAAACGCTGGCGCTGCTAAGCTCCGTGGGAAACGACTGTTTTTAGCGCTTTTTAGTGCTTCTCAAGGAAAAGTCTTCAATTGGACCTTTCAAACAAATTAAAAGAAAACAATAATCGCGCCTATAACCGCGCCTTAATTGCGCCTTCATCGCGCCCATGCTCGCGCCTATAATCGCGCCTATAACCGCGCCTACAACCGCGCCTATAATCGCACCTATAACCGCGCCTATAACCGCGCCTATAACCGCGCCTTAATTGCGCCTTAATCGCGCCCATGCTCGCGCCTATAATCGCGCCTATAACCGCGCCTATAACCGCGCCTATAACCGCGCCTTAATTGCGCCTTAATCGCGCACATGCTCGCGCCTATAACCGCGCCTTAATTGCGCCTTAATCGCGCCTTAATCGCGCCCATGCTTGCGCCTATAGTCGCGCCTATAACCGCGCCTATAACCGCGCCTTAATTGCGCTTTAATCGCGCCCATGCTCGCGCCTATAACCGCGCCCATAATCGCGCCTCCCAAACTTGAAAAACTTTGTTGTCCATCTTTAAAACGAGGTTGTCGATGATCCACGGTGTTCCACAGTGTAAATTTGAATATTGTAAACATTTGTGTGCGCTCCAGAATCACCGAAAATTAGCATGATAGTCTTTTTTGATTAATATTTGTGGATATATAGCCATGAACTTGTTTCGTAAATAGTAAATAAGCGAAAAGTTAGTGATCGTCGAATTTAGATATCCCAAATGCTTGCATGACATCCAGCATCGCCAAAAACTAGCATGAAATTTCTATCTGGTCAATATCTGTAGATATATAGCCATGAACTCGTTTGTAAATAGTAAATAAGCGGGGGGTTTTTATTCCTCATCTTTTTTTCACCCCAAAGCTTCTTGCAGGACAGAAAAAAACACCGAAAATTAGCATAATAGTCTTTTTTGATTAATGGTTGTGGATATATAGCCGTGTACTTGTTTCGTAAATAGTAAATAAGCGGAAAGTTAGTGATCGTCGAATTTACATATCCCAAATGCTTGCATGACATCCAGGATCGCCAAAAATTAGCATAATAGTCTTTTTTGATTAATAGTTGTGGATATATAGCCGTGTACTTGTTTCGTAAATAGTAAATAAGCGGAAAGTTAGTGATCGTCGAATTTACATATCCCAAATGCTTGCATGACATCCAGCATCGCCAAAAACTAGCATGAAATTCTTTTCAGCTTATTAGTTTGGGATATTTTCCGTTGAACTCATTTTGTCATCATTTATTGTACTCATAGTAGTGTCTCGTACTAGCTGATCGTACTATCCTGTATTCCTTAAATAATTTTTAGTATAGGGTGGTAAAAGGAAGAGATTGTTGATCCTGATAGCCAGTCATTCTTCCCATTCCGCTTATTAGTTTGGGATATTTGGAGGTTGTCGATGATCCACAGTGTTCGACGTTGAAACAATCGCTTTCTTGAGCAAGCAAGCAAGCGAGCTGACGTCTGCATACGTTCGATTATTGGAGTAAACCTTCCGAACAATGTATCCATTCAATTCAATAAACAATTTATCCACAATAAAATCATTCAAAAAAGAAATTTGTTAGGCAAAATTACCCAAAAAAAGCTCGGTTTTCCGGAAAATTCACCAATTTCATTCAAAATTCTCAAGGACATACCGCCTTTTAAATCTTTTAAATGCAAATTTCACTCACCTAAGTCTTTAAGACGAAAGTGAACAGTGAAAAGAAACTGGGAAAGAAACCGGGTAAAAGAAATTTCGGAAATACATAGCTGTAGCAATGTTCTCGATGAATTCCCCATAAAATTCTCGATTTCACGAAATTTTTGCAAATCCTGGATGTCACCAAAGTTATCCTGAAGGATAAAACTCGGCGATTCCATGAAAAAAAATTTTTTGAAGTCGAAAATCGAGATCAAGCACGAAATTTGCATTTAAAAGCGAGCAATATCATTTTTACTAATATTTTGCAAAATCCTGGATGTCACCGGATAATTTGGCATAGTTAATTCTTGTTGTTATCTATCGCCTAAAATGTTCAGGCGAGTCAGAACAGGACTGCCCCGAAATTTGCATTTAAAAGCGAGCAATATCATTTTTACTAATATTTTGCAAAATCCTGGATGTCACCGGATAATTTGGGATAGTTAATGTTTATTGTTATTTATCGTCTAAAAATTGGGGTTGGAGCTGGAACAGGACCACCCAAAAATTTGCATTTAAAAGCACGCAAGCCCAAATTTTCCTTGATTTTTCTAAATCCTGGATGTCACAGGATAATTTAGAATAGTTAATACTTATTGTCATCTATCGCCTAAAAATCATCTTATCTGAAATCATGTTATCGTAGCTACTAATGTACAATTAACCATTAGCCTAGCTTGGTCTTAAACTAGCCAAGCCTAGCCATCTACCCAAGCTTAATCTAGCCATTAGCGGCTACGACTCATGTGATCTAATTTTATTTTTGCATTTCAGGTAACCGCTCCCGGTGTCTCGAACTTGGACCGCTTGGAGAATGCGTTCGAGATGGCCGAGCGGGAATTCGGAGTGACAAGGTTGATCGATCCGGAGGTGAGCTACAAAATCGAGATTTTATTTACAAACTACCTGAATTCTAGAGCTTCTCCCTGAATTCTAGAGACTCTGTCCCGAATTCTAGGGCTTCTCCCCGAATTCTAGAGATTCTACCTGAATTCTAGAGCTTCTCCCTGAATTCTAGAGATTCTGCCCCGAATTCTAGAGCTTCTCCCCGAATTCTAGAGCTTCTCCCCGAATTCTAGAGACTCTGTCCCGAATTCTGCTCCGGGACGACTTTCCCCAAGTTTTTGAACCATTTAATAGCATAGAACTTACCATTTGATCACATAGAAAGAGCCCAATTATAAGTTTTGGAAGACAAGAGCTGACAATAAGAACAAGAACAAGAACTAGAACTAGAACAAGAACTAGAACAAGAACTAGAACAAGAACAAGAACTATAGCTCTAGCTCAAGAACAAGAACTGCTATCCGGCAATGACTAGATTCCCTATTTTTCATCATAAATCTTTCAGGATATGGACACAACGAATATCGATGAGAAATCCGTGATCACTTATCTTTCAACCCTCCACATTGCTCTTCCGCCGCTACCCGAGCAGTCAAAGGTCATTTTTAGGCATTCTTTTTCATTCATCTAACTTTTCTCATTTGAAAAAGCAGCTCCCGAATTTTCCTGAACCGGTATTTTATAACAAACTCTATTCTTCATTTTTGCACGGACTTAAAAAGAGATAATCTCAGTAATAACAGCTTAATAACAGCTAAAGCCAAAGCTAACAGCTAGACAGCTAAAGCTAGACAGCTAAAGCTAGACAGCTAACAGCTAAACAGCTAACAGCTAAACAGCTAACAGCTAACAGCTGACAGCTAACAGCTGACAGCTAAAGCTAGACAGCTAAAGCTAGACAGCTATAGCTGAAGCTAAAGCTAGACAGCTAAAGCTAGACAGCTAAAGCTAGACAGCTAACAGCTAAACAGCTAACAGCTAACAGCTGACAGCTAAAGCTAGACAGCTACAGCTAAAGCTAAAGCTAGACAGCTAAAGCTAGACAACTAAAGCTAAACAGCTAAAGCTAAACAGCTAAAGCTAAACAGCTAAACCGGCTAAATTTTAAATTTAAAGGTTTCCCGATTCGAGATAAACAAATGATTTGACAAGCTCTTGAGTGAATAGATAACGCCGTCAATTCTTGATAAGGTTTTTGATCTACTTTTTCAAAAGAAAATCTTAATGTTTCATTATCATTAGATAGCTTAAAGTCTTGGCTTTTAAATAAAAAAAGTTCATTGGAATCTGATTCTCTGGAGACTGACCTAGCTGGATCTAAGCGCCTAGAGTTGCGCGACCAATTTGTTGGCTCATTGGCCTCATTGGCTTCATTGGCTTCATTGACCTCATTGGCTCATTGACCTCATTGGCCTCATGGCCTCATTGACCTCATTGGCCTCATTGGCCTCATGGCCTCATTGACCTCATTGGCCTCATTGGCCTCATTGGCTTCATTGGCCTCATTGGCCAGGTCTAACTAGTACTCATTCCCATGCCATGAGCCCATGAGGTCAATGAGAGTTAACGAAACAAATTGGTCGCGCAACTCTAGGCGCTTAGATCAAGCTTAGATCCTCATGGCCTCATTGACCTCATTGACCTCATTGGCCTCATTGGCCTCATGGGCTCATTGGCTTCATTGGCCAAGTCTAACTAGTACTCATTCAACTATTATTGTAGGCTTGCTACTGTTTTTAGCTAAAGAACTAACTTCATTTGAAGAGCTGACTTCATTTGAAGAACTAGCTCCATTCGAACTCGATTTCCTCTAGTTCTAAAGTACTGTAGCTCAAGTACGAGTTCGAAACTAGGGACTAATTGTAGTCTAAGCTAGGTACTATTTAAATCTAGGTAGTCTAAGCTAAAACTAGGTGATCTAAGCTAAAACTAGGTAGTCTAAGCTAAAACTAGGTGATCTAAGCTAAAACTAGGTAGTCTAAGCTAAAACTAGGTGATCTAAGCTAAAACTAGGTGATCCGAGCTAAAACTAGGTAATCTAAGCTAAAACTAGGTAATCTAAGCTAAAACTAGGTGATCTAAGCTAAACTAGGTAATCTAAGCTAAATCTAGGTAATCTAAGCTAAATCTAGGTAATCTAAGCTAAAACTAGGTAATCTAAGCCAAAAACAAGCTAATCTTAGCCTTTATTACATTTTATACTATCATTACTTGATAATAGTTCGGTTTAAACCAAGATAAACCCTAGAAGCCCTAGAATTCGTACTTCTTTTCATCTCTCGGTTCAGCACTGGCACGAGTGTCTGCTGGCTCGGCTCAAGTTGGAAACCATCGAATTAGAGTACATAAAAGAGGCGGAGATCTGGCTGAATTGGGTGACAACGACGACCGAAGAAGCTGACAGTCGATTATTTGTTGGCACTCCGGAAAGTCTGATGACTCAAATCGAGTTGATCCATCAAGATCTACCGATGAAGAGCGAAGAGATGCTTAGATTGTGTGATATCTATGAGAAATTGGAAACACTTGGCGATCGAGCGACACTTGGAGATCTCGTACCGAAAAACTATGCAGCTGACGGGTTGAAAAGAGCATGGAATCAACTATTGGACTCGGTCGACAGGAGGAAAGCACTGCTCGAGGAGAGGGCACAAGCTCAAGTACAGTATGCCTGAAAGAGTTGAGATTAGAGATAGAGTTTGGCTTTGATTGAAATTAAGGAATTGCTCTGATTTGCTCGATTTGGGATATGGGAAATAGCACAAAAACTCTAAGAAATTCTAAATTACTTGTTTTTCATCACTTTATTACATTAATTCAAGTTAGTTTGAGCAAATCAAAAATTTTTCCCCCGCCGGGACTCGAACCCTCAACCTTCCGCTTACTAACCAAACTTGCTAACCATTACACCACAAGGCACTTGTTTCCTCGAACTTCAGAGGGAGCTAAGTTTCAGTTTTCGAAAAAAATGGACATGAAAAAATGGCACCGCCGCGGTATAGGGCTCTTTTTTCTTTAAGAGCTAAAGGGCTGGATGGTCTAGTGGATAGTGCGCTCGCCCTCTACTCCAACCATCCCTGGTTCGAGTCCGGCCACTGTCAAAACATTTTTCTTTTTTTGTTAAAGCACTAAAATCAATTTCTAGGTGTATTAAAGGGTTTATGTTTGTGTTTAAAGCGTTCAAACAGTAAGAAGGGCTCCTGGAGATGGCTGAGAACAACTTTCAATGACCACATCTCGACCATCTTCCCTCTGACTCCTTTGACCAATAACTTCCAGCTAAATGGACCAATCTCTCTGATTTTTGTGTCATTTTGTAGATCTCAACAAGTGCAACAAAATGACACCAAAATCATACAGATTGGCTGATTTAGAAGAAAGTTATGGCGTAGAGCCAGTTGCTTTAGTCACCCCAGATTACTGTGGGTTTGTTCCTGGCCTTGCCTGGCTTACAGGCTCTAGGGACAGCCTAGTCTAGCCTGGCTTGGCTTACAAGCCTCTAGGGCCAATCTAGTCTAGCCTGGCGTGGCTTACAGGCTCTAGGGCCAGCCTGGCCAAGAACCTGCTATGGCACTGTCAGGGTACTCCAGCATAATCCTAGCTTCACTCTATTCCTTGATTAGTAACTACTGCGCTCGTTAGAGTACTGTAGTCAGGGTCTACTGTAGCGTACTGTAGCGTACTGTAGGGTACTGTAGCGTACTGTAGCCTCACTAGTGCGTCATCCTCAATTTCAATCAAAGCCTCAAACCCCAATCCCAAACAGCTTTCCGCCTTGCTTCTCTTGGCCGAACGAGTTTTTTTCCCCTTATTTCTTTCCCTCATTTCTTCTCGTTCCTATCCCTCTTGTGTTTCCGCTTTCAAAGTTTTTCGATTTACAAAGATTTACAAAGATTTGCTAAGATTTGCTTGCTAGATTTCAGTGTAGCTGTGCGTTTATAGAGTTACACAATGGTACGTGATTCGATCTCAAAAATTTGGATTTAAAATGAGAACTCATCGGTTTCTAGTACTAGTATTGGAATTAAGGGCCTTGACTTTATTTGAGTACTTTAATTGTTAGTTACTAGTACAGTAAAGTAATACGGATCTACTGGATCAGTAGTTAAGCCTAGAACTTAGCCAGTTCTAAGACACTAGAGCCAGCTCTAGGGTACTGGAGCCAGTTCTAAGGCACTGGAGCCAGCTCTAAGGCACTAGAGCCAGCTCTAAGGCACTGGAGCCAGCTCTAAGGCACTAGAGCCAGTTCTAAGGCACTAGAGCCAGCTCTAAGGCACTGGAGCCAGCTCTAAGGCCAGTTCTAAGGCATTGGAGCCAGCTCTAAGGCACTGAGCACTCTAGCACTTCTGCGTTTTATGGGATCGAATCAAAAGTACCAAGAATTCCTTACAATCACGATTTTTCAGAGCAACACCGGCGATTTGCTATCCCGTTTGAAGAGAGGCTGTGAAATTGTGAACGAAAAGCTGGACATTATCTTGCAAACGATTGAGGAAATCGAGACGAAGCTGGAGAGAATGCCATCGGTGGAAGTGGAGAGAAGAGTTGGTGAAAGTTGAGAGGGATTTGGACTGGTTTAGAGTTGGAGTGATTTAGAGTTGGACTGGTCTAGAGTTGGACTGGTTTAGAGTTGGACTCCAGCTTCAGCTCCAGCTTCAGCTCCAGCTTCAGCTCCAGCTTCAGCTCCAGCTTCAGCTCCAGCTCCAGCTTAAAGCTTAGAGCTTAGAGCTTAGAGCTTAGTTAGAGCTTAGTTAGAGCTTAATTGGATCAGCTTAGACTGGTCCAACCTTAGACTGGCCTAGCCTTACTAATTCTAGACCAGTCTAGCAATAAGACTAGCCCAGATAAGTTCTTCAGACCAGGCTGTAGAGCTGTAGGCCAGGCTGTAGGCCAGGCTGTAGGCCAGGCTGTAGGCCAGGCTGTAGGCCAGGCTGTAGGCCAGGCTGTAGGCCAGGCTGTAGGCCAGGCTGTAGGCCAGGCTGTAGGCCAGGCTGTAGGCCAGGCTGTAGGCCAGGCTGTAGGCCAGGCTGTAGGCCAGGCTGTAGGCCAGGCTGTAGGCCAGGCTGTAGGCCAGGCTGTAGGCCAGGCTGTAGGCCAGGCTGTAGGCCAGGCTGTAGGCCAGGCTGTAGGCTAGGCTGTAGGGCAGGCTGTAGGCCAGGCTTTAGACCAGGCTGTAGGCTAGGCTGTAGGCTAGGCTGTAGGTCAGGCTGTAGGCTAGGCTGTAGGTCAGGCTGTAGGTTAGGCTGTAGGCCAGACTGTAGGCCAAACTCCAGTGTAACAGCCGAAATCTAATGATCCAGTCTCAATCTGGCGATCGGCTGGGTAAAATAAAGGACACTCTCTTGTAAAGGACACTAATAACAAGCTAGAACTTTCCTAGCCTCGTTACTGGACTTACTGGGCTGGACTTACTGGACTGGGCTTATTGAACTGAGCTTACTGAACTGAGCTTACTGGGCTGGACTTACTAGGCTGGGCTTACTGGGCTGGGCTTACTGGACTTACTGGGCTTACTTACGGGACTGGACTTGAACTTTGATAGCAACTTGATCACTATAGTATTGCCCAAGATTACTGTATTCATCTTAATAGCTAAATCTTTGTTTCCAGATAGCCACAACATTGAACGAGCTCGAAGCACTCCTTCAACCGATCGAAATTCTCGGTAAAGATGTCGACGAGTTGGAGTCACTTGAACACCCCGATTCGCCGGTTTTCCGGAAACTGTAAGTACAAGTACAGACAGTAAGTACAAGCACAAACAGTAAGTACAAGTACAGACAGTAAGTACAAGTACAGACAGTAAGTACAAGTATAAACAGTAAGTACAAGTACAAACAATAAGTACAAGTACAATAATCTAAAGCTATCAACTCTATCACTTTCTTAAGCTCTACCACTCTATAGCTCTCAACTCTATCACTTCCAGGGTCAATGCGCTGGAGCAACGCCGTCGCGCGTACATCGACCGACTGAGGAATCGGATCTCGAACCGTTTAGCGATTGTCAACGAAAATATTCGAAAAGAGAGTCATCGACTAGAAACGATACGAACAAATTCTTTTCAACGAGTCGAAGAAGCGATTCGATGGGTTAGAGAGAAATCGGTGAGTGGGGAAAGCCTAGAAGTCGCCTAGAAGTCGCCTAGAATCGCCTAGAATCGCCTAGAATCGCCTAGAATAGTCAATGAGGGCGCAAGTAACCTCGTACTCGCTAAGCTAACTTTATGCTATGCTAAGCATATAGCATAGCATAAAGCCAGGGTGTAAGTACAAAGGTGTGGTACATGGAATGAAATATCAGATTAGCATATCTTATCTTTAAAGTAAAGCATACTTTTCAGAGAAAGATCCACGAGATCGCTTTCATCGACGATTTGGAGTTACTAGAGAAATCGTTTGAAGCGCACAAAGTCGACAATCGAGATACTCAGGATTACAGGCAACAAGTCGATCAGTGCATCTCGAGACAGGTCAATATCGAAAAGAGCATTGTAATTAGATCTGGTACGGTAGTCTGTAAAGCCAGTACGGTCTAGAGAGTACGGTGTCTAGAGAGTACGGTCTAGAGAGTACGGTCTAGAGAGTACTGTCTAGAGAGTACGGTCTAGAGAGTACTGTCTAGAGAGAGTACGATCTAGAGAGTACGATCTAGAGAGTACGGCCTAGAGAGTACGGCCTAGAGAGTACGGTCTAGAGAGTACTGTCTAGAGAGAGTACGATCTAGAGAGTACGGTCTAGAGAGAGTACGGTCTAGAGAGAGTACGGTCTAGAGAGAGTACGGTCTAGAGAGAGTACGGTCTAGAGAGAGTACGGTGTCTAGAGAGTACGGCCTAGAGAGTACGGTCTAGAGAGTACGGTAAAGAAGCTACTGTAGTACTGTAATCTGTCTGATAGCGTGATAGCGTACTCAATTTCAGAGTGAGGTGCCCGATGATGACACAAAAGAGTACTGCAGCCTCTTGAGAACCTTGGAAAGCGAATACCAACAATTAAGGGATTTCTCGGCTGGAAGGATGCTGGATTTGGTGAGTTTTTAGAGGAAATAGAGGAAATTCGATTTATTGTAATCTGGAAAAGTCAAATGCTAATTTTAAGTGCATTTTACAGTACAGAGTACAGATTACAGTACTCTGTACTGTAAAATGTATAGATTAACTTTGTCAATACTATAATAATACTATTTTTTCAATTCCCTTCAAGCCAAATACTATTAGAAAGTGAATATTATTTATTTTTGCCAACTTTTTCAGGACTCTCTAATCGCTTTCGTTCGTGCCGCTCAAATTGAGCTCCTTTGGATCTCGGAAAGAGAGGAGATTGAGGTAAATACAGCTTACAAACAAAGTACACAACCAGCTTCTACTTTTGTCTACACAGAGCAGTAAATTCTTCATTTTTCTCTCTATACAAAGTCGTTGCTGTAAAATGAGGAATTCATTGCGCTAGAAAGAATGTCCAAAATCTAGCTCAAAGCTCAAAGTCCACAATAGTCCAATTTAAGCCCATTTTAGGTGACCCGCACGTGGGGTGAGCCGGAAAAATTGGACTTGCCAGTGCTGCAGAATCACTGCAAGAAGTTGAGACACGAGATGGAGTTGAGGGACAAACAATTCACCGACATTCACAATAGAGGAGCCGCCTTGCTCAATCAGGGACACCCAGCTGTGGGCGTCATTGAAGTGGGTGATTTTATGCGTTTTAAAGCTTGATACTGCAAAAGGATACGGTAGACTACGATAGCGTACTGTTGACACTGGTAAAGCACTGGTAAAGCACGCTGCCAGGTGGCCCTGCAGATGACCCTGCCAGGTGGCCCTGCCAAGTGACCCTGACAAGTGACCCTACCAAGTGACCCTGCCAGGTGACCCTGCCAGGTGGCCCGACCAAGTGACCCTGCCAGCTGGCCCTGCCGAATGGCCCTGCCAAGTGACCCTGCCAAGTGGCCCTTCCAGGTAACCCTGCCAGGTGGCCCTACCAAGTGACCCTGCCAGCTGGCCCTGCCGAGTGGCCCTGCCAAGTGACCCTGCCAAGTGGCCCTTCCAGGTAACCCTGCCAGGTGGCCCTACCAAGTGACCCTGCCAGCTGGCCCTGCCAAGTGACCCTGCCAAGTGGCCCTTCCAGGTAACCCTGCCAGGTGGCCCTACCAAGTGACCCTGCCAGCTGGCCCTGCCGAGTGGCCCTGCCAGCTGGCCCTGCCAAGTGACCCTGCTAAGTGGCCCTGCCAGGTGGCCCTACCAAGTGGCCCTGACAAGTGACCCTGCCAGATGATCCTACCAAGTGACCCTGCCAGCTGGCCCTGCCAAGTGACCCTGCCAGCGCAGCAGGTGGCCCTGTCAGGTGGCCTTGTCAGGTAACCCTGCAGGCAACCCTGACAGGTAACCCTGCCAGATAACCCTGACAGGTAACCCTGCCAGATAACCCTGCAGGCAACCCTGCAGGTAACCCGGCCAGGTAATCCTGTCTTGCCGAAATCAACTCTACAACAGAGCTGGACCCGGGTTTATTGCTTGGAACAACTCTGTCAGATTCCTGGACCTGGGCCTAGCTTCTGACCTAACTAATCTCCCGGAAAAACTCAGATAGAATAATGAATTTGTAAGTTAATACAGGATAATTTCCCTTGTTTAGTACTATCTTCGCCGAATGCGCTCCCAATGGGAATGGCTGTCGGCGTTGGCGCAGTGTCTCGATGTGCACACGAAAGATGCATCAGATCATATGGCGGTTGGTTTTTTTCAGCAAATCAGCAAAGCCATAGAATCCATAGAAGACCAGCAAATCCATAAAATCCAAGTTTTCAGGTTGTCGAAGATCTGCAATTGGCCGAGCAATGGATTGAGGGACAACTGGCGTGGTTGAGTCGCAAATTCTCAGCCACCAACTATGGAGCAGAGGATGGGGAAAAGGATTTGACCGAATTGGAGAATATCAAGGTAGTTGTTGTATTGGAATACCGGAGATCACCTAAGTTGTCGTAGAACCTGAGATTACGGTAGCTTTGATAAGGAAGTGATATGATAAGGAAGTCATGTAAGAAAGGATAAGGATGATAAGGAAGTCCTTATGACAAGGAAGTCCTTATGACAAGGAAGTCATGTAAGAAAAGAGCTTCTCTATAAAACTTGAGCATTTCTCTTAATTTCCAGGAAGTTCTCGCAAAACACAACGAGACGGTGCGCCTGTTGGCGGAAAAAGTGCGCACTCTGTCCCCATTGTGGCAACGAAACGACAGTGTAACCAGCCCGATCCCTGTCACCGCTTTGGTCGATTTTGTAGAGAAAAACGTTTCCATCAAAGAGGGAGATCAGGTAGAGAAGTTGATAAAGCTCTGTTAAAGTTTAAAGCTCTGTTAAAATAGGATGAATATTTTATCAAAGAGATGGTAAGAGTATGGTAGTCTGTTGTTTTAAAAAATGTCTCAAAGAGAAAGGTACTGTAGAGAAAGGTACTATAGAGGAAGCTACTGTAGAGGAAGCTACTGTAGAGAAAGCTCTATAGAGAAAGCTACTATAGAGAAAGCTACTATAGAGAAAGCTATTGTAGAGAAAGCTATTGTAGAGAAAGGTACTGTAGAGAGGCCATTGTAGAGAAAGCGTTTGTTGACCACCTTTCCATCTTGCTTTGTGACATCCAGAACCTATCCTAACCAAGCCTGGCTTTACTGCTATTGATTTTACTGGCAAAGGTCGGTTTCCTGTCTCATAGAAAATCCTCGGTTTTGACGCAAACCAATCTGTCAACCAGTTAGCAAACCAGTCAACCAGCTAGCAAACCAGCAAACCAGTCAACCAGTTAGCAAACCAGCAAACCAGTCAACCAGTTAGCAAACCAGCAAACCAGCCAACCAGCTAGCAAACCAGCAAACCAGTCAACCAGCTAGCAAACCAGCAAACCAGTCAACCAGCTAGCAAACCAGCAAACCAGTCAACCAGTTAGCAAACCAGCAAACCAGTCAACCAGCTAGCAAACCAGCAAACCAGTCAACCAGCTAGCAAACCAGCAAACCAGTCAACCAGCTAGCAAACCAGCAAACCAGTCAACCAGCTAGCAAACCAGCAAACCAGTCAACCAGCTAGCAAACCAGCAAACCAGTCAACCAGCTAGCAAACCAGCAAACAGTCAACCAGCTAGCAAACCAGCAAACCAGTCAACCAGCTAGCAAACCAGCAAACAGTCAACCAGCTAGCAAACCAGCAAACCAGTCAACCAGCTAGCAAACCAGCAAACAGTCAACCAGCTAGCAAACCAGCAAACCAGTCAACCAGCTAGCAAACCAGCAAACAGTCAACCAGCTAGCAAACCAGCAAACAGTCAACCAGCTAGCAAACCAGCAAACCAGTCAACCAGCTAGCAAACCAGCAAACCAGTCAACCAGCTAGCAAACCAGCAAACCAGTCAACCAGCTAGCAAACCAGCAAAACCAACCAGCAAACCAGCAAACCATATCCATAGTAGAGCTAATCCTTTCACATCAACATCCTCAATATTAGCTGAACACTGGAAGCCTTTTGTCCTCTGTCTATTGCATGGAACTGGTAAAGTTCCACGCCTCTTTTCTTTACGAGCCTCTGTTCATTACGAGTTTCTTTACTATCATTCAGAAAAATAGCGATATTTCAGATCCATGAATAGTATTTTATTTATTAAAGTTAATCCTTAGGAAGAAGAGTCAATTTCTGTACAGATAGCCGCCAATGATGAGGTATTGTTGCCTATAAAACCTTGATTGATTTTCCCTACTAAACTCATTCCCTTCCTTGATTCGATCCTCATAAATTACCCTTATTTTTTTTTACCCAATCTAATATCTAACATCTAAAATCGGTACCTAAAACTGCTACCTACGACAATTTCTTTGCAGTGCTAAACTTTTCGTTTAGGTTTTCCTGACAAACTCAGTGGATCCGATTCAGTGGAAAATTCGCGATGTCTCGCATCGAGAAGGCTTCGTTCCATCGGTCAGTTTATAGTAAATAGTTCGTACTGCTGGCTACTGATTTATTTGTAGTTACTAGCCTACTTACTGGCTCATTTACTGGCCTACTGGCCTACTTACTGGCCTACCTACTAGCCTACTTACTGGCCTACTTACTGGCCTACCTAGTGGCCTACCTACTGGCCTACTGGCCTACTACCTACTGGCCTACTTACTGGCCTACCTACTAGCCTACTTACTGGCCTACTTACTGGCCTACCTAGTGGCCTACCTACTGGCCTACTGGCCTACTTACTGGCCTACCTACTGGCCTACTTACTGGCCTACTTACTGGCCTACCTACTGGCCTACTGGCCTACTTACTGGCCTACTGGCCTACCTACTGGCCTACTTACTGGCCTACTGGCCTACTTACTGGCCTACCTACTGGCCTACTGGCCTACTTACTGGCCTACTGGCCTACTTACTGGCCTACTTACTGGCCTACTTACTGGCCTACTGGCCTACTTACTGGCCTACTTACTGGCCTACTGGCCTACTTACTGGCCTACTCATCCCAAGGTAAAGTAAGTAAGGTAGGGTTCTCCAGAGCAAAACCAGTTTTTGACCCTGGCTAGTTTAAAGTCTTTAAAGTTTAAAGTTTAAGTAAGTAGGCCAGGGTAAGCAGGCCAGGATAAGCAGGCCAGGATAAGTAGGCCAATAAGTAGGCCAGTAAGTAGGCCAATAAGTAGGCCAATATGGACATTAATCATATGGAAACTATCATTTTGCTCTTATTATTAGCATCCTGATCCAGCAATCAGAATCAACCTTGTGCAACACCAAGTACAGTACAGTACTAGTGCTGAGTGTACTCAATTCATTTCTGCTGTAGATAGCACAGTAATCGTATCAGTTTCAAGCGTTAAACCCTATTTAGGTCGTTTTCCGTTTGCCGCCTCCTGATCAGCGTCTAAACGCGCAACTCGTGCGCTTCATCCAGAAATTCCAAAAATTATCGCAATTGTGGACGGACAAGCATCGACACGTCCGATTTCATCTTGTCGCCAATACGATGCGATGGATACAGTAAGATTTCGCTCAATCTGGCTGTAGATCAGCTGGCTGTAGATCAGCTGGCTGATCTACAGCCTTTCACCTTTCTTCTGAGTCTGACAATGCGCAATCTGACCTCTGACATCTGACGAAGTAAACGAAGTAAACGAAAATATTTCCAGAAACTGGAATGTCGACGATTTTATGGATTTCGCTGATGAGAAACGCGCAAAAATCTTGGGAGCACTCGACGAGGATATTGGTGAGTCAAAAAAGCTAGTCATTTTTGGCAAATTAAAGCTCTAGTGTACGGTGAATGAAGTCTTTTTTTAGGAAAACTTGTCGGCGAGCTCGGTCCGAATGATCCATTGTCATTGAATCTGAGATCGGATCTCCGACAAACAAAAAGACGCTTTCTATCAACTAGAACAACGATCACAGAAGACACCTGGTAAGTGAAGAAAGAGTAAGGTTTGGCTACAGCACAAGGACTGGTTCTCCAGCACAAGGACTCTGAACTGTGCTCTGGACAGAATTTGGCTGTCCAGAGCTGTCCAGAGCTTGGCTGTCCAGAGCTTGGCTGTCCAGAGCTTGGCTGTCCAGAGCTTGGCTGTCCAGAGCTTGGCTGTCCAGAGCTTGGCTGTCCAGAGCTTGGCTGTCCAGAGCTTGGCTGTCCAGAGCTTGGCTGTCCAGAGCTTGGCTGTCCAGAGCTTGGCTGTCCAGAGCTTGGCTGTCCAGAGCTTGGCTGTCCAGAGCTTGGCTGTCCAGAGCTTGGCTGTCCAGAGCTTGGCTGTCTAGAGCTTGGCTGTCTAGAGCTTGGCTGTCTAGAGCTTGGCTGTCTAGAGCTTGGCTGTCTAGAGCTTGGCTGTCCAGAGCTTGGCTGTCCAGAGCTTGGCTGTCTAGAGCTTGGCTGTCTAGAGCTTGGCTGTCTAGAGCTTGGCTGTCTAGAGCTTGGCTGTCCAGAGCTTGGCTGTCTAGAGCTTGGCTGTCTAGAGCTTGGCTGTCTAGAGCTTGGCTGTCCAGAGCTTGGCTGTCCAGAGCTTGGCTGTCCAGAGCTTGGCTGTCTAGAGCTTGGCTGTCCAGAGCTTGGCTGTCCAGAGCTTGGCTGTCTAGAGCTTGGCTGTCTAGAGCTTGGCTGTCTAGAGCTTGGCTGTCTAGAGCTTGGCTGTCCAGAGCTTGGCTGTCCAGAGCTTGGCTGTCCAGAGCTTGGCTGTCTAGAGCTTGGCTGTCTAGAGCTTGGCTGTCTAGAGCTTGGCTGTCTAGAGCTTGGCTGTCTAGAGCTTGGCTGTCTAGAGCTTGGCTGTCCAGAGCTTGGCTGTCCAGAGCTTGGCTGTCCAGAGCTTGGCTGTCTAGAGCTTGGCTGTCTAGAGCTTGGCTGTCTAGAGCTTGGCTGTCTAGAGCTTGGCTGTCTAGAGCTTGGCTGTCTAGAGCTTGGCTGTCTAGAGCTTGGCTGTCTAGAGCTTGGCTGTCTAGAGCTTGGCTGTCTAGAGCTTGGCTGTCCAGAGGTCCAGAGGCCCAGAGGTCCAGACGGTCCAGAGGTCCAGACGGTCCAGAGGTCCAGAGCCAGACGGTCCAGTGCCAGTCGAGTGCCAGTCGAGTGCCAGTCCAGTGCCTTCTTTCGTTTCTCTTCGTACTTTTGTTTAAAAAATTCTAGAGCCCGACTTCTCTGAGCAATTCGATCAGCAAATGACGACGATTTTGCGAAAACTTGATGACTCTTGGCGGGTTCTAACTGATCGAATCGGCCGCCCCGTTGAACGATCCCTTGCCGAGCACGATCAAACTTTAGAAGAACACAAACATTTCGAGGAATCACTTCATTCTTTGGACTCCGATGTATCAACTGTCAAAGGACTCTATTCGCAAATCAGTGATCCAACGGCCGCACAAAGGGTTTGTTCACATTTTAGACCTAAAATTGATTGTGGTAAACACTTTGGTAACTGGTAAACAACTGGTAAACAAGCAGTACTTTGCCATTCGCCATAATTTGCCATGGCAATCCAACTTTGAGCTTAAATATCTTGGGATTGGACCATCCAATTTGAATACTTTTTATACCAATCGATAGAGAAAGACTTGGCGCATCTAATGATATCGAGAATATTTGAATTGGACAGCCCAACACCAAGATATTGGAGCTCAAAGCTAGATTGGCAATGGGAAAGGAGCACGGAGCGCAAAGCAAATATATATTCACATTTCTAAAGCTTATCCGGCACAAAAATCTTCTTGAAAGCCCAATTGATATTCAAAATCGATCCCTCCTTTTTCCTTTCCACTATTTAAGAAAGAGAATTTGTATTTAATTCCTCTTTTTAATCTATTTCTTAATTAAAATTCTTTATCTAGACCATTGCCCATTTTTTCGCAAAAAAAGTCGCTAAAAAGTCGCTAAAAGTCGCTAACAGTCGCTAAGAGTCGCTAACAGTCGCTAAGAGTCGCTAAAAGTCGCTAAAAGTCGCTAACAAAGTCGCGACCTAAAATTGAGTCCCTCTTTTCCTAGGGAGTCTCATCGGCCTCGTCGTCTCATCGGCGTCGTCACATCTGTCTAACACACAGAAAGTCAAATAGGCAAATCATTTTGCATTATATATTTTCCAAAAAGTCCCCTAAAATGGTTTAGTTTAAGTTTCTTTATCACTAAACACAAAAAGCAAAGAAATGCCTCTACCCGGGTTCGAACCCGCGAGGTGTAGAACTGAAGCCAAGCACACTAACCACTAGGCCTCGCCTTCACTTTTCTCCAGCTGCTTGATTTGTGATTTGACTATTCATGATCGAGAAAGCCACCAGCGAACAACGAAGCTTTAGCCACAGAATATTCATAACACCCTTTTTTTCCTCCTCGGCCAAGCGGTCTCGTGGTGTAGTGGTTATCACATCTGTCTAACACACAGAAGGTCGACGGTTCGATCCCGCCCGAGATCATTTTTGATTTCTTTTTCTGATTTAAGATGGGGAAAGCTTAAGATGGAGATTTTTAAGTATGGCTATGGCTTTTCGAAATCGTTAGCTTCAGTTTTTCAGACGATTTTCAGACAATTTTCAGACATTTCAGACATTTCAGACAAATTTCAGACAATTTTCAGTTAAACCTCGAAAAGCTGAAAGATCTTTGGGAAAATCTGTGGGATTTGGCGCGAATGTATGTGGAGAGATTGAAAGTCCAAGAAGCTGTGATGAATGGGACGAATCAATTGACGGAAACGGCGAAAAAGCATGAGGTGGATGAGATTTTCAAAAGAAAACCTGGAAAATCTGCAATTCCCGAACACTAAACCGAGTTTTTGCCGAATTTAACCGAATTTAACCAGCATTACAATATAGAAGCCCTATTTTTTAAACTCAAAATATGACTTTCCTCAGTTGCCCAATGATCTGGAGATCTGGAATCGGGAGATCTGGAGATCTGGAGATCTGGAGATCTGGAGATCTGGAGATCTGGAGCTGGAACTCTGGAGCTCTGAATCTCTGGAGTTGGAGCTCTGGAGATCTGGAGATCTGGAGATGGAATTGTATTTGATGCTAATTTCCTACAATATTTTCCTATTTACAGTAGTTCTAAAGTCGATTTTGTAAATGTTTTGTAAATATTTTGCAAATTTTCAGATCGCTCTCTGTAGCCACGACGATTTGTCAAGCGATTTGCAAAAGATGGCGAAAATTCGCGAGAATTTAGTGGCCACGAAAATGGTTAGCTTTTTGAATTCGAAACTTTTACAGCATTTACTGTAATCTTATCGTGAAGAGTACAAGTACAGTAGTTAGACAAAGCCTAAGCCAGCCTAAGCCAGCCTAGGCCAGCCTAAGCCAGCCTAAGGCAGCCTAAGCCAATCTAAGCCAGTCTAAGCCAGCCTAAGCCAGCCTGAGCCAGCCCTAGGCCTAAGCCAGCCTAAGCCAGTCTAAGCCAGTCTAAGCCAGCCGAAGCCAGCCTAAGCCAGCCTAAGTTTAAGCCAGCCTAAACCAGCCTAAGTTTAAGCCAGCCTAAACCAGCCTAAGCCTCACAAAATCAGCTCGCAGTCGTTTCTGAGAGCTTCTACAAAAGTTACAGTAACCCATAAACCTCTATGAAAGTTACGGCAAACCCAAAACCTATCGAACAAGTCATAATTGATACTATAGACGTGATGATTACTGTAAGAGCGATGAAATTGGTGACAGGGAATGTTTAAAGCAAATCATAGAACACTAGGTGAATTGACTACTTGAATTGACTACTAATTGACTTTTAAAAACTGTTAAATAGTAAAAGGCTTTCTCATCGTTAAGTCCTCATAAATGAAAAACAAGTACAAGACATGGGGAAATTTCAACCCAAACCGAATTCCACCATTCTCAGCCGTCTCTTCACCGATTTCTTTGAAATTTTGTTTACAAATAGAAATCAGCTTTCTCTACTTGTAGACAAAATTTTAAAGTAATCAGGCAAAAGAGAGCTGAGGAAATGAAGGTGAAATTGACGAATTGACAAACTGTCAAACTGACATCCTGTACAAGAACTGACATCCTGTACAAGTACTAACATCCTGTACAAGTACTAACATCCTGTACAAGAACTGACATCCTGTACAAGTACTGACATCCTGTACAAGTACAAGCACTGACATCCTGTACAAGAACTGACATCCTGTACAAGTACTGACATCCTGTATAAGTACTAACATCCTGTACAAGTACAAGCACTGACATCCTGTACAAGTACAAGCACTGACATCCTGTACAAGAACTGACATCCTGTACAAGTACAAGCACTGACATCCTGTACAAGTACAAGCACTGACATCCTGTACAAGAACTGACATCCTGTACAAGTACAAGCACTGACATCCTGTACAAGAACTGACATCCTGTACAAGTACAAGCACTGACATCCTGTACAAGTACTAACATCCTGTACAAGTACTGACATCCTGTATAAGTACTAACATCCTGTACAAGTACAAGCACTGACATCCTGTACAAGAACTGACATCCTGTACAAGTACTGACAATCTATTACCAATCAAGAAACCTCTTACTAATCAAGAAACCAATCAAGAAACCTCTTACTAATCAAGAAAACAGATGTCAAGTACAGCAAAATACTCTTCTCCAGCATCGATGTAACCCTCAAAATCACTAATCACCTTTTGATCTTTAGACTCTTGGCCAAGAGCAATGGCTGCTGGACTCGTTGAACGCTCAGGTGGCTGCTTTGAGGCAACATGTCATCAGGACACGCCAACACATTCCAACGTTCGTTTTTAGAGAGTTTCTAGAGAGTTTTTAGAGAATTTTTATCCAATATTTTGTCAGAGCTTTTGAATGGTGTATTTTTAGACATCCTGATGTGGACCATGTCGAGGACGAGGCCCAACAACTCAACGTTCGTTGGGAGAACATTTGTGTACAGGTGGCTTCTTTGGATAAACTTTATCTAGATCTATAAGCCTTTTTAGATCTAACAAGATAGCTAGACATAAACTTAAACATAAAAGATATCTGAGTTAGATGAAAGTTCTCTAGGTAAACACTTCTTTTAGAATCGAGAACGCTTGGAAACGGTGGAGAAAAACGATGCAAACGATGGGGTTCGTGCGAGGAGAGCTGCTCAATGAAATGACATGGCTCGAAAAGGTATTCAAAAATGGGACTTACAGTAAACTAAACCTGGCCAAAGCTAGGCCCGGATAAGCTAAACTAGAAATAGATCTATTCGGCCTAATTCGTTCAAAGCGAGGGTCAAGCTACTGGAATCTCCTTGACCCCCACGTCCGACCCTTTCAACTTTTCCATCTTTACCATTTTCTCAAAATACAAAAGTTTTTCAAATAGACAGAAAAACAGACAGACAGACAAACAGACAGACAGACAGGCAGACAAACAGACAGACGGACAGACAAACAGACGGACAGACAGACAAACATGTAGACAAACAGACAGACAGACAGACAAACATACAAACAAACAGGTAGACAAACAGACAAACAGACGGACCGACAACCAGACGGACAGACGGACAGACAAACAGACGGACAGACAGCCAGACAGACAAACATGTAGACAAACAGACAGACAAACAGACAAACAGACGGACAGACAACCAGACGGACAGACAAACAGACGGACAGACAGACAGACAGACAAACTTTGCGTTTTACAATAAGACAATTCTAATAGCTGAAGTTATCCCATGTTCCAGGTCGAGAAAACGATCGATCAACTGCGTCGGCCTGAGGAGTTACGTTCGAATGAGTTGCAACAGCAATTGGATATTTTGGCTCAAGAGTACTCTCAATTACAGGTACTTTCAACTAGTCATACGATTTATCTAAATGCACAATGTTTTAGGAAAGAACAGCCGCCATTGAAGCGCTAAATCGCGAGGGTGGAAAGTACATTCGTGAGGCAAAACAACACGATTTGAGAATCGATCAGTACACGGATGGGGTCATCAGAGTGCACGGATCGGGAATAAGGGATCTGTTCACGAGGTTTGCTTTGCAGCTACAGCTACATCTACAGCTACAGTTACAGCTACAGCTACAGCTACGGTAACCCTGAAAGTTCTCCCTTTAGAGCCATTCCCCAGCCGATGAATGGAGCTCAAACTGTCGCGAGTGAGCTCGAGATTTTGAATAAACGCTTCGCTCAACTTTCGTCGATGATTCTCGAGAAGCAAAATCGAGTTCAAATCATGGTGCAAACGTACAAGAGGAAACAACAGGCGAGGCTTATATACGAAAGCGTATATAAGGCGACACTTTTCTTGTAGACACTTTTCTAATCGTTGTTTTTCAGGAAGAAGCCCTCAAAGAATGCCTTGAACGCCAAAAAGATCTTGACTCGGCGATTGCCGGTCTGGGAAATCTCGAACAAACGATTTACCCGACAAAGTTGAATCTTCAATTGAATCAGGAAAGGCCAGAGGATGCGGCTAACGAAGTTCAGGTTTGTTAGATCTCAAGTAGATATATGACAAGTTGGTCTTGGCACCTGGCTTGGCTCCTGGCTTAGCCCCTAGCTTGGCCCCTGGCTTGGCACCTGGCTTGGCTCCTGGCTTGGCTCCTGGCTTGGTCCCTGGCTTGGTCCCTGGCTTGGCCCCTAGCTTGGCTCCTGGCTTGGCTCCTGGCTTGGCTCTTGGCTTGGCTCCTGGCTTGGCTCCTGGCTTGGCTTGACCCTGGGCTAGGCCTGAGCCAGAATTCTGGCCTGCTTGGGCTTAGGCAGCTTTTTTGGCAACTTTCTTTGATGGAAACTGACACTAACTTTCTATGCTAAAGAAAGATCAATCTCTGTTACCTTTTCGGTAAAATTTCCAGAAAAATCCATCCAGGCCGCATATATAAGGCGTCTTCATAGGGCGGCGTATATAAGGCGGCTTTATAGGGCGGCGTATATAAGGTGGCTTATATACCGAGGCGTATATAAGGCGGCTTCATAGGGCGGCGTATATAAGGCGGCTTATATGCGGCGGCGTATATAAGGCGGCTTTATAGGGCGGCGTATATAAGGTGGCTTATATACCGAGGCGTATATAAGGCGGCTTTATAGGGCGGCGTAGACAAGGTGGCTTATATACCGAGGCGTATATAAGGCGGTGCATACAGGACGGTGTATATAAGACGGAGTATATAAGACGCCGTATATACTAAAGCGTACATAAGGCGGTGTATATATAGAGCAGCGTATATAAGGCGGCTTATATACTAAAGCGTACAAAAGGCGGTGTATATAAGGCGGCGTATATAAGGTGGCTTATATACCGAGGCGTCTATAAGGCAACGTATTCAAGGCGCTACATATAGGGCAACGTATATAAGGCGGCGTATATAAGGCGGCTTATATAGGGCGGCGTATATAAGACGTCTTATACTAGCCGGCTTATATAAAGCAACGTATACAAGACGTTTTCTACAATTTTCAAGCTAATTAGAGCGCCTCATATAATCAAAAACGTTCACTTGAGCACTTTTTTTCTAAACAAAATTCAGAAAAAAGCGCTTGACGGGTTTTTTTTGAAAATTTTACTGAAAATAGAGAAAATCTACGCCTTTATTTTACTTAAAAAAAGTAAAAGCAATTCTTGTTGAAAAATTCGTCAATTGGGTAGGTTTGTGTTGTGTGTTTTAGTGTTTTGAACTGAGTGGAAAGAAGTTTGAGTTGATTAGAGGGATTTGGCTGATAGCTTTACTGGAAATAAGAAAAACTAAGAGCCTTTGATACTAAAGGTTTTGATCTTTCAGTCCGTGAAAGCCTCTCTTGACGAGTGGGCGTCAAGAGTGCGCGAACAACTCGAAATGGCGGATCGTTTATGCGCCGAGCAAGTCGACCAACTGCCACCCGATCAGTACGCAATTCTGAAGCAGAAGCGAGATGAGCTGGCAAATGTCTACGAGAATACAGTGAGGAATGTGGAAATGGTTTATGAGAGGTGAGGCTGGAGAAGGAGTTGGAGAAGGAGTTGGAGAAGGGGCTGGAGAAGGAGTTGGAGAAGGGGCTGGAGAAGGAGTTGGAGAAGGAGTTGGAGAAAGAGTTGGAGAACGAGTTCTACGGTTTCTACGGTTTGCACAAGTTACTGTAGTCTACTGGAGTTGCTGGAGCTAGTGTTTCCATTGCCAGTTACAGTACCTAAGTTATACGAATCAATTCGAGCTACAGTAGTTCTGTTAAAGACAGTGAAAGACAGTGAAAGACAGTGAAAGACAGTACAGTACTACTAGTAGTACTAGTAACAGTACTACTCAAATCTGGGCAATTAACAGTAGCTCAGACTACGACTCAGACTTTGACTCCTCTCATTTTCCAGACTGCACGCGATCACTCAGCTACTCATCGAGTTCTCCACTCATTCCTCATCGATGCAATCGTGGATCACCGATGCGACGCGGAGAGCTGGAGATATTAAAGCCTCGTCAGCTGATCCGTCGAATATCGTCGAGCAACGGGCAAAGGCTAAACAATTACAGGTGAGTCATGCTCCAAGCTAGCTATAAGACGGCTCGATAATAAGACGGCTTGTATATAAGACGGCTTGTATATAAGACGTCGCGTATATAAGGCAGCGCGTATATAAGGCAGCGCGTATATAAGACGGCTCGTATATAAGGCAGCGCGTATATAAGGCAGCGCGTATATAAAGGGGACGTATATAAGGCTACGTGTATATAAAGCTACGTGTATATAAGGCGGCGCGTATATAAGGCGGCGCGTATATAAGACGGCTTGTATATAAGACGGCTTGTATATAAGACGGCTTGTATATAAGACGTCGCGTATATAAGGCAGCGCGTATATAAAGGGGACGTATATAAGGCTACGTGTATATAAAGCTACGTGTATATAAAGCTACGTGTATATAAAGCTACGTGTATATAAGGCGGCGCGTATATAAGGCGGCGTGTATATAAGGCGGCGTGTATATAAGGCGGCGTGTATATAAGGCGCTGCGTATATAAGACGGCTCGTATATAATATGGCTTGTTTATAAGGCTAGAAAGACCAGATTCCGGCAATTTAAGCCTGTAGCGGTCCATGCTGACCTTACTTCTGCTACTGACCTTTCCATTCCTTCTGGTCACTCTGAAATGGACCAGGATAGCAGCTGGACTAATCCTGCGTCTAGCTCTGGGATCCGGTCAAGGAGATTTTGAATTAGTTTGAACTAGAACTAGCCATTTCTATGGCTCCTGTTCACCCCCGGCTCTGGTCTAGCCAGTCCTTGAATGATTTAACCGACTAATTGTACAGTCTGGTCTAATTGTACAATCTGGTCTAGCCTAACTGACCTAACCCAGTCTGGTCTAGTCTAACTGGATTTTAAACGGATTATTCCGACCTCGGCTTGCTTCTAGGGGCTTAAAATTCTTTCCAAGTATCAATTTATATTCTAAAGAGAATTTCCAGGATGAAGTAGCCGGTGGAGAGCCTCGTTTGAAGCAAATCGGCTCAATCGTTACTCGGATCGAGGCAGAAATCGCGGCGATGCACGAAAGTGTCCCACAAGTGCAGCTGGGTGGAGTGAATGGAGATGAAGTGAAGAAAACGTTCTACCGAGTAGAGGTAAGGCTTGAGGAGCACAAAAAGTAGTATTTCTAGTATCTCTAGTATCTCTAGTATCTCTAGAGCACTGTAGTATCCACTACAATATCCCAGACACTTTAGCTTAGGCTAGGATACTGTAGTGAGGTTGCTACAGGGTCAGTAAGGATATTTTAAGTACAGGGTCAGTAAGGACTATCGCCAATCTTTTCAGGATGACTACAACGAGCTGCTGAGACAGTGCCAAGATCTGTCGTCCTTCCAAAATCGAGTCGCCGCACTTGGAAATGATGTCGCTGAAAGGGCTGGACGGTAGGATTTCAAGAATATAGTAACTATTACAACAAAGTTGTTCCAAAGCTGACCCGAGCCCTAGTGTAGTTCTTGATCAAGGTCCTGAACTCTATCTGGCTTTGGATCAAGGTCCTGAACCCTACCTGGCTTCGGATCAAGGTCCTGAACCCTACCTGGCTTCGGATCAAGGTCCTGAACCCTACCTGGCTTCGGATCAAGGTCCTGAACCCTATCTGGCTTTGGATCAAGGTCCTGAACCCTATCTGGCTTTGGATGAAGGTCCTGAACCCTATCTGGCTTTGGATCAAGGTCCTGAACCCTACCTGGCAACGAATCAAGGTCCTGAACCCTATCTGGCTTCGGATCAAGGTCCTGAACCCTATCTGGCTTTGGATGAAGGTCCTGAACCCTATCTGGCTTCGGATCAAGGTCCTGAACCCTATCTGGCTTTGAATCAAGGTCCTAGACCTTATCTGGCTTTGGGCCAAGATCCTGGACCTTATCTGGCTTTGGGCCAAGATCCTGGCCCTTATCTGGCTTTAGATCAAGGTCCTGAACCCTATCTGGCTTTGGATCAAGGACCTTATCTGGCTTTGTGTTGTGTCAGAAAACTTGCGTTCAAGGACACAAAAGTACGGCTGTTAAATCCATTTTTCAGTGCGGACAACTGGTTACGTCAACTCGAGAATCAACTGAATGACCTCTTCGGGAAGAAAGGAGTTCCAGTGGAAGAAAGACTGAGAATCGCGGATGAGATGAATCGACGAGTGGCTGATGAGCAATCACAATTAGATGATGCGGATCAAGCGGCAATGAAACTGCTGGGAATTCTCGAAGGAACACCCGCCTACGATGAAGTGAAAGAGAGGCACCAGAAAGAGCACAATGAAAGGAGGAAGAGGTGGGAGAGTTTGAGAAAAAGTACTTTGCTTACAGTACTTTGCTTGGAGTACTTTGCTTGAAAGTAGGGCTTAGGAAAGCTTCTATATGCTTCTTAACATTCTAAAGTACAGTACTTGTACAGTACAGTGCTTGTACAGTGCTTGTACAGTAGAGTGCGTGTACAGTACAGTGCTTGTACAGTACAGTACTTGTTCAGTAGGTTCTTATTGGCTATTTCTCTACGTTTAGCCATAATTTCATAATATCAAAGAAATTTCAGACACAGTCTTGTACTCGATCAACTCCAACGAGTCGTCAACGAAGCAACAACGGAACAAGCAATCGGTGAAGGGGTCAAAGATGCGGTCAAGGGATTAGGAGAATGGGCTGATCAATGGGAGGACAAGGTTTGAGAATAAAACAAGCCCTAAGCAAGCCCTAAGCAAGCCTTAAGCAAGCCTTAAGCAAGCCAAAGTCAAGCTGAAGTCAAGCTGAAGTCTGGCTTTATTCAAGCCTGACATTGGCTTGGCTCAAGCAGGCTCAAGCATTGCCTTGGCTCAAGCAGGCTCAAGCATTGGCTTGGCTCAAGCATTGGCTTGGCTCAAGCATTGTCTTGGCTCAAGCATTGTCTTGGCTCAAGCAGGCTCAAGCAGGCTCAAGCAGGCTCAAGCAGGCTCAAGCAGGCTCAAGCAGGCTCAAGCAGGCTCAAGCAGGCTCAAGCAGGCTCAAGCAGGCTCAAGCAGGCTCAAGCAGGCTCAAGCAGGCTCAAGCATTGGCTCAAGCATTGATTCTTATGTGTACATTTGTTCAAATAACACTTTCAGATGTCCCAGCAACATCCAATCCCCTTGAAACAAGATCTCTTGTCAACGCTGAAGAAAGAGGAACAGTTGGAGCACTCAGAAGCCGATGCAAGACGTGCCTTAGCTGATCAACTTGAAAATGAGGTTACAAGCATTGTTTAGAGTTAGATCTTGGCCTGGCTTGGCTGGTTTGATCTTGATCCTTGTTTGACACTTACCTGATCTATAGATAGATCAATCCAGCGCCAACACTTGACTTTTGTCATGTTTTCGAGAAAATCGAGTCTATGAACTAGAAAATCAAGTCTAGAAACTTTCTCACTCTATTTCTTAGTTCTTTACCAGCTCCGAACATGGAACTTGTTAGCTATCTGAATGGAATGAAAGCTCTAATACTCTGATAATATTAGTCTAATAAAAAGTGTAAGTTAAGATCTTTAAACCGTTACGAGTTTTGTTCAAAAGCCAGGTAAGCTAAGATCAAGCCTGGCTCAGAACTGCGGCTTACTGGCTGGGTCATTGGGCTCAGAATTGCGGCTGACTGGCTGGCTCACTGGCTGGCTCACTGGGCTGAGAATTGCGGCTCACTGGCTGGCTCACTGGCTGGCTCACTGGGCTCAGAACTGCAGCTCACTGGCTGGCTTACTGAGCTCAGAATTGCGGCTCACTGGCTGGCTTACTGGGCTCAGAATTGCGGCTCACTGGCTGGCTCACTGGCTGGCTCACTGGGTTCAGAATTACAGTCACTGGCTGGCTCACTGGCTGGCTCACGGGGCTCAGAACTGCGGCTCACTGGCTGACTCACTGGGCTCAGAATTGCGGCTCACTAGCTGGCTCACTGGGCTCACAATTGCGCACAATTTTAAGGATTAGGTATTGCTTTGAAGACTCTCTTCTCAATCAGCTTTTTAAAAACAAATTTTAGGTCCGAAAGCTCTCCACAACGAATCCATCATTGGTGGAAAAGAGGGTTTAGAGGAAAAACTCGGGGCGACAAAGAGAAAGTTGGCAAAAGCGAATTCTTGGCATCAAGCTTTCCAAGACAACGTAAACGACGCACTGAAAGGAGTGATCGATTTGGAGAATCGAACGGATTTAATCCAACAACACTCGAATCTCTTGATGCAACAAGTGAAACCGATTCCACCGAAGGTAAATCTGGGTTATTCTAGAGCTTTGCTGACTTTTAAAGTCCTATAATCTGCCAGCTAGACTAAAATTGGGTTATTGTAGTTTTTGGCGGTAAAAAATAGCTCTTTAGCCTTTTTTCATTCAAAGAATAGCTCTTTAGCCTTTTTCAATGGCCTTTCAATGCCTTAGTCTATTTTTAGCTCAAAATCTCAATCAGTACTTGCCTGAATGCTTTAAAAACATATCTAAATGTGAAAAATGTTTAAAAGAATCAATCCTAAGCTTTCCTAAAGCTTTCCCGAAAAAATCTCGGAAAAAGAGCGAAAATGATCTCGGGCGGGATCGAACCGCCGACCTTCTGTGTGTTAGACAGATGTGATAACCACTACACCACGAGACCGCTTGACCGAAGGAGGAAAAAAAGGGTCTTATGAATGATCGGTGAATCAAATTGACTAAAATCTGGCTAGACTAAAAAGCTTCGTTGGTCGGTTAAGGGCGGGTTTTTCCGGAGGGTCTCCATTGGTACCATGGCGCAGTCGGCAGGGTCCTTGTCTGCAAGCCGCACGATTCGGGTTCGACTCCCCGTACTGCCGCGAAATCTTGACTTTTTTGATTTTTGTTTGAAATGACAAAACTATATTATATTCTAAGGTTTTCTAAAGGAAGGTGAGCTTTATTGGTCTCTGTTCTATTGGCAAACTTGGCTAGATCTGTTGGTAAACTTGGCTAGGCAAGAAGAACTAGATATAAATGTAAATCAGTATGAAAAACATCGAAAAACAAAAAACAAAAAAACAAAAATTTTTTAGTAATCCGAGGGTCGAGGGTTCGATTCCGAGTCAAGCCAATTTTTTTAAAAGAGTTAAAAAACTTCTTAAAAAGATAATTCTAGGGTAATTTTGAACGCTGATTCCGAAAAAAATGATTTTAGCACAGATTTTCATACAAAAAAACAAAGAAACTCGGGTTTTTTCGGCTAAAAGTACCTCAATAAATAAAAACTTTGAAAGTTGATTGACAAACGATCAAATTGATGAATGGAAATTGATGAATGGAATCCTTTTTCTTTCAATCCGCTAGATAAATAGCTTTTGAATGAGCACACGATCTTTTAAGCTATTACACAAATGGGATAAGTCGTCTAGTCACTCGATCGTCTAGTCGCCTAGTCGGTCGCCTAGATCCTCTTCAAAACAATTGGCCAAACGGCCAAACGGCCAAACGTTCTCCCCAACCAAAAAAATACCCTTACTATATTAGCTATAAGTAAATTCACCTAAAACACACACAAATCTACCGTAAACTTTTTGCAGGATCTCGAAAAATCGAAGAGGCACGAAACTCGTTGAGAGCGTTAGGAGAAGAGACAATCGAGGCGGGCAAAATCCTCGGGAAACTTCTGCAAATCCCGGCTGTCACTGAGACGGATCATGTCGAGAATTTGATGAAAGAAGCTGGAGCAAAGGTAGATTTACATCTCTGACTTTCGAGTTACTATCCGATTACTAGTCCTTACCGGATAGGAATTCGTCTCAGAAAACTGTTACCCTGTGCAGATGTTTATAAGCACTTGATTGATTGACTGGCCTTTTTAGGCTTAGGCTTAGGCCTCAATTAGACTTGGCCTAGTCTGGTGCCAGTCTGACTGAGAGCTAGCCGAAACTAGTCAGTCAATCGTCTAGTCGATCGGTCGTCTAGTCCATCGGTCGGACGTCTAGTCCGTCAATCGTCTAGTCGTCTAGTCGTCTAGTCGTCTAGTCGTCTAGTCGTCTAGTCACTCGATCGTCCAGTTGATCAATCGTCTAGTCGTCTAGTCCCTCGATCGTCTAGTCGTCTAGTCGTCTAGTCAGTCGATCGTCTAGTCGATCGGTCGGACGTCTAGTTCGTCAATCGTCTAGTCGTCTAGTCGTCTAGTCGTCTAGCCACTCGATCGTCTAGTCGTCTAGTCGCCTAGTCGATCAATCGTCTAGTCTTCTAGTCGTCTAGTCGTCTAGTCGTCTAGTCAGTCGATCGTCTAGTCTTCTAGTCGTCTAGTGGATCGATTGTCTAATCGGTCAGTCGATCGTTTAGTCGGCTAGTCGTCTAGTCCAAGCTAGTCGTCTAGTCCAAGCTAGTCGTCTAGTCTTCCAGTCGTCTAGTCGGCCAGTCGTCTAGTCCAAGCTAGTCATCTAGTCCAAGCTAGTCATCTGGCCCAAGCTAGTCGTCTAGTCCAAGCTAGTCGTCTAGTCCAAGCTAGTCATCTAGTCCAAGCCAGTCGTCTAGTCCAAGCTAGTCGGTCGGTCGAGTTTGACCAGGTCTTAGCCCTGATTAAGCTGAGTTGAGCAGGCTTGATTCTGCTCTGATTTAGTCCGCTTGATCTTGGCTTTCCTGGCTTTGAGTGTCATGCTTTTTCAGATTTTCAGCTATCTTTATAAAATTTGTAAATTTAGGTCGACGCGGTGGCTCAAGCCGTTGAAGATAAAGCGCAAAAAGCGGCAGAGTTAAGCGAATTGGACAAGAAGTTCTCTAAACTCAAGGAGGAATTCGGGAGCTGGTTGAACGATTTGGATGAGGTTAGGACTTGACATTTAACTTGAAAAACGAGTTATTCTTTGGGTTATTCGTTAGAGGTACTTAAAGAGTACTGTATTAGGTCCAGAGAAGTTAATACAGTACTCTTCAAGTACAGTAGTACTCTTTAGCTATTGTAGTACTCTTTAAGTACTGTAGTGTACTGTAGTGTACTGTACTAACCCATTTTTTGCCTTTAGACAGTTTCCTCTTTATCTCCTTTATCCTCAACATCGGATGGCTTGAAAGAGCAACAAAAGAGTGCTCACAGTTGAGAGAGATCAATATGCAGAAGGAGCACAACCTTTAGAAGAATTGGAAAGGTTATCGATTGCCATTGCTGAGCTAGAGACGATTCCTGGTGAGTCTAAGAAAATGAAGGTGATGAAAAATGAAGAAAATGAAGGATAATTATAAAGTAGTTTCAATAGTCCAGGGTTAGAGATAGTTATAAAGTAGTATTCAATGTACATCATAATTTGATCAATCCAAATTTCTCTGTGACATCCAACTAGAATATAACCAAAAGATTAGACAGCTTACTCCTACTAAAACAAGAGTTATACAGGCGAGAAGGTTGACTCGAAAAGTGCTGGACTGAAATTCCGTAATGCAGAAATTTGATCAATCCAAATTTCTCTGTGACATCCAACTAGAATATAACCAAAAGATTAGACAGCTTACTCCTACTAAAACAAGAGTTATACAGGCGAGAAGGTTGGCTCGAAAAGTGCTTGACTGAAATTCTCAGCTACAGTACCCGTGTCATATGTCGTTTAAAGCAAATCGACTATGGGGAATTCAAAAATCGAGCTCATTTCTACTGCTACAGTACTGTTGCGTATTTTTGCAGTGTTTCATACCTTTCTCCTCCTCTTCCGGCGCTTTCATCTTTCTTGTTTGCTTTGCTTTATCAGTGAGCGCTTTCATCTTTCTTGTTTACTTTATCAGTGCTTTATCAGTAATGGTTTTATCAGTGAGCGCCTCGAAGAGTAGCTTGGAGTTGATCGAAACGAAGAATGGATATGATTTTCGGATTCCTGATAGTCGATTTGCTTTAAACGACATACGGGACGGGGGTGTTGGACGGAGATTTTAGCCAGGCACTTTCCAGACTCGGTTCAATTACGCGACTTTGTGTAAAAACAGTAATTCCAGAATTGCGAAATCCAGAAATTTGATCAATTCAAGCTTTAGTGTGACATCCAACTAGAATATAACCAAAATCTTAAACAGCTTACTCCTACTAAAACAAGAGTTACGCCGGCGAGAAGGTTGGCTCGAAAAGTGCTTGACTGAAATTCCGTAATGCAGAAATTTGATCAATCCAAATTTCTCTGTGACATCCAACTAGAATATAACCAAAAGATTAGACAGCTTACTCCTTCTAGAACAAGAGTTATACAGGCGAGAAGGTTGGCTCGAAAAGTGCTTGACTGAAATTCCGTATTGCAGAAATTAGATCAATCCAAATTTCGCTGTGACATCCAACTAGAATATAGCCAAAAGATTAGACAGCTTACTCCTACTAGAACAATAGTTATCCTTTAGAATCTGATCCCGATCTGATTTGGTAGATTTTTAGACTTGAACTGCCTTGATTGTCTTAAGCTTGGCCTTGATTGTCTTAAGCCTGACCTGTCTGGCTAATCCTAGGATAAGAGTGAATCAGGTAGGACCTGAGCACTATAAGATTAAGGCCAGAGGTAGAGTCAAGTTTGAGGTAAGTAGTAGAACTGGGGGACGGTAAGAAGAAGGGGTACGAAGAAGAAGGCTGGGGTAAGGCCTGCTATGGTGGGTTTAGGATACAGTAGGATACAGTAAGATACAGTAGGATTTAAAGGCTAGAGTTATACCTGGAAAACCAACACTTGCTTCCCAATTTCTAGGCTCGAGAAGCAGCAGTATTCCAAGAAATGTATTCGATCTGAGATCTCGCTACGATCAACTGGGATCACAAATCGATGGACGAGCTCAGAAAATCAACGAACAACAAAAACAAGCACATCAATTCGAGGACAAAGCCGCCGCCGTGCAACAATGGATCAAAGAGCAGAGGGAAAGCTGGCGAATGAGGTGAGGTGTTCTTTGAGCTACTGTACTGTTCCCAAAAAAGCTGTTTGCTTGTAAAGCGGTGCCCTACGTATCCTAAGGATACTGTGACACCCAAAATGATTATACAAAGTACAGTAACCCATTCTGACTACAGTAATCCTTGCTACAGGCTTAAGCTAGCTACTTACTGTACTGTTCCAAAAAAGCTCTTTGCTTGTAAAGCGGTGTCCTACGTATCCTAAGGGTACTGTGACACCCAAAATGTTTATAGAACAATAATAAGGCCGAGTTTTTCAGTTCCCGTTGGATCTCTCAGCTGATGGAGTGAAATCGTCGAAAGAACGCCTTGAACACCTCCAAAAGGAAAACCGAGCCGGGCAAAGAGGTGTCGATGATTTGAGATTTGATGCGATCTCCCTGATTCGCTCAAATCCGAATAATGCAGAGGTTGCGATGCTCGAGAAAGCAATCGAAATGGAATGGGAAGCATTGCAAAATCAACAGGAAGCGACAAGGAAAAAGTTGGAGGATGCCGAGAAAATCGTGAGTTTTCTGGAGAGATAATTCAACTCGTGTGCTAGAGGAAATGCGTTTGTGCTCAAGTCCAGTAGTTCTCAGAGCTCTGGCAGGCACAGCGATTGCACAGCGATTCGATTAACAAATTTAGGTGGATGGCGTGAACCAATTGGATCGTTGGTTGCATGGAAAACAGCGGTTGATTGACTCTGTTGGTGCTCCTTCTACTGATTCTCATATGGCAAAAGGACAAAGGGCACAAATTGATATGTTAAAGGTTGGGAGAAATTACAGTACGCAAGATAAGGGCTCAGACCCAGGCTCTGGCTAAGGCCCAGGCTCAGAGCGACCTCAGGCTTAGGCCAAGCTCAGTCCAGGCTTAGGCCAAGCTCAGTCCAGGCTCAGGCCAGGCTCCGGCTCTGACTCTGGCTTTGTGACGCACCTTCCTGTCGCATTTTGACATTTAGTATTCTAGAAGTCTTGTATTTTAACACCTCAAAGTACACATAAGACTACAGGTTCTCATTGCCTCCTCGTGTCCTTTGAGCACTTGTAACTTTGAGCCTTTGAGCACATGTGCATTCTGGTGCTCAGGCTCAGGCTTGCTAGAATCGCCAGAGTACTAGAATCACCAGAGTCCTAGAATCATTTAGATTACTAAGAAATATCTCTGTTACAAAGCTAGATACTTATTTCTCAGATTGACACCGAAAACGAGCGCCTTAACATGGAAAAGCTGAAAGATTTGGCGGAAAAGCTCGGCGATTCGGCGACAAATGATGGAGATAAGGAGATCATACAAAAACAAGTGAGCTTAATAGGAAAGATTTTGATTTAGTCTTGTTGTACAGTTGGCTGGCTGGCTAGCTGGCTAGCTGGCTAGCTGGCTGGCTGGCTAGCTGGCTGGCTGGCTAGTTGGCTGGCTGGCTGGCTAGCTGGCTGGCTGGCTAGCTGGCTGGCTGGCTAGTTGGCTGGCTAGTTGGCTGGCTGGCTGGCTGGCTGGCTAGTTGGCTGGCTAGTTGGCTGGCTGGCTGGCTGGCTAGCTGGCTGGCTGGCTAGCTGGCTGGCTGGCTAGCTGGCTGGCTAGTTGGCTGGCTAGCTGGCTGGCTGGCTAGTTGGCTGGCTGACTGGTTGGCTGGCTAGCTGGCTGGCTGGCTAGCTGGCTGGCTAGTTGGCTGGCTAGTTGGCTGGCTAGTTGGCTGGCTAGTTGGCTGGCTGACTGGCTGGCTAGTTGGCTGGCTGGCTAGTTGGCTGGCTGACTGGCTGGCTAGTTGGCTGGCTAAGAGCACTGTACCCCTAGTGCCTTCAGTATCCCTGGATACTGTATCATCTTGGTATACTGTAGTATTGTTGTACCCAGGGTTACTGATTGTGGTACTCAGGGTTACTTGTATCATACTCTAACTGGTAACTCTCATTTTGTCATCAATTTCAGATCGATTTGCTGAACGATCGCTGGGGATCGCTGAATGATGGATTGGAGAAGAAAGAGTCGAATATTTCGAGAGCAGCTGAACTCGGCGCTGAGATTGCGCAGATCAACAAGGAGATCAAGTGGGTTATTTTAGTTCTCGAGCCATGCCAAATAGCTGACGATAGCTAATTGCTGACTACAGCTTTCTTTCTGTCTTTCTGGCAATTACAATTAGTTTCAAAGCTCGAAATTCTCAATGCTTACAAGAGTACTGTTTAAAGTACTGTTTAAAGTACTGTTTAAAGTACTGTTTAAAGTACTGTTTAAAGTACTGTTTAAAAGTACTTTAAACAGTACAGTTTCATTTCTAGAAAGAAACTCGGCGAGCTGGAGCACGAGGTGGACGCAGTTTCCCGTCTTCCATCAACAGAAATCAATCAACAATTATCCAAACTGGACGAGTTGAAAAGAAGAGAAGGAGAAGTGAATGAGTTGTTGGAGAAATTGGGGGAAAAGGTAAAGAAAGCCGATGAATATGCGGTTGATTCGACGAATCAAACGGAAATCGCCGAAGGATTGTTGAATGCAAAGACGAAAACGGCTGAGGTGAGTAGAACTCTAGAATTTAAGTACGAAAGGAAACGAAAAGACCTTCTGGTCTAACAGAAAGCCTAATAACAGAGCTCCTAAGCCTATCAGAGCTCCTACGCCTAATAACAGAGCTCCTACGCCTAATCACAGAGCTTCTAAGCCTAATCACAGAGCTTCTAAGCCTAATCACAGAGCTTCTAAGCCTAATCACAGAGCTTCTAAGCCTAATCACAGAGCTTCTAAGCCTAATAACAGAGCTCAGAGCTATTGGAAACTTTGTAAAACAAATTTGACTTATTACTGGTTTCCAGTTGGACAAGAAGATCGACTCGGTGAAGCAAGCCGCTCTTTCCGTCAAAGATCAAGGAGATCTCTTGGATCGACACGTTGATGGACTCTTGGATTCGATTCAGTTATTGGCACTGGATATCAATAATGTAAGTTGTAAGAAAAGGCACTCTGGTGCACGAGGAGCCTGAGCCTAAGCCAGCCTAAGCCAGCCTAAGCCAGCCTAAGCCAGCCTAAGCTCGATTTCAATACTCAACTTTAGTCTCCACCAATTTGCGCTGACAAGGAAAAGCTATTCGATGAGATTTCCCGTTTTTCTCATTTGTATGATGAGATTTTGGGAAAAGAAGGAGATGTGAGTTTGATGAAGACTAAATTGCAAGAAGATCTCCTATCGAAACCGGAAAGGAAAGAGAAATTCGAGCGATTGAATAGGGAATGGACACCGCTGTTAGAAGCCACGAAACAGAGAAGAGCCAGTTTGGATAAGGTGAGGTTTTCGAGATCTTAAAGACACGTAAAGCAGTACTTGATTGAACCCTGATCATCTACTGGGTCTAGGCTAGGTACTGTAATTGTAATACTGAAGTACTGAAGTAATACTGAAGTACCCAGACTGAGTCCAATCCTTTAAAACTGTTCCGAACCTAAGCCTAACCTTAAGCCTAACCCTAAGCCTAACCTGGGAACTGGCCGAGACTCAGAAAATCGGAGTTGAGCCTAAACCCTAATAGTGCGAGACAGGCAAGCCTAAGCCTAAGCTTAATCCCAAATCAAAATAGACTCAGTCTTAGCCGCCAAGCCTAAGCCTAGCCTCAACCCAAATAGACTCAGTCCTAGCCAAGCCTAAGCCCAGCCCCAACCCAAATAGACCCAGCCAAAGCCAAGCCTAAGCCTAGCCCAGACCCAAATAGACCCAGCCAAAGCCAAGCCTAAGCCTAAGCCTAGCCCAGACCCAAATAGACTCAGTCCTAGCCAAGCCTGAGCCTAGCCCCAACCCAAATAGACCCAGCCAAAGCCAAGCCTAAGCCTAAGCCTAGCCCAGACCCAAATAGACTCAGTCCTAGCCAAGCCTGAGCCTAGCCCCAACCCAAATAGACCCAGCCAAAGCCAAGCCTAAGCCTAAGCCTAGCCCAGACCCAAATAGACTCAGTCCTAGCCAAGCCTGAGCCTAGCCCCAACCCAAATAGACCCAGCCAAAGCCAAGCCTAAGCCTAGCCCAGACCCAAATAGACCCAGCCAAAGCCAAGCCTAAGCCTAAGCCTAGCCCAGACCCAAATAGACTCAGTCCTAGCCAAGCCTGAGCCTAGCCCCAACCCAAATAGACCCAGCCAAAGCCAAGCCTAAGCCTAAGCCTAGCCCAGACCCAAAATAGACTCAGTCCTAGCCAAGCCTGAGCCTAGCCCCAACCCAAATAGACCCAGCCAAAGCCAAGCCTAAGCCTAAGCCTAGCCCAGACCCAAATAGACTCAGTCCTAGCCAAGCCTGAGCCTAGCCCCCAACCCAAATAGACCCAGCCAAAGCCAAGCCTAAGCCTAGCCCAGACCCAAATAGACCCAGCCAAAGCCAAGCCTAAGCCTAAGCCTAGCCCAGACCCAAATAGACTCAGTCCTAGCCAAGCCTGAGCCTAGCCCCAACCCAAATAGACCCAGCCAAAGCCAAGCCTAAGCCTAAGCCTAGCCCAGACCCAAATAGACTCAGTCCTAGCCAAGCCTGAGCCTAGCCCCAACCCAAATAGACCCAGCCAAAGCCAAGCCTAAGCCTAGCCCAGACCCAAATAGACCCAGCCAAAGCCAAGCCTAAGCCTAAGCCTAGCCCAGACCCAAATAGACTCAGTCCTAGCCAAGCCTGAGCCTAAGCCTAACCAAAGCCCAAATAGACTCAGTCAAAGCCAAGCCTAAACCTAAGCCTAGACCATGTACGAGTACTGATTATAAGCTAAGGCTAGATGCTGTACTGGATCCTGGATTTGAATCCATTACTGCTTAAAACTTGTTCTTTATAATGCTATAAGCATTAGGCTAGTACTGAACCTAGTTAGTACTGAACTAGTTAGTACTGGTCTAGTACCTAGACCGGGAACTAGACCTAGATCTAGGTCAGACAGTAGTGCTAAGCTAGATACTAGTACCGGAGCCAAGCCTGGGTCTAGACTGGATCTAGACCAGGTAGTAGGAGTAGATCCAGTCCAGATCTGGGTACAAATACCCAGGTCCAGCCTAGATCTAGGTACAAGTACCAGGCTCAGATCTAATGTGTCAAGCCAGGTACTAGCAGGCCAGACAGACACTATCAGGCCAGACAGCCAGATCCTTCCTAGAGGCCCAGATCAGCTATCTAACTAACCAGGGCCAAGATCTGGACAGATCTGGACAGATCTGGACATAGCTTAAATATTATCCTCACAATTTCTAGGTGAACGACCTTGTCAAGCAATTCATTGACCAAGAGGCCACACTGAAGAATCATTTGGTTGGCGATGAGCAAGGATTGGCTAAAGCTCAAGAAGAGGCTCAGGGTGAGATCCCGAACACCGATGGATTGTTGACATTAGAGGAGAATCTGGAACGACGAGCTCATGAAGCCGATACGCTGGATAATTTGGCTGACAGGTTCGATATTTCTGTCTGATTTTGGATTGAGAGAAAGCTGTGAATTCAAGAATACAGTCGAGCAAGAAACAATGAATAGAGTTTAGAAAAGCTCTCAAACAAACAGCTCTCAAACAAACAACTTCCAAACAAACAGCTCTCAATTTCAGAATTGAAAAGCTTGCCCCAGGCCCAGATGCTCGACATTTGAAGCGAGGCGCCGAGAATCTGTGCGATGATGTGAGAGCGTTATCGAAAAAAGCGAGAAATGGATTGGCGGCTGTGCAGAAGAAGGCAAGTTATTAAAAGATATAATTTAAAAAGATAGCCAACAGTGAAATGTAGCTTTTCAAATATTTCTACCTTGGCTGCTATCTGGGTTACTCTAGCTAGTCCATACGGGTAGTGTAGGGCAACTAGTAGAGCAACTAGTAGGGCAACTAGGGCAACTAGTGGGGCAACTAGGGCAACTAGTAGGGCAACTAGTAGGGCAACTAGTAGGGCAACTAGTAGGGCAACTAGAGCAACTAGTAGAGCAACTAGTAGGGCAACTAGTAGAGCAACTAGTAGGGCAACTAGAGCAACTAGTAGAGCAACTAGTAGGGCAACTAGTAGAGCAACTAGTAGGGCAACTAGAGCAACTAGTAGAGCAACTAGTAGGGCAACTAGTAGAGCAACTAGTAGGGCAACTAGTAGGGCAACTAGGGCAACTAGTAGAGCAACTAGTAGAGCAACTAGTAGGGCAACTAGTAGGGCAACTAGGGCAACTAGTGGGGCAACTAGGGCAACTATTAGGGCAACTAGAGTACTGTACAATGAAAGATGTAGTCAGCCAACGAAAGATTCATCACTTGGCTTACTGTGGCCGAGATTACGATGGGTTTAGGGTAAGAAGCAAGCAAGCAAGCAAGAAGCAAGCAAGCTAGCTAGCAGGCTCTACCCTATTCAAAGAAAAGTCACAGAAATTGTCAATCCATTGTAGCTATCGTAATCCTGCTAACAACATCTTTTCAGATCGATCTGCGCACCAAATTCGACAAGTTGATCGACGAGAGCACAGCGTTTGCCGAGGGAAAAGAGGCAGAACTTGAAAAGGACAAGGAGATGATCAATAGAGAAAGATTGCAAGCAAGTGAGTGAATGAAAAAGTCTATTAAAAGGCTATTAAAAGGCTATTAAAAGGCTATTAAAAGGCTATTAAAAGGCTATTAAAAGGCTATTAAAAGATCTATTTTATTGTAGGATCTTTTTATGAGTTGCTTGGATTGAAATGAACTTTTCAGAACTCTCCGAAGTCGAGTCGTTTTGGGGGAAAACTGGTCGAGAATTGAAACAACTTGGGCAAGATTTGAAGCAAATTCTGCCCGATGAAGCCCATCAATCCATCGATTTGCCAATTGAGGAGCTGGGAGAGAGATTCGAGGGATTGATCGAGAAGATGAGGTGGGGGAGTTGGGATTTGAGTGGCTTGGAATTTGATTGGCTAGATTTGATTGGCTAGATTTGAGTGGCTAGATTTGGGTGACTAGATTTGAGTGGCTAGATTTGATTGGCTAGATTTGAGTGGCTAGATTTGAGTGACTAGATTTGGGTGACTAGATTTGAGTGGCTAGATTTGAGTGGCTAGATTTGAGTGGCTAGATTTGAGTGGCTAGATTTGAGTGGCTAGATTTGAGTGGCTAGATTTGGGTGACTAGATTTGAGTGGCTAGATTTGAGTGGCTAGATTTGAGTGACTAGATTTGGGTGACTAGATTTGAGTGGCTAGATTTGAGTGGCTAGATTTGAGTGGCTAGATTTGAGTGACTAGATTTGAGTGGCTAGATTTGAGTGGCTAGATTTGAGTGGCTAGATTTGAGTGACTAGATTTGAGTGGCTAGATTTGAGTGACTAGATTTGGGTGACTAGATTTGAGTGGCTAGATTTGAGTGGCTAGATTTGAGTGGCTAGATTTGGTTGACTAGATTTGAGTGACTAGATTTGGTTGACTAAATTTGAGTGACTAGATTTGGTTGACTAGATTTGAGTGGCTAGATTTGGTTGACTAGATTTGGTTGACTAGATTTGATTGGCCTAAATCTAGGCCAGGTTCTAGATATTGTACTATCCGAAAGAACAGATCTAAATACAGTACTGGTAAGCCCAGATCTTAGTCCGGCCTAGATCTTAGTCAGACCTAGATCTTAGTCAGGCCTAGATCCTAGTCAGGTCTAGATCCTAGTCAGGCCCAGATCTTAATCAGGTCTAGATCTTAATCAGGTCCAGATCCTAGTCAGGTCTAGACCCTAGACAGGTCCAGATCTTAGTCAAGCCTAGTTCCTAGTCAAGCCTAGTTCCTAGTCAAGCCTAGTTCCTAGTCAAGCCTAGATCCTAGTCATGCCTAGATCCTAGTCATGCCTAGATCCTAGTCATGCCTAGATCCTAGTCATGCCTAGATCCTAGTCATGCCTAGATCCTAGTCATGCCTAGATCCTAGTCATGCCTAGATCCCAGTCAGACCTAGATCTTAATCAGGCTCAGGTGACTGACCTGCTGGCTAAGATCTAGCAGGTCTAGCAGGTCTAGATCTTAGCCAGGCCCATCCCGTCGACAAACGAGCGTCGCGTTTGCGCAAAGACCACAAACAAACGTTTCTTTTGCTTTATATAGAGTCGATTAGCAAATTCATTTTGCAGATTGATCGATTTGACGCTAAACGAGAAACGCAAAGAGGCCGAGAATGTGAAAGAGAAAACGATTCGATTAGCGACAAGGCTGAACTCTTTATACTCGGTAAACTAACTGATCCTGATCCTCCAGAGTACTGTAAGCCTTAGCTACAGTAATCAGCAACTACAGTAGACATTAGCTACAGTAATCATCAACTACAGTAACTACAGGTTGGCGACACCTTTGGAAAAGTCGTCGCCGACCTGTAGTTGATAGCAAACGTCTGTCTTCTTGCCAAGGTGTCAAGTGTTATATAGAGAATTGTAGCCCCGAATCTTCGCTACATTTCTCTACCAAAAACTTCTCAATTAGCTTTATACAACTCATTTTACAAGCCCTCGAATGCCAAGTGACAAAAATGGCAGACCAAAGACCTTGAGCCCATTCAAGTGCTTGTAAAATTAGTTCTATAACTCTAATTGGGAAACTTTTAAGGGGAAAAATGTAGACAAGAAAAAGGGCTTTATTTTTGTATATAACACTTTGAGGTTTGGTAAGAAGAGAGGCGTTTGGCAGGAAGTGAAAAGTCGAACTTTCTGAAAAAATCGGCACTTTATAAATTGTGATTAGATTCAGACAGTATTTTATTGAAATAAATCACATAAATGTTGCAATAATCCTCTAAAAAGCATAAAATAAATAAAACTCTTTCTAGGGCAAATAAAACTCTTCCTTTTCTAGGATTTAAATGATTTGGATCCGATTGGGCGAAGTTTGGATGAGTTGCAAAAGCAGAATGAACAATGCGACGAGATGAATGCCGAGCTAAACGAGAGGGAAAGCGAGTTGAATTCGGTGCTGGGATAGAGCTATTTTAGTAGAGCTAAGGATCAAGATATCTTCTAGATATCTAATTTTCGATACACTACTGAACAATCGAATATTATATTTGCAAAAAAAATCGTATTAAAAAACGATCGTCACTTTCGCGCGTCTATAACTCCCTTGTCTTTACCGTATTTCGAAATATTAATATTACCATTGTGTAGCCCTTGAAAAGAGCTTTCAGAAAATGTATAACACTAATAGTTTAAACTCAAAGACAAGCGAGTTACAGACGCGCGAAAGTGACGATCGTTTTTCAAATATGATATTTCATTGTCCAGTACTGTACTTCGAGGATAGGATTTAGCTAAGTAACTTAACTCTGGAGCTGGAGCTAATAGAGCTCTGGAGTTGGAGCTACTGAAGCTCTGGAGCTCTGAATCTCTGGAGCTGGAACTCTGGAGCTCTGAATCTCTGGAGCTGGAACTCTGGAGCTCTGGAACTCTGAAGCTGGAGCTCTGGAGCTCTGGAACTCTGGAGCTGGAGTTAATAGAGCTCTGGAGTTGGAGCTACTGAAGCTCTGGAGCTCTGAATCTCTGGAGCTGGAACTCTGGAGCTCTGGAACTCTGAAGCTGGAGCTCTGGAGCTCTGGAACTCTGAAGCTGGAGCTCTGGAGCTCTGGAACTCTGGAGCTGGAGTTAATAGAGCTCTGGAGTTGGAGCTACTGAAGCTCTGGAGCTCTGAATCTCTGGAGCTGGAACTCTGGAGCTCTGGAACTCTGAAGCTGGAACTCTGGAGCTCTGGAACTCTGAAGCTGGAGCTCTGGAGCTCTGGAACTCTGGAGCTGGAGTTAATAGAGCTCTGGAGTTGGAGCTACTGAAGCTCTGGAGCTCTGAATCTCTGGAGCTGGAACTCTGGAGCTCTGGAACTCTGAAGCTGGAGCTCTGGAGCTCTGGAACTCTGGAGCTGGAGCTAATAGAGCTCTGGAGTTGGAGCTACTGAAGCTCTGGAGCTCTGAATCTCTGGAGCTCTGGAACTCTGGAGCTGGAGCTCTGGAACTCTGGAGCTGGAGCTCTGGAGCTCTGGAGCCCCGGATCTCTGGAGCCCCGGATCTCTGGAGCTCTGGAGCTGGAACTCTGGAACTCTGGAACTCTGAATCTCTGGAGCTGGAGCTCTGGAGCTCTGGTTTTTCGATCGTTTTTCAAATAAAATATGATATTTCATTGTCCAGTACTGTAGATATCTAATTATAGATATCGATTTTCTAGTTCTAGTTCTACTTTCTAGTTCTACTTTCTAGTTCTAGTTCTAGTTTCCTAAATTCCTAGCTTTTTCACGGGTTTTACGGTCATTCAAAAGCTCAAATGCTTTTCTTTTCTTCTTTGAAATTCGATACTCGAGTAAATAGACTTGAAACGAAACTGAAAACTCGATTTTTTTTATATAAAAATACCCTGATATTCGTGATTTACAGTTTTCTTCGGTTTTTAACCCTTTTTTTACCTCGATTCTAGATCTATGACTTGTGGAAATCAGCTCTGAACATTCAAGCCGTCACCCCCGAGCAATTGGCAACAAATCAACAACATTTGGATGACATGAAACGGGTGAGTTGAATGCAATACGTTGATACTAACGAGAAAATCTCTTTTGCTGTCGATCTTTTGCTGTCAGTCCTTTGCTGTTAGCTTTCTAGAACCTTCAGAACCTTTCTAGAGCCTTCTGAACCTTCTTAGAACCTTCAGAACCTTTCTAGAGCCTTCTGAACCTTCCTAGAACCTTCAGAACCTTTCTAGAGCCTTCTAAACCTTCTTAGAACCTTCAGAACCTTTCTAGAGCCTTCTGAACCTTCCTAGAACCTTCAGAACCTTTCTAGAGCCTTCTAAACCTTCTTAGAACCTTCAGAACCTTCCTAGAGCCTTCTAAACCTTCTTAGAACCTTCAGAACCTTTCTAGAGCCTTCTGAACCTTTCTAGAACCTTCAGAACCTTCCTAGAGCCTTCTAAACCTTCTTAGAACCTTCAGAACCTTTCTAGAGCCTTCTAAACCTTCTTAGAACCTTCAGAACCTTTCTAGAGCCTTCTGAACCTTTCTAGAACCTTCAGAACCTTCCTAGAGCCTTCTAAACCTTCTTAGAACCTTCAGAACCTTCCTAGAGCCTTCTAAACCTTCTTAGAGCCTTCAGAACCTTTCTAGAGCCTTCTGAACCTTTCTAGAACCTTCAGAACCTTTCTAGAGCCTTCTGAACCTTCCTAGAACCTTCAGAACCTTCCTAGAGCCTTCTAAACCTTCTTAGAACCTTTTTCTCAGCAACAACCCTTCGATTTGAACTATTTTGACTATACTTTCCCTTTTGCCGTTGGGAATTTAGGATTTTCCTCAGCACCAAAGCTTCTATTTTGACTATTTTGACTATCAGTTAATGCAGAATGAAATTGCGCGTCGAATGATGCCAAAACCAACTCAAAATGTAATATCCATGCAAAGTTATGAGACAAAAGGTTAAGCCGCACCCACAATGAATGGGGTGTAGGTTTTTAGCCTATAACTTTGCATGAATATTACATATTGACTTAATTTTGTTATCATTCGACGCACAATTTGATTCTGCATCGAATTATAGCTCAAAATAGTCAAAATAAAAGCGTTGCTGCTGAGAAAAACACGAATAACCTCAAGTGGTCAAGGGAAAAAGGTTTTAGCCTATAACTTTGCATGGATATTAAATATTGACTTAATTTTGTTATCATTCGACGCGCAATTTGATTCTGCATCGAATTATAGTTTAAATAGTCAAAATAGCAGCGCTGATGCCGAGAAAAACACGAAAAATCTTAAATTTGCGCTTTTCTCAGCATTAGCCCTTCGATTTCGCCTATTTGAGCTATGATTCGATGCAGAATGAAATTGCGCGTCGAATGATAACAAAATTAGCTCAAAATGTAATATCCAAGCAAAGTTATGGGGTAAATAGTTAAGCCCCACCCACAATGAATGGGGTTTAGGTTTTTAGCCGATAACTTTGCATGGATATTAGATTTTGAGTTGGTTTTGGTATCATTCGACGCGCAATTTCATTCTGCATCGAATTATAATTCAAATAGGCGAAATCGAAGGGTTGGTGTTGAGAAAAACCGTAATTTAAGTTTTTTCATCTTTTTCTTAGCACTAATCCTTCTATTTTGCCTATCTAAGTTATCATTCGATGCAGAATGAAATTGCGCGTCGAATGATATCAAAAACAACTCAAAATGTAAAATCTATGCAAAGTTATTAGCTAAAAACCTACACCCCGCCGATTTTGCACAGGGCTTAACCTTTTGCCCCATAACTTTGCATGGATACTATATTTTGGGTAGTTTTTGATATCGTTCGACGCGCAATTTCTTTCTGCATCAACTGATAGTCCAAATAGTCAAAACGGAATCATTGGCGCTGAGAAAAACAAGGAAAACCGTAGGACCAAGAGATGTTTTTGTTACAAGTCTAATAGTCGGTATACTGTGGCACCAGATCCACCAGGTTTACTTATATTTTAAGGTACTGTACCTGACTAGCTAATGCGGCTTTAAAATAGAAGCGTTGGCGCTAAGAAAAAGACGAATGACCTTAAATTGCCAATGACAAACCCCGTTATGGGCGGACTTTTTGTCTCATCACTTGAATATTACATTTTGAGTTAATTTTGATATGTTATGGATACTGTAGGCGGGTTGTAGCCAGGCTATAGCCCGGCTACGAAAGCGTACTGTAGCTTGTTTGGCTGCGATACTGTAGCTAAGCGACTGTAAATTACTGTAATTTGTAACTCCATCGAAAATCGAAAACTTCGAGTCGTTTCCTTTTGAACAAACATTCTGTGAGTCATTTTTTTGCAAAAACTTTACGCCCTTTTTATTCGGTCCCTTTTTATTTATCGATTTCCACTCATATCCTGTCAGAAAATTCAAAAAAAATCTTTCAAAAGTGCCGACAAAAAAAATGCGGCGTTTTTGAATGAAAACGAATATTCGTTTTTCCGATCCCATTCCGAATCGCTCAATCGTCGATTTCTTTTGGGAAATTCTCGAAAATTGAGAACACCTATTTTCTCGTCGTTTCCCTTTTAGTCTTGATGCCATTTTTTCTCACAAAGGTTTGATGATCTGGCTCGGAATCTAGCTTGGAATCTAGCTCGAGATCTAGCTTGGAATCTAGCTTGGAATCTAACTCGAGATCTAGCTCGGAATCTAGCTTGGAACCTGGATCGGAATCTAGCTCGGAATCTAGCTTGGAATCTAGCTCGAATAGCTCGAGATCTAGCTCGAGATCTAGCTCGAGATCTAGCTCGAGATCTAGCTCGAATAGCTCGAGATCTAGCTCGAGATCTAGCTCGAGATCTAGCTCGAGATCTAGCTCGAATAGCTCGAGATCTAGCTCGAGATCTAGCTCAGAATCTAGCTTGGAACCTAGCTCAAAATCTAGCTCAAGATCTAGCTCGAGATCTAGCTCGAATAGCTCGAGATCTAGCTCGAGATCTAGCTCGAGATCTAGCTCGAATAGCTCGAGATCTAGCTCGAAATCTAGCTCAGAATCTAGCTTGGAACCTAGCTCAAAATCTAGCTCAAGATCTAGCCTGGAGTCTAGCTCGGAATCTAGCTCGGAATCTAGCTCGAATAGCTCGGAATCTAGCTCGAGATCCAGCTTGGAATCTAGCTCGAATAGCTCGGAATTTAGCTCGAGATCCAGCTTGGAATCTAGCTCGAGATCTAGCTCGGAACCTAGCTCGGAATCTAGCTGGGAATCTAGCTCGGAATTCGAATTAGGATAGAAAAAATTCATTCAGCGTTTTGTACTTGCGAAATTTTGCTATGCAAAAAGGTTAACATGACAAAATGAAAAAAATGACAAAATTTTGGACAAATTTCCAGCCCGAATCTTTCCAGGCTTATTCAAAGCTGATCTTGGCTGGGATTCCAGAAATAGATCCATTTAGATTAGAAATTAGGACCAACGATTCCATTTTGATTACTGAAATGAGGCACGGGCTTCGCGATCCGGATAGGATGTGGATAAGATCCGGAATTTGAACAAATCTGAGCTTTTCTGCAGTAGCCTTTCTACAGTAGCCTTTCTACAGTAGCTTTTCTACAGTAGCTTTTCTACAGTAGCTTTTCTACAGTAGTCTTTCTACAGTAACTTTCCTAAAGTTTACTTTCAGCTAATCGCTAAAGGGAAACGAAAAATTGGCGATCGTTTCAAGAAAATCGGCTCAATCGAGGAGGATTTGAAGCGAATTGAAAAGTGAGTTTGAATCATTTATCTTAAAGATCACAATATTCAAAGCTACAATAATATTTAATAGTGAATCGAAAGCTGTTATCGATGACGTAAATCGCTTAGCTGAACATGATGCGCTGAAGAACGAGAATGGATTGACTGATCCGAAAACAAGAGCTGAGGTTGGCCGAAAACATAAACTTGAATACTCCAAAGTTGGCAATTTAAATTAGATAGATTTGAATCTGATCTGTACAAAGCTAGCTGAGCAGATCTGGATCAGAGCTGGATAGCTGGATTGGATCTGAGCAGATCTGGATCAGAACTGGATCAGATCTGGATTAGATCTGGAGAAGATCTGAGCAGATCTGGATCAGAGCTGGAGCAGAGCTGGATCAGAGCTGGATTAGATCTGAGCAGATCTGGATCAGAGCTGGATCAGAGCTGGATTAGATCTGAGCAGAGCTGGATCAGAGCTGGATCAGAGCTGGAGCAGAGCTGGATCAGAGCTGGATTAGAACTGCATCAGAGCTGGATCAGAGCTGGATTAGATCTGAGCAGATCTGGATCAGATCCCAATCAGATCCCAACCAGACTCCAATCAGACTCCAACCAGACTCCAATCAGATCCCAATCAGATCCCAATCAGATCCCAATCAGATACGAAACAGAAACAGAGGACCAGTGATCAAGTCCAGCTAGGCCCTAGTCAATGTTAAAATCAGAACAGAACCAGATCCGGACCAGAATCTAATCTAGGCCTACCAAAGCCTGGCTTTAAATTCTGGAAATTTTTCTGGAAGTCTGGTAGTCTGGAAGTCTAGAAGTCTGGAAGTCTGGAAGTCTGGTAGTCTGGAAGTTTGGAAGTTTGGAAGTCTAGAAGTCTGGAAGTCTGGTAGTCTGGAGGTCTGGAAGTCTGGAAGTCTGGAAGTCTGGAAGTCTGGAAGTCTGGAAGTCTAGAAGTCTGGAAGTCTTTTTGAAAGCCTGGAGGTCTTTCTGAAAACCTTTAAGCGCTCTGAGCTAGACAAATATAAAGCATAAATAAAGAATAATTTCCAGGAGCTCCGCCAACTCAAAGATCAACTCCGACCGGTGTCCGAGCGAGCCGACAGCGTGCAAGCCGAGTGTAAAGCTTTGATCAAAACAGCATCCCCGGATGCGGATACAAAGCAATTGGTGAGATATTAGAGTTATTGAGAAAGAGTTATTGAGAAAGAAATAAGCTGAGTGGAACTGAGCTCAGGCTCAGACTGAGAAGAACTGAGCTCAGGCTCAGGCTGAGAAGAACTGAGCTCAGGCTCAGGCTGAGTAGAACTAAGCTCAGGCTCAAGCTGAGTAGAACTAAGCTCAGGCTCAAGCTGAGTAGAACTAAGCTCAGGCTCAAGCTGAGTAGAACTAAGCTCAGGCTCAAGCTGAGTAGAACTAAGCTCAGGCTCAGACTGAGAAGAACTAAGCTCAGGCTCAGACTGAGAAGAACTAAGCTCAGGCTCAGACTGAGAAGAACTAAGCTCAGGCTCAGACTGAGAAGAACTGAGCTCAGGCTCAGACTGAGTAGAACTAAGCTCAGGCTCAGACTGAGAAGAACTAAGCTCAGGCTCAGACTGAGAAGAACTAAGCTCAGGCTCAGACTGAGAAGAACTAAGCTCAGGCTCAGACTGAGAAGAACTAAGCTCAGGCTCAGACTGAGAAGAACTGAGCTCAGGCTCAGGCTGAGAAGAACTGAGCTCAGGCTCAGGCTGAGTAGAACTAAGCTCAGGCTCAAGCTGAGTAGAACTAAGCTCAGGCTCAAGCTGAGTAGAACTAAGCTCAGGCTCAGACTGAGAAGAACTAAGCTCAGGCTCAGACTGAGAAGAACTAAGCTCAGGCTCAGACTGAGAAGAACTGAGCTCAGGCTCAGACTGAGTAGAACTAAGCTCAGGCTCAGACTGAGAAGAACTAAGCTCAGGCTCAGACTGAGAAGAACTGAGCTCAGGCTCAGGCTGAGAAGAACTGAGCTCAGGCTCAGGCTGAGTAGAACTAAGCTCAGGCTCAAGCTGAGTAGAACTAAGCTCAGGCTCAGGCTGAGAAGAACTAAGCCGGTAGAACTGAGCTAATTCAAAATTTCCAGTCCTCTACCCTAGCTGAAGTCTCTCGAGCAGTTGATGGGATCAATGCCTCCATTGGCGCCAAACAATTGGCTCTGGATGCTGCCGTGCAACAAATGGGAAGCTATAACGATGCACAAAGGGTTGGTTAGATCTGGATTACTGTACCTCGTAGCTGTTTCCTGTAGCTGTATTACTGAATTGAGCTTTTCTTTGTTTCTAGGACCTCCAAAACTGGCTCGAGGAGACCGAGGAGCTCGTTGGGAACCAAAAAATGCCATCTTCTGACGCGAAAGTTGCAAAAGCGCAATTGCAAAGCTACGATGTGCTACTAAAACACATTGAGGATAAAGAAACGAGGTTTGTTTAGTGAACTGGCACTGAAGCTCGCACTGAAGCTATCGGTTGACAACCTGAAGCTATCAGTTGACAACTAAATAATCAGACTTTTTTACTTAAAATTGATTTTGAAAATGTTGGAAGGTAAGGAAATACAGATCTGCATCATTGGAAAGATCTAGAGGCCGCGTATATAAGACGGCATATACAAAATGGCATATATAAGGCGACGTATATAAGGCAGCGTATATAAGGCTGTATATACGGCGGCTTATATGGGGCAGCTTATATGGGGCAGCTTATATGGGGCAGCTTATATGGGGCAGCTTATATGGGGCAGCTTATATGGGGCGGCGTATATAAGGCGGCGTATATAAGGCGGCGTATATAAGGCGGCTTATAAGGGGGAGCTTATATAGGGCGGCGTATATAAGGCGGCGTATATAAGGCGGCGCATATAAGGCGGCGTATATAAGGCGGCGTATATGGGGCAGCTTATATAGGGCGGCCTATATAAGGCGGCGTATATAAGGCGGCGTATATGGGGCAGCTTATATAGGGCGGCGTATATAAGGCGGCGTATATAAGGCGGCGCATATAAGGCGGCGTATATGGGGCAGCTTATATAGGGCGGCGTATATAAGGCGGCGTATATAAGGCGGCGTATATAAGGCGGCGTATATAAGGCGGCGTATATAAGGCAGCGTATATAAGGCAGCGTATATAAGGCTGTATATACGGCGGCTTATATGGGGCAGCTTATATGGGGCAGCTTATATGGGGCAGCTTATATGGGGCGGCGTATATAAGGCGGCGTATATAAGGCGGCGTATATAAGGCGGCTTATAAGGGGGAGCTTATATAGGGCGGCGTATATAAGGCGGCGTATATAAGGCGGCGTATATGGGGCAGCTTATATAGGGCGGCCTATATAAGGCGGCGTATATAAGGCGGCGTATATGGGGCAGCTTATATAGGGCGGCGTATATAAGGCGGCGTATATAAGGCGGCGCATATAAGGCGGCGTATATGGGGCAGCTTATATAGGGCGTCGTATATAAGGCGGCGTATATAAGGCGGCGTATATAAGGCGGCGTATATAAGGCGGCGTATATAAGGCGGCGTATATAAGGCGGCTTATAAGGGGGAGCTTATATAGGGCGGCGTATATAAGGCGGCTTACATAGGGCGGCTTACATAGAGCGGCGTATATAAGACGGCTTATATAGGTCTATATAAGACGATTCCATCATGCAATGCAGAAAAATGAAAAGAATGACAAAATGGGAGTTTTTGTGTGCGGTTCGGGAGCATCCACGCTTTAGAAAGCCCGCCACGCTTTCGCGTTCGCTTCAGTCCCGGAAAATCGCACGCCAAAAGGAATCTAGCATCTAGTTTACAACTTAATATTAATGGAACTGTTAGTGTCCCATAATTTCCCCATTTTCAGTGTCGACGGTTTCCGTGGGATGATCGGCAAGCTCGCGAACATCGCCTCAAACGATGACGAGAAGAAAGTGCTGTCTGGAAAAGCTGATGAGGTAGGATAAAGTTGTAAGGTTGTAAACGGTACTACGGTATCGTTTACAATACCGTAGTATCGTAAACGATACCGTAGTATCCTACTACGAGAGTCTGTCTCTAAAACGCTAAAATCTCGATTCCAGATCACAAATCGATACGAAGACTTGCTGGAAGGAGCTCAAAAGGCTCAGGCTCGCCTTAGAGATACGGTGGATTTGGCGGAGAAATTCACGCACGAGTTGGCCCCATTCGAGCAATGGTTGCAACAAGTCGAGAAAAAGTGGGTGATCTAAAAAGAGATCTAAAATGATCTAAAAAGAGAACGTTCAAAACCGACCGTGACATTTCGACGCGAAACTTTGGCGAAAAGGTAAATCGATTACGAGGATTCCAAAGCTGTAATCCGTCTTGGCTGACGGCGCTCGGGCCCTGGTGCTCGGGCCCTGGTCTCGAGCCCTGGTGTTCGAGCCCTGGTCTCGAGCCCTGGTGTTCGAGTCCTGGTGTTTGGGCCCTGGTGTTTGGGCCCTGGTGTTTGGGCCCTGGTGTTCGAGATATAAGCGTGCAAGGTTCTCAGCGTGCTCCTCTTTTCCTTCGTTTGCCTTTTTATAGGCAACATCGCGACTTGTCGAGCTTGGCGTTTGGAGAAATTTGTCAAAACTTTGCACACTTATATCTCGAACACCAAGGCCCCAACACCAAGGCCCCAACACCAAGGCCCCACACCAACGCCCGAACACCAAGGCCCGAACACCAAGGCCCCAACACCAAGGCCCCAACACCAAGGCCCGAACACCAAGGCCCCAACACCAAGGGCCGAACACCAAGGCCCAAACACCAAGGCCCGAACACCAAGACCCGAGCACCAAGGCCCGAACACCAAGACCCGAGCACCAAGGCCCCAACACCAAGGCCCCAACACCAAGGCCCAAACACCAAGGCCCAAACACCAAGGCCCCAACACCAAGGCCCAAACACCAAGGCCCAAACACCAAGGCCCAAGGCCCATCAGCGAAAACGGATTACAGCTTTGGAATCCTCGTAATCGATTTACCTTTGTGCCAAAGTCAAAATGTCACGGTCGGTTCTCAGGTTCTTCCTTGCAAGAAGAAATTCTGGACCCAGATTTTGAGCGCTTTTTTTCAGAATCGGTCAACTCGGCAACGTTCCGACTGATTCGGAGCGCTTGGGCACGCAAATTCACGAAGTGGAAGAGATTCGCGATGAGATCGATAAGAAAAACGATGTGGTAGACAAGATTTGTCAGGTAGGAGAATAGTTTAGGTACAGAAGAAAGCATTCTAGGAAAGGCAAGGCTAGGCTGGACAAGGCTAGGCAAGGATAGGCTAGGCTAGACAAGGCTAGACAAGGCTAGGCAAGGCTAGGATGGGCTAGATTAGACTGGACTGGACTAGATTACCCTAGACTAGACTCTAGACTAAACTAGACTAGACTAGACTAGACTAGACTAGACTATGCTAGGCAAGGCTAGACAAGGCTAGGCTAAGCCTGAGCCTGAGCTGAGCCAAGGAAGAGCCTAACCTAGCCGAGAAATAGCCATAACTCCAAACAGCCATAGCATTGAGTCACTCAGCCGTTTATGTTAAGCAAATCCTTCTCTACCGTAATCTTGAGTGTCACAACTCTGTGCTAGCTTGTGAGCCTAAACATTTATGTATTCTTTTTCAGCTTGGCCCAGCTTTGGCCTCATTGGTGAGCGTTGAGGACGCTGGGGAGTTGGAGGCGCAAATCGGCAACGCCACCGCGAAACACGGGCAGTTGGCTGAAAGGTTTGGCTTTAGTTTTATATATTAGCTTCAGATCTAGATAAATATCATCATAAGGATAACTTTATCTAATTTTGATAGACAGGTTCTTTTCTAGAGCCGAACAATGCCATCTATCACTTCATGCGATGGGAGAGCTCATCTCCGATTTCGAGCAGGTACTGTTTATAAAGCTTTGTGCGACAGGAAGGGTGCGACAGGAAGAGCCTGAGCCTGGACTTAGCTTGGCCTGAGCTTGGCCTAAGCCTGGGCCTAACCTGAGCTTGGCCAGAGCCTAGGATTGGCCTAAGCCTAAGCCTGAGCTTGGCCAGAGCCCAGGATTAGCCTGAGCCTAAGCCTGAGCTTGGCCAAAGCCTAGGATTGGCCAGAGCCTAAGCCTAATCCTAAGCTTGGCCTAAGCCTGGGCTTGACCTGAGATTGGCCAGAGCCTAGGATTGGCCAGAGCCTAGGATTGGCCAGAGCCTAAGCCTGAGCTTGGCCCCAGCCTGGGCTTGGCCTGAGCTTGGCCTAAGCCTGGGCCTAACCTGAGCTTGGCCAGAGCCTAGGATTGGCCTAAGCCTAAGCCTGAGCTTGGCCAAAGCCTAGGATTGGCCAGAGCCTAAGCCTAATCCTAAGCTTGGCCTAAGCCTGGGCTTGACCTGAGATTGGCCAGAGCCTAGGATTGGTCAGAGCCTAGGATTGGCCAGAGCCTAAGCCTGAGCTTGGCCCCAGCCTGGGCTTGGCCTGAGCTTAAGCCTAAGCCTAAGCCTAAGCCAGCCAAAGCCAGCCTAAGCCAGCCTAAGCCAGCCTAAGCCAGCCAAAGCCAGCCTAAGCCAGCCTAAGCCAGCCTAAGCCAGCCAAAGCCAGCCTAAGCCAGCCTAAGCCTAAGCTATAGCTACAGGAGTACTGGCTTGATTACTAGCATACTAGCATACTACTATTTACTAGCATTTCCAGGACATGACCGAACTCGCCACCTGGCTAGACCAAATCGAACAAGACATGGCTGGTGTTGAAGAATTGCCGATAAATCCAGAGGAATTGGTTGAACAAACGAATTTGTTATCGGTATTTTTTAGAAAGAGAGGGTTTGCTATGTATTTGGAGCGCGAATCTTGCAAACACACCATTTCCGGCAATGGATTCAATGCGCCGGAAAGCGTGTGCTAACGGAGCCAGACAACGGAGCCCCAAAATATTTGACTTGACTATTTGGACTATCAGTTGATGCAGAAAGAAATTGCGCGTCGAACGATATCAAAAACTACCCAAAATAAAGTATCCATGCAAAGTTATGGGGCAAAAGGTTAAGCCCTGTCCAAAATCGGCGGGGTGTAGGGTTTTAGCCTATAACTTTGCATAGATATTACATTTTGAGTTGTTTTTGATATCATTCGACGCGCAATTTCATTCTGCATCGAATTATAATTCAAATAGGCGAAATCGAAGGGTTGGTGTTGAGAAAAACCGTAATTTAAGTTTTTTTCGTCTTTTTCTTAGCACTAATCCTTCTATTTTGCCTATCTGAGTTATCATTCGATGCAGAATGAAATTGCGCGTCGAATGATATCAAAAACAACTCAAAATGTAAGATCTATGCAAAGTTATTAGCTAAAAACCTACACCCCGCCGATTTTGCACAGGGCTTAACCTTTTGCCCCATAACTTTGCATGGATATTAGATTTTGAGTTGATTTTGGTATCATTCGATGCAGAATGAAATTGCGCGTCGAATGATAATCAAATAGTCAAAAAGGAACAGTTGGTGCTGAGAAAAACCCTAAATTGCTAATGGCAAAGAACCGACAGATCTTTTCGTTACAAGTCTACTACAAGCCACCGTAACTTTCTTTAGCATTGATATTTTTGGCTTGCTTTAATCCATTTGAAAGCTCTTGAAATTCTCTATTTTTTAAGCCATAGATCATTTGAATCCGAAAAATCTGAAGCAAGTTAGAAGCGTTTAAAGTTTACGTTTGTCGTTTACAATTTAAATTTTGCTATGGAAAGCGCAGTTTGCTATGGAAAGCACAGCTCAAGCCTAAGAAAGCATAGTCCAAGGCTAAGAAAGCATAGTCCAAGGCTAAGAAAGCATAGTCCAAGGCTAAGAAAGCATAGTCCAAGGCTAAGAAAGCATAGTCCAAGGCTAAGAAAGCATAGTTCAAGGCTAAGAAAGTATAGTTCAAGGCTAAGAAAGCATAGTTCAAGGCTAAGAAAGCATAGTTCAAGGCTAAGAAAGCATAGTTCAAGGCTAAGAAAGCATAGTTCAAGGCTAAGAAAGCATAGTTCAAGGCTAAGAAAGCATAGTTCAAGGCTAAGAAAGCATAGTTCAAGGCTAAGAAAGCATAGTTCAAGGCTAAGAAAGCATAGTTCAAGGCTAAGAAAGCATAGTTCAAGGCTAAGAAAGCATAGTTCAAGGCTAAGAAAGCATAGTTCAAGGCTAAGAAAGTATAGTTCAAGGCTAAGAAAGCATAGTTCAAGGCTAAGAAAGCATAGTTCAAGGCTAAGAAAGCATAGTTCAAGGCTAAGAAAGCATAGTTCAAGGCTAAGAAAGCATAGTTCAAGGCTAAGAAAGCATAGTTCAAGGCTAAGAAAGCGCCATTCAAGCCTAAGAAAGCGCAGTTCAAGCCTAAGAAAGTGCAGCTCAGGGCTAAGAAAGCGCCATTCAAGCCTAAGAAAGCGCAGTCCAAGGCTAAGAAAGCATAGTCCAAGGCTAAGAAAGCGCCATTCAAGCCTAAGAAAGCGCAGTCCAAGGCTAAGAAAGCATAGTCCAAGGCTAAGAAAGCGCCATTCAAGCCTAAGAAAGCGCAGTCCAAGGCTAAGAAAGCGCCATTCAAGCCTAAGAAAGCGCAGTCCAAGGCTAAGAAAGCGCCATTCAAGCCTAAGAAAGCGCAGTCCAAGGCTAAGAAAGCATAGTCCAAGGCTAAGAAAGCGCCATTCAAGCCTAAGAAAGCGCAGTCCAAGGCTAAGAAAGCGCCATTCAAGCCTAAGAAAGCGCAGTCCAAGGCTAAGAAAGCGCCATTCAAGCCTAAGAAAGCGCAGTCCAAGGCTAAGAAAGCGCCATTCAAGCCTAAGAAAGCGCAGTCCAAGGCTAAGAAAGCATAGTCCAAGGCTAAGAAAGCGCCATTCAAGCCTAAGAAAGCGCAGTCCAAGGCTAAGAAAGCGCCATTCAAGCCTAAGAAAGCGCAGTCCAAGGCTAAGAAAGCGCCATTCAAGCCTAAGAAAGCACAGTTCAAGGCTAAGATCTCCAAAAAGAATTGTATGTAAGAAATGTAAGAAGTTCTCTCTAGGAACTCGTCGAATCGGTGACCGAACGAGACGCTCTTGTGGCAAATGTGGTGAGAGTGGGAAAAACTTTATGCAAAGCGACGACAGCCGACGAGGCCCTGGCTTTGCAAGGAAAAATCGATGGATTAAAGAATCGGTTTGGCGCTTTGAAATGCAAAAAATAACTTCAAAAAGCTCAAAAAGCTCAAAAGCTCAAAAAGTCTTCCCTTTAAACCCCTAAATTCTAATCTTTTTAATATTCTAGCTACGTTGCTGTGGCCAATTATGCGGATGAGAAGCTCGGTCAACTTTCGAAGGCGATTCCCTTGTCGGATCGATTCCACGAGGGGATTGAAAGAGTCATGGAATGGGTGAGGCCTCTAGACCTTAGGATTTCGTTTTCGATTAGGATTTCGTTTCTGAGAAAAACGCTAGAGCTTCGTCCAAAACCACCCAATCATATTAGAAGAAAGCGAAAGAAGAAAGAAAGAAGAAGAAAGCGAGAAAGCGCGATTGACTGGATTAGATTCAAAAACAATCACTTATTTGGGTTTAGCCGTTATCCAGGGAACTTCTCACCACCGCCAATCGATTCTCCGTGTCAATTTGCATAAGAACCGCAGGCTAAAAGGCCGATTTAAAGCTTGTGGAGCGAGGTAGAAAGGCTTAAAGTTGGGTTCTAGGAGGACTTGGGCCAGTGGACTGCCGTCTAGGAGGACTTGGGCTAGTGGACTGCCGTCTAGGAGGATCTAGGAGGACTTGGGCTAGTGGACTGCCGTCTAGGAGGATCTAGGAGGACTTGGGCTAGAGGACTGCCGTCTAGGAGGATCTAGGAGGACTTGGGCTAGAGGACTGCCGTCTAGGAGGATCTAGGAGGACTTGGGCTAGTGGACTGCCGTCTAGGAGGATCTAGGAGGACTTGGGCTAGTGGACTGCCGTCTAGGAGGACTTGGGCTAGTGGACTGCCGTCTAGGAGGATCTAGGAGGACTTGGGCCAATGGACTGCCGTCTAGGAGGATCTAGGAGGACTTGGGCTAGTGGACTGCCGTCTAGGAGGATCTAGGAGGACTTGGGCTAGTGGACTGCCGTCTAGGAGGACTTGGGCTAGTGGACTGCCGTCTAGGAGGATCTAGGAGGACTTGGGCCAATGGACTGCCGTCTAGGAGGATCTAGGAGGACTTGGGCTAGTGGACTGCCGTCTAGGAGGATCTAGGAGGACTTGGGCCAATGGACTGCCGTCTAGGAGGATCTAGGAGGACTTGGGCTAGTGGACTGCCGTCTAGGAGGATCTAGGAGGACTTGGGCTAGTGGACTGCCGTCTAGGAGGACTTGGGCTAGTGGACTGCCGTCTAGGAGGATCTAGGAGGACTTGGGCCAATGGACTGCCGTCTAGGAGGATCTAGGAGGACTTGGGCCAATGGACTGCCGTCTAGGAGGATCTAGGAGGACTTGGGCTAGTGGACTGCCGTCTAGGAGGATCTAGGAGGACTTGGGCCAATGGACTGCCGTCTAGGAGGATCTAGGAGGACTTGGGCTAGTGGACTGCCGTCTAGGAGGATCTAGGAGGACTTGGGCTAGTGGACTGCCGTCTAGGAGGACTTGGGCTAGTGGACTGCCGTCTAGGAGGATCTAGGAGGACTTGGGCCAATGGACTGCCGTCTAGGAGGATCTAGGAGGACTTGGGCCAATGGACTGCCGTCTAGGAGGATCTAGGAGGACTTGGGCTAGTGGACTGCCGTCTAGGAGGATCTAGGAGGACTTGGGCCAATGGACTGCCGTCTAGGAGGATCTAGGAGGACTTGGGCCAATGGACTGCCGTCTAGGAGGATCTAGGAGGACTTGGGCTAGTGGACTGCCGTCTAGGAGGATCTAGGAGGACTTGGGCTAGTAGACTACCATCTAGGACTCGTCTAGGACCACTGGTGTCCCACAGTGACCGTTTAACAGAGTAGTACCGATGAACCCGATAGCTTTCTAGCTTTCTCTGCCTTCTCTAGATTCTATGGATAGTGTTTAATTCATTCTACAGACGTTTTTTAGGTTGAAGCTGTTGAGGACGATCTCCGGCACATCGATTCAGTCGATCTAGACACACAACAACAGTTGATACACGGAATTGATGAAGATGTGACACAGTGGAGACCTGAGGTATAAAATTTTGACGAATTTTTACGACTTTTACGACTTTGAATCACTTTTGCTATCAATTCATGCTTTTTGAAAGAAAGCTGGGTGGTTTTTGATCTAGATATTGATCTAGATATTGATTTAAAAAGCTTTTTGGCTCATCCATCAAGCTTTATTGGCTTTATTGGCGATCTATCAAGCTCAGGCTCAGGCTCAGGCTCATCCATCAAGCTCTGAGGCTCATCCATCAAGCTTTATTGGCTTTATTGGCTTTCTTGGCTCATCTATCAAGCTCTAAGGCTCATTTATCAAGCTCTATTGGCTTTATTGGCCTGCTTGGCTCATCTATCAAGCTCTAAGGCTCATTTATCAAGCTCTATTGGCTTTATTGGCTTTCTTGGCTCATCTATCAAGCTCTAAGGCTCATTTATCAAGCTCTATTGGCTTTATTGGCCTGCTTGGCTCATCTATCAAGCTCTAAGGCTCATTTATCAAGCTCTATTGGCTTTATTGGCTTTCTTGGCTCATCCATCAAGCTCTGAGGCTCATTTATCAAGCTTTATTGGCTTTATTGGCTCATCTATCAAGCTTTATTGGCTTTAAAAGCTTTTTGGCTCATCCATCAAGCTCTAACGCTCATCCATCAAGCTCTAACGCTCATCCATCAAGCTCTAACGCTCATCCATCAAGCTCTAAGGCTCATCTATCAAGCTTTATTGGCTTTAAAAGCTTTTTGGCTCATCCATCAAGCTCTAACGCTCATCTATCAAGTTTTATTCTTTTAACTCGATGCTAACTCATAAACTAACTCAGAATCTCGTTACTTTGGTAATTCTCGTAATACTAAACCTGAAACCCATTTGTAAGAGGATTATAGGGTCCTGTGTACAAGAATTTTCCAGGTGGAAGAACTCGTCGCGGTCAGCTCTCAACTCCAACAGTTGGCCGGTCCCGAACGTGCTGAAGAACTCTACGCCCATACACAGGAAATGCAAAGGAGAGTGAATCTCATCGCTGATCAGGTAAGTTCTCGTTTACAATAGTTAGTTAGTTTAAAACCTTAGTAACTCTAGTACTGTAATAACTCGGGCATTGGATTTTGTACCTCGGCTGAAGCCAGTCAAGTCACAATCAGGGCTGAGTACTTGTGTTAGACCCAGACATACTGGATTTCTAGTACAGGGTCCAATACTGCAACAGCACCAGCTATTAGAGCATTGAAAGTACGGTACCTAGGGTAGCCTGCTCTAAGCTGACTTAGAGCCAACCTAGTCTACCGTAGCCTGCTCGAAGCTGACTTAGAGCCCCCAAAACAACCCCCCCCCTCCCCCTCTAAACCAAAATCCACTAACCCCCCCCTAAAATATCAGCCTAGTCTACCGTAGTCTACTTTAAGCCAAGCCATTTATTCAATTAGCCAATTATTAGTAAGCTTATCTGATAAATATATCATTTCCAGGTCGGTCGTCGAGCCGAGCGCCTTGACTTGGCCGAACGACAATCCCGAGCCGTCGTTGAAGAGTTGGAATTCGTTTTGGAGTGGTTGAATGACGCGAAAGAGAGAGTGATGAATGCGGCTCCTTTAGCAATTGATCCCGACTATTTAAAGGTACGATAAAGAATATTTAAAGGTACGATTTTGTCTATAAAAAGTCGTAACAAGTCCATTTCAAAAGCTACCCTAATCCAATCGATTTCTTTTAGGCCCAACTCCGGAATCAAAAGCTCCTCAATGAAGATTTGAGTGTTCAAAAGGTGAGTGATCTTCAAAGCTCTTTTCGGCTGTTGCTGCTGCTTCTAGAAGTTCTTCTAGAACAGCTTCTCTAGAACAGCTCCTTTAGAACAGCTCTTTTAGAACAGCTCCTTTGGAACAGCTCTTCTAGAACAGCTCCTTTGGAACAGCTGCTTTAGAACAGCTCCTTTGGAACAGCTCCTTTGGAACAGCTCCTTTGGAACAGCTCCTTTAGAACAGCTCCTTTGGAACAGCTCCTTTGGAACAGCTCCTTTAGAACAGCTCCTTTGGAACAGCTGCTTTAGAGCAGCTCCTTTGGAACAGCTTCTCTAAAACAGCTCTTCTAGAACAGCTTCTCTAAAAACAGCTCTTCTAGAACAGCTTCTCTAGAACAGCTCCTCTAGAAAATCCAGTATTCCTGTTAGTTTTATCTTTTCCTTAAACGAGTTTCCAGGCTCGTCTACGAGACGCGACAGCTGAATGTCGAAAAGTGGCTCGACAAATTGGACCTGAAGGTGGACAGGATGCGTTGCTCTTGGAAAAGGTTTGGATTGTTTGATCATAAACTATTGATTGGATTGTTTATTGATCATAAACTATTGAAAATAGACAATCCTACGCTCATCTTCGATAAAAAAGCGCTCTTTTTTAGGCTGAAGGTGCCCGAGAGTTAGCCGACGAGGTTTCCCATGTTTGCGCTGAAAGAACCGAGGCTTTGGAACAAGTAAGATATACTTTAAATGGTTTAGAAAGTCTAGAAAGTCTAGATAGTTTAGAGCTTCAGTAAATGGTTACTGTCAATTTTTGGCATGACTATTGGCTACGAATTTTAGGCTCTTGCACTAGCTGAACAAATCGGTGCCTCGTTCGACGACATGAGCATCTGGTTGGATCAAGTTGAGGATGAGCTAGCCAATCAACCGGCTGTCACCACAGCCACACCACCACACGAATTGTCCAAACAGCAACAGCACAATATTGTGAGTGTTAAAGAGATAATTTTGCTATTTAGTTGGAGCAGCTGATCGCTCGGAGAAGCACAGGAGCAGCTATTCGGAGCCAGCCAAAGCTCAAGCTCATCTAGAGCCAGCCAAAGCTCAAGCTCATCTAGAGCCAGCCAAAGCTCAAGTTCGAATCAATAGTTCGAACCAATCCTTGAACCAATTCTTCACCAGAATGGCACGAATGGAGTCTGGAAGTGTAGACAGCTACACTGGAGGTGTAGACAGCTACACTTGAAGCGTAGACAGCTACACTGGAGGTGTAGACAGCTACACTTGAAGTGTAGACAGCTACACTGGAGGTGTAGACAGCTACACTTGAAGTGTAGACAACGATATTGATCTGATCTTCAACCTTTCGACACCTCTCGGACAGTTCCGCACTTGAATCCATTGTTGAATTTCATATTCAAATGAATTTGAATTCCATATTAAAATCCACTTTTTCTAAAAAACCCATTTTACAACCATTAATCCTATACAATTCGACATTTTCTAGGAACTCTCAGCGGTGATCGCAGCGCAGCGTCCACTTGTTGAACGCTTTGAGAAAGACGTTCGAGCGCTCGTCGACTTGGTCGGTCAAGAAGACGCTGTTGCACTGGAACAGGTGATCTTTGTCGTAAAACTGTAGGAAAAGTATCTGTAGATATTTAACACTATTCAATTACGCTATTCAATTACGCTATCCAATTACGCTATCTAATTACCCGATCCAATTACGCTATCTAATTACACTATCCAATTGGGCTATCCAATTACGCTATCCAATTGGGCTATCCAATTACGCTATCTAATTACGCTATCCAATTAAGGTATCTAATTACGCTATCTAATTACGCTATCTAATTACCCGATCCAATTACGCTATCCAATTAAGGTATCTAATTACGCTATCTAATTACGCTATCTAATTACCCGATCCAATTACGCTATCCAATTACGCTATCTAATTACCCGATCCAATTACGCTATCTAATTACCCGATCCAATTACGCTATTTAATTACGCTATCTAATTACCCGATCCAATTACGCTATCTAATTGCACTATCTAATTACCCGATCCAATTACGCTATCTAATTACGCTATCTAATTACACTATCTAATTACGCTATCTTCCAGATTTACGACCAAATCGTCGGCCGTTTCCAAGACGTGCAAAAACAAGTGAAAGAGCGTGGTGAAGGAATCGACTCGATTCTCGACGTTACAGAAGGTAAATCAAAGAAACTTATCGAATAGGCAGTGAATCTGGAAAGCACACTGTAACTTTAGCATTCGGAAATCGTTTGGATGTTTTCCTGGCGACACTCGAGGGAGCCGCCGAGTCACTGCGCCAGCCAGCAGCCGTTTCTGCTGATCCAGGCCTCCTGCAGAATAGAATCGCTGAAAATGAGGCTTTGTTAGACTCGCTGAAGGATAAGGTACAAGATTTGAATGCAAAATTTATTTGATGGGCATTTATTTGATGATTTTTAAGGAGAATGCCTTAGCGGCGATGAAAGAACGAGCGGCTGAGTTGCTGGCCAGAGCTCAGCCTGGTGATGATGCGGCTTCTGAGGTAATGAACTTAAGGAGAGGCAGGAATAAGGAGATAACTATCGGAATAAGATAGCTACCGGAATAAGATAGCTACCGGAATAAGAAGATAACTGTCGGAATACGAAGAAAAATGAACGCCAAGGAGTATTTGCTGTGCTCTCCCCTGTCCAAATCGCTTTAAGAACTCAAAAGTTTTGTCCAATCAAAAAAAAAAACTCTTTTTAAGGTATTAAAGCTGAGAATTAGAGCTTTAAAATAGTATATAAAACATCGAATTTTTTCTGAAAAGCTTTTAGAAAATCGGTTTTAGAAAAATCCAGTTTTCCGAAAAACAGATCAGTTTCAAAAATCAATGCAATGAAATTCCGGATCTTGTATAGTACTTTTAGATCTTACAGTACTCTTACAGCAGTTCTTACAGCAGTTCTTACAGCAGTTCTTACAGCAGTCTTGCAGCAGTCTTACACAGTACTCTTACAGTACTCTTACAGTTCTCTCACAGTACTCTTACAGTACTCTTACAGTTCTCTCACAGTACTCTTACAGTACTCTTACAGTACTCTTACAGTACTCTTACAGTACTCTTTAAAACACTAGACAATACTCGACTCTAGGTTGCTGCTAAAATCCAGGCGCTTGAACAACTGTGGAATGAGATCGGTGATGGTGCGCAGATGAGAGGAGCTTTTTTGCAAGATGCACTTGCTAAGGCGAACCTTTTCTGGAACGAGTTGGACAATTGCCAGAAAGCGATTGATGATTTAAAGGTTTGTTTGGATAGATTTATTGCAAGTAAGTACAGCTACAGTACATTACAGTACAGCTACAGTACAGCTTAGAGTACAGCTTAGAATACAGCTACAGTACAGTTACAGTACTTGACAGTACATTACAGTACATTACAGTCCAGCTACAGTACAGCTACAGTACTTGACAGTACATTACAGTACATTACAATACAGCTACAGTGCAGCTACAGTACATTACAGTACAGCTTACAGCACTAAAACCTCTATAAACTTTTAGGCACGTTTGGAAACAATCGAGCCAGCAATCGGCCAGCCCGAAAAAATCCGTGAACAACAAAATGGAATGATCGAGATCGAGAAAGGAGTACAGACGACAAAGCCGAGGATCGAGAATCTGAGGTGGGATCTTGATCTGGTTCTGGGACTGGAACTTGCTCTGGATTTTGGCCTGGATTTTGGCCTGGATTTTGGTCTGGATTTTGGCCTTGATTTTGGCCTGGATCTGGACCTGGGTCTTGATCTGGTTCTGGGTCCGGTTTGGGTACAGTCTCCTGGACTGTGAATTGCACTCTCTAGGCACTTTGTACTAGACATGGGCTTTTTAAAAAACAGTGCTCGAGTCATGAGGCGTGATTGGAGTCGAGTCGTGATTCGAATTGAGTCGTGATTCGAGTCCGGGGTCGAGTTCGGAGTCCGGAGTCAAGCCGGGAGTCTGGAGTCAAGTCCGGAGTCAAGTCGGGAGTTCGGAGTCAAGTCCGGAGTCAAGTCCGGAGTCTGGAGTCAAGTCCGGAGTCAAGTCGGGAGTCCGGAGTCAAGTCCGGAGTCTGGAGTCAAGTCCGGAGTCAAGTCCGGACTCCGGAGTCAAGTCCGGAGTCTGGAGTCAAGTCCGGAGTCAAGTCCGGAGTCTGCTTTGATTTCATTAGCTTTAAAGAGCTTGGTTTAGCACTGGATCCAATATGATCCAGTATCCAGCCCAGATTACCCTAATGAAGATTTACAGTAGCTCTAGTTGCCTCTTTAGATACGCTGGCGCAGCTTTGTTGGCGATTATCCCAGAAGAAGAGCAAACAGCTGTCGAGCAACAAGTTGACATGATCGATCGAGGATTTGACACGATTACAAAGGTTAGATAGATAGTAGGCTAAGAGCTAAATAGATAGATAATAGGTTAGAGCTAAATAAGTAGCCAAATGAAGCTATTGTAGTTGATAGCTTAGTAGATAGCGCTAGTAGATAGCTCTAGTAGCTAGCTCTAGTAGCTAGCTCTAGTAGCTAGCTCTAGTAGTTAGCTTAGTAGATAGCTCTAGTAGCTACCTCTACTATTGTATTAGTACTAGTTCTGTACTGCTCTAAAGTACAGTTCTTCTCTAAAGTACTTCTCTAAAGTACTTCTCTAAAGTACTTCTCTAAAGTACTTCTCTAAAGTACTAGTTCTTCTCTAAAGTACTGCCCTAAAGTACAGTTCTTCTCTAAAGTACTGCCCTAAAGTACAGTTCTTCTCTAAAGTACTGCCCTAAAGTACAGTTCTTCTCTAAAGAATGCTATCTTTAGCACTATTAGAAGCCTGTCGTTCAAAATTACAGTAAAACTCTAAATGTTTGCTTTCTAGATGTTTGCTGACAAGAGTGTCCATCTGGGGAAAGCCATGGAGCAAGCAATGGGCTTCCACGAAGATTTAGCTGCATTGAACGAGTTTTTAGATTCAGCTGAACAGGTAGAAATGATAGCTAGAGTTTGCAATCATCGTTAAAGCTTTTTTTTTTGGAGATTTTAAAGCTTCTAAAGGACTTAATCCCATTTCCAGCGCCTTCAATCAATGGGCCCCGCCGAGCAGATGGCTGTGCACGAGATTCAACCGAGATTAGAGGAGCTGCAACTGTTCAGGTACAATTTATTGTGTTCTTTTGGATTCTTTGGATTCTTTGGGGTTCTTTGGGGCCCTTTGGGGCCCTTTGGAGCCCTTTAGAGCCCTTTAGAGCCCTTTGGAGCCCTTTGGAGCCTATTGTGCCCTTGTAAACCTACCCTATCTGGTGCACTCGTATCATTTCTCTTTCTAGAATTGAGCTCGATGATCATGCGATGTTGAAAGAGCAAATCAATCAGACGGCTCAAGGATTAGTGGCCGGAGCACCAGCGCATCAAACAGCTGCTGTCAGGATACCGATTGCAGGTGGGATGGGAATATAGAGTAATCTTTTAGAGTAATCTTTCCAGAGTTGAACGGTCGCTGGTCTCGTCTTTACGGTGATATCGCCGATCGGGAGCATAAGATTGAACGAGCCATGCTGGAGATGGGAAGACTTGGTGAAGCTGTGGGACAACTGACTGCATGGATTGATAAAACACAAGTAAGAAGACACTATTTGATGGGTTCTAGAATAGATATCTAAAGAAAACGCTGGTACAGTACGCCTTTACACTGTACAGTTCGCGCTGTGGACCCAAGCACTATAGAGTTTGCATTAACGATCCCAAAACTTTGCAGAGTACCATCGACGAGCTGGGCGCTCATGCTCCAACGAATCTGCGAGCTGTCGAGATCGCTCAATGCAAGCTGGCCGTCGTTAACAATGATATTCACGCTCATGAGCCAAGGTAAGGAAATTTACTGTAGGACATAGCTGCCTAGAGTCCTTCTTGGAGTACTGTAGCTGTCTAGAGTTCTTCTTGGAGTACTGTAGCTGTCTAGAGTCCTTCTTGGAGTACTGTAGCTGCCTAGAGTCCTTCTTGGAGTACTGTAGCTGTCTAGAGTTCTTCTTGGAGTACTGTAGCTGTCTAGAGTCCTTCTTGGAGTACTGTAGCTGCCTAGAGTCCTTCTTGGAGTACTGTAGCTGTCTAGAGCCCTTCTTGGAGTACTGTAGCTGTCTGAAATGTTACAGTACTTCAGGAAATGATCTCTGCCGTACTAATGACCAATTTCAGCATCAAATCGATCAACGCCTCAGCTTCAAAACTCCGTCAAAGCAGCGATCCATCAACGCTGAAAGAAGTGATGGGAATGAACGAAAAGTGGAAGAATTTGCAAGAAAGCATCGGCAGTTTGGGAGCCGGATTAGAGAGGGTCGGTTTAATTACAGTATACGCACCCTAGAGTACTCTAGACTACTCTAGACTACTCTAGGCTACTCTAGAGTACTCCAGGCTACTCTAGAGTACTCTAGGCTACTCTAGAGTACACCAGGCTACTCTAGAGTACTCTAGGCTACTCTAGAGTACACCAGGCTACTCTAGAGTACACCAGGCTACTCTAGAGTACACCAGGCTACTCTAGGCTACTCTAGAGTAACTACAATATCCTCCCGGTCCTCTAGAGTACTGTAGCCATTACAGAACCCTTTGTGCACCAGATAACACCCCTTACAGTACCCCAGAGTAGTCTAATCATTACAGTGCTTACCGTAACTTACGGACTAATTACAGCTTATCCTAGCTCCTTTAGCTCATCAAATAAGTCTTCCTAACCACGGTACAGTACCCAAATCTCCTCAAAAACCGGTAATGAGCTCAAATTTCCTCAAGCATACGGTAGAGTCAAAGTTTTAGGCAAAAGGAGCTGCAGAGGATATCGGCGGTGAGATGGAACGTTGGCTGGCGTATGTGGAAGATGTTGAGGCACAACTGGCAACAACGAAACCGACTGGGGGACTTCCTGAAACAGCGAAACAACATCTCGAGGATTTCCTTGGATTAAAGGATGAGGTGAGGTTCCCAGGATTGGATCGTACTCTTTGCCAGGCTTTGTACTAGACCAGTGTCCTCCAATTCTAAATCTAATTTAAATCAGCGTTAGTCTAGTAAAGTCTAGCGAGATTCCTCTAGTAGAGTCTGGCTAGACTGGGAATCAGATTGGTGAGATACCCTACTATTAGTCCGTTGAACAGAAAGGGATCAGTTCTAGATCTAGAACTAGATCTGGTTCTAGATCGAGAACTAGATCCAGAACTAGATCCAGTTCTAGAACTAGATCCAGAACTAGGTCTAGGACTAGATCGAGAACTAGATCCAGAACTAGATCCAGAACTAGATCCAGAACTAGATCTAGTACTAGATCGAGAACTAGATCCAGAACTAGATCCAGAACTAGATCGAGAACTAGATCCAGAACTAGATCGAGAACTAGTCCCAGAACTAGATCCGGAACTAGATCTAGTGCTAGATCGAGAACTAGATCCAGAACTAGGTCTAGTACTAGATCCAGAACTAGATCTAGTACTAGATCGAGAACTAGATCCAGAACTAGATCCAGAACTAGATCCAGTCTAGAGTCCAGCTGGGCGTCGGCTGTGGTGACTGTAGCTGGGACTAGAAACTAGGTCTAGTACTAGATCCAGAACTAGTCTAGTATAGATCGAGAACTAGATCCAGAACTAGATCCAGAACTAGATCTAGTACTAGATCCAGAACTAGATCCAGAACTAGATCCAGCCCTAGATCCAGTTCTAAATCCAGTTCTAGATCCAGAACTCCCGAAGATTCAGCATCAGTTTCTAGAAGACTAGGCTCTAGGATTTGATATTGTCTAGTAGTCTGGCCTTGATGTTTTCTAGGATATCAACCTAGCTCCAGCACTGGATTCAACTCAAATATGGCAATTATAAATGCTAGATCTCTATTTTTACAGATTGAGGGCAACACTCCAGCTCTGGAAGCTCATGTGGTCATCACTGAAGACTATCTGACAGCCCATCCTGAAGACGAGGGATCGTGGATTGGAAAAAGTGCGCACACACTCAGACACAAGTGGAATCGGTGAGTTGATGTCTTTGCGCTCTTTCAAAGGCGCCTGGTGAACGGGAGCTGACAAACGGGAGCTGACAAACGGGAGCTGACGATCGGAATCTAACGATCGGGATCTAACGATCAGAATCTAACGATCAGGTTTCCAATTTCGATTTCAGTTGCAAAGATTTGCTGCTCGATCGCGAGAAGAAGCTATCATTGGCGCTAGAGGAGGCGATCGCTTTAGAGGAATCGATGCAATCCACGTCTCAATGGGTCACCAATATGGAAGAAGCTTTAGCTGGTAAAGGGATTGACTTTAATTGGAATTGGCTATTCCAACAGTAGCATTATAACAATAGCATTCTGACACTAACATTCTAACGCTTAGCTTTAGCTGTGTCACCAATCGGTCGCCTACCCGAGGTACTGGAACGACAAAAAGATGAGCAACAACACATGGCCGATGAAGTGAATGAGAAGTGAGCTAGTCTTTTGCTAGAGAAGCTAGAAGTCTTTTGCTAGAGTTTTAAGCCAGATTATAGCTAGAATTGAAGCCAGATTCTAGCTAGAATTTAAGCTAGATTAAAGCTAGAATTTAAGCTAGATTATAGCTAGAATTTAAGCTAGATTCTAGCTAGATTCTAGCTAGAATTTAAGCCAGATTATAGCTAGAATTTAAGCTAGATTATAGCTAGAATTCAAGCTAGATTATAGCTAGTAAAAATGCAGAATTAGCTAGATTATAGCTAGAATTTTTAATTTAATTATAGCCAGAATTTGTAGATTATAGCCAGAATTTGCCAGATTATAGCTAGAATCTCTAGATTATAGCTAGAATTCAAGCTAGATTATAGCTAGAATTTAAGCTAGATTATAGCTAGAATTCAAGCTAGATTATAGCTAGAATTCAAGCTAGATTATAGCTAGAATTCAAGCTAGATTATAGCTAGAATTTAAGCCAGATTATAGCTAGAATTCAAGCCAGATTCCAGCTAGAATTTAAGCCAGATTCTAGCCAGATTCTAGCTAGATTCTAGCTTGAATTCTAGCTAGATTCTAGCTTGAATAGTAAGTCTTGTAACTTGTAACGAATTTTGTCCTTAACTGAAACGAGTCCTTAACTCAATCCCAAACAAAATCCATTCAGAAAAGCGGCAATGGCGGAAATGCAAGCAACCGGCACTCGGATGCAATATTATTGCGAGAAAAAGGATGCGATTCCAATAAAGAATGGTTTAGTCTCGTTGAGGCATCGATTTGAGAAAGTTGCACAGAAAGTCGCTGAGAGGGGAAAGGTTTGAAATAGCAAGGCTTAGATAAGAGGCTTAGATTAAAGGCTTAGATAAAAAGGCTTAGATAAAGGCTTAGCTAAAAGCCTCAATTTCAGCAACTCGACTCAGCTCAAGCTGAGACAGATGCCTGGCTGGAAAGTGCCAAAGATTTGGAGTTCTGGATGGCGGAAATGGGAGTGAAATTGGAAGAAGAAATCCCTACGACAGCCAACCATCACAAGTTGTTGGAGTTGAGGGATGAGGCGAAGGTAGGCGCTGGCTTTCCGATAGTCATCCATTAGACAAGGCTGTCCAGGGCTAGTCCTTAGACTGTCCAGGGCTAGTCCTTAGACTGTCCAGGGCTAGTCCAGTCTAGAGTCTAGGTTCAATAGTTTACCACCTTGATCTTATCTCTCTATTCATCCATTCATCCATTCATTCATCCATCCATCCATCCATGAATCCAGTAACTAACTAGGCTCAGCACTAGTCTCCAATACTAGATACAAAGCACTAGTACCCTAGTAGCTTCAGCTGGGTCCTGGATCCAGGCCTGACTTGCCGGCTTGCTGGCTGGCTTGCTGGCTTGCTGGCTGGCTTCCTGGCTTGCTGGCTGGCTGGCTGATTTGCTGGTTAACTAGCTGGATGACTGGCTGGCTAGCTGGCTGGCTAGCTGGCTGGCTGGCTGGCTAGCTGGCTGGCTGGCTTACTAGCTGGCTGGCTAGCTGGCTGGCTGGCTGGCTGGCTGGCTGGCTGGCTAGCTGGCTGGCTGGCTTACTAGCTGGCTGGCTAGCTGGCTGGCTGGCTTACTAGCTGGCTGGCTAGCTGGCTGGCTGGCTGGCTGGCTGGCTGGCTGGCTAGCTGGCTGGCTGGCTGGCTGGCTGGCTAGCTGGCTGGCTGGCTGGCTAGCTGGCTGGCTAGCTGGCTGGCTGGCTAGGGCTGGCTGGCTGGCTGGCTGGCTGGCTGGCTAGCTGGCTGGCTAGCTGGCTGGCTAGCTGGCTGGCTGGCTAGCTGGCTGGCTAGCTGGCTGGCTAGCTGGCTGGCTAGCTGGCTGGCTAGCTGGCTGGCTGGCTTACTAGCTGGCTGGCTGGCTCCATAGCGTTGAAACACCACTAACCTGGCCTCGATTTGATTCTAGATCCAGACAAGTCAGGTGAGATCAAATAAGCAGCAAGTTGTAGAAGACTTTGAAACATTCCCGATCCAATGCCAGTGCCCAGGGCATTAACCTGTCCACTGATCAGCTCTAGTCTGACCTTGCCTTCATTCTTGATCCAGTATAGTATTCTGAACCCTGTTTACTGTACTAGTATCAAAATTTTCCAGTCATTCGCATGTAAAACCTCATTTTATATTCTTACTCATACAGCCACCAGAAGTCCTTCAGTTTCACGTAAAGAAAGTGAGGAAAAACTATTGTTTAGCTTGAAATCTGTAGTAAACGTTTTGTTTGGAAATATTTTTGGCTAATTCTTTTGCTTACAGGAAGCTAAACAAGAGCTGATTGGCAAGAAGCCGGAATTCGAGGCTGTCCGTCGGAGGGGACAATCCGTCGGTGATCATGCCCCAAAAACGGAACGTAAAGAGATCGAGAAAAAAAATGGACAGCTGAAAAAGGATTGGGATCAATTAGAGAAAGTGGCCACGGATAGGCTGAGAAAAGCTGAAGAGGTGAGATCTTTGGAATTGATTAGAGAATGGTTTCAATGGTGATCTAGAGCTCGAGCTTGGTTCTGGCTTGGTTCTGGCTCGAGCTTGGCTTGGCTTGGCTTGGCTCTGGCTCGAGCTTGGCTTGGGTCTGGCTCAAGCTGGCTTGGCTCTGGCTCGAGCTTGGCTTGGCTCTGGCTCGAGCTTGGCTTGGCTCTGGCTCGAGCTTGGCTTGGCTCTGGCTCGAGCTTGGCTTGGCTCTGGCTCGAGCTTGGCTTGGCTCTGGCTCGAGCTTGGCTTGGCTCTGGCTCGAGCTTGGCTTGGCTCTGGCTTGAGCTTGGCTTGGCTTGGCTTGGCTCTGGCTCGAGCTTGGCTTGGCTCGAGCTTGGCTTTGGCTCTGGCTCGAGCTTGGATTTCATTTCAACATTCTTAGGCTGTTCTCGAGTCGGGCGCTTTCGATGACGCCATTGAGGACATTGAGGCGTGGATCGATGCGATGTTGCTCGATGCGGAGACCGATTCGGCGATGGCGGTGAGTTGGCGTTTTGTTTCCCAATTGATAGCGGCTATTTGGCAAATCGATATTGGCACAAGTTTATCGATAACTATGTACAGATCTACGGTATTTATCGAGCCATTTTTACAGTCCAGTGCATAGTAGTGGCATTTTGTCAAAATGCTGGACTTTATTAGATGATCTAGATAAGACTGGATCATCTAATAAAGCTGTCTTTGGTATCATTCGAAAGCCTGAAATCTCTTCTATTCACTGATACAAAAAGATAAGATGAATCTTATCTCTAGACAAATTTATCGCCCTTCAAAACAGTCTGGATCGTACGCCTAATTATCAACGTTTTTAACGTCCAGTTATCCAGATAGAACTGGTTAAAGTGTTTCTAATAATCCAGATTATCTATTAAACTTATTATCTATTAAACTCAATCTTTTTTAGGGCACTAGGGTCCACGGTGACATTGATACGGTTCGCGATTTGATCGAAAAGGAAAACAAAAGAGGTGACGAGAAAGCAGCGAAGAAGAAACAAGTGGACAAGTTGCTGAAAAAAGCCGACGAATTGATTGAAAGAGGAGTTGATGAAAAAGACGATGTGAGAGAATCGAAGAAGAGATTGCAAGAGAAATGGGAAGCGGTGGGTTTAGTGATTTAAGAACTCGACTAACAAGATGTCTAGCTTAAGTCTAATCTAGTCTTTTGCTAGCTACCAGTTACCAGCTGCTAGCTGCCAGCTACCAGCTGCCAGTTATTAGTTACCAGCTACCAGCTACCAGTTACTAGTTACCAGCTACCAGTTAGCAGCTACCAGTTACCAGTTAGCAGTTACCAGCTACCAGCTACCAGTTACCAGTTAGCAGCTACCAGTTACCAGTTAGCAGTTACCAGTTACCAGCTACCAGTTAGCAGTTACCGGCTACCAGCTACCAGTTACCAGTTACCAGCTACCAGTTAGCAGCTACCAGTTAGCCAGCTACCAGTTACCAGTTACCAGCTACCAGCTACCAGCTACCAGCTACCAGTTAGCAGCTACCAGTTGCCAGTTAGCAGTTACCAGCTAGCAGCTACCAGTTACCAGCTACCGTCTACCAGCTACCAGCTACAGTAGCTATCTTTTCTTCTTTAGTAAAGTACTAAATCGAATCAAAGACACTTTAGCCATGTATTCTAGGCTTTCTTTTAAATCACCAGATTTAACTCAAAATCTCCAGATTGAAGCCGCAGCGAATGCGCGAGCCGACGCGCTACGGATGGCCAAAGATGAGGCTGAAGATTTCGACGCAAAAGCACATGCGCTTCTCTCGTGGATGGATGAGAAAGATGAGAAATTGCGAGTGAATAACAAGGAGCCGAATCTCGATAAAGCCATCGATGTGGCACAAGGAGTAGTGGATGAGATGAAGGTGACTCTATCCGCCAAATCCTTTTCCTAAACCATTTCCCTAAAACTACCGTAATCCTTTCATCGAATCTATCCGCTTTTCTCCTTTTTCTGTGCGCATTCTGTTTAAAACATCAGTTTAAACTTCCAGTTTAAGCCTCCAGTTTAAAAAACCAGTTTAGATACTTTAAAATACCGGTTTAAACAGTTTAAAGCACCAGTTTAAACACTTTAAAACACTTAGAAATTAGTTTTAGTCCTTTAACAAGAAAGCAAAAAGTTTTCGACGGTGAGCGGATTCGAACCAGGGAGGACTGGTGCGGGAGGCGACACTGCTAACCGCTAGACCATCTGGTCATTGTTTAGATGAAGTAAAAAGTGCCTCATATCCCAGTGGCGTCGTTTTACGTCGCTTTATACAAGAAGAGCGAAACTATCAAAGATGCCGCGATATGGGGCTCTTTTTCCGTTAGCCGCGAAATCGCCGGATGGTGTAGTGAATAGTGCGCTCGCCCCTCGCCCCGGATTCGGATTCGAACCAGGGAGTCCCAGCCCGAGAGCCGAGAATGCTAACCGCTAGACCATTCGGTCGCTTCTTAAAGGAGGTAAAAAAAAGGCCTCATAACCCGGCGGCGTTGTTTTTAACGAAAGCAAAAAGGTTTTGACAGTGAGCGGATCCGAACCAGGGACCCCCAGCGCGAGGGTCCAGAATGCTAACCGCTAGACCATTCGGTCACTTGTCAACGAAGTAAAAAAGGCCTCATAATCCGGCGGCGTCGTTTTTAACGAAAGCAAAAAGGTTTTGACAGTGAACGGATTCGAACCAGGGAGTTCCAGCGCGAGAGGCGAGAATGATAACCGCTAGACCATTCGGTCACTTGTCAACGAAGTAAAAAAGGCCTCATAACCCGGCGGCGTCGTTTTTCCAAAAATCCAAAAATGCTAAAAGTCGCCAACAAGTACCGTCATTTCCATTTTCAGTTCGAAGAACCGAGAAAAGAGGCTTTGCTAGCTCTCTGTGCTGCAATCCAAACAAAAGCGCATCCAGCAGCCGAGCAACCGATGAGACACTGGAATAAACTGTTGACGGCACGGTGGAAGGTTTGTCTTTGAGCGTTTGAGCGCATTGAGCAGTGAGCGTCTTTGACTTTGAACGCGTAGCCTTTTGGCTACGTTAACTTTTTTCTGACTAGTCAGATTTATGTAGTTTCTCGTTTTTTTGGCAATCCTGGAACGCACATGGCAATTTGTAGGAAACATTTTTCCAAAAAACCTATACAAACGATATTAGGATTTAGAATCGACTCGCTGTGTTTAACTCTTTTCTGAATCATCAGATTTATTTAATTTCTCGTTTTTTGACAATCCTGGAACGCACAGCAATTAGATTTTTTATTTAATCGAATTTTAGACAAGAATAAACTTGTACGGATTACTGTAAGTGATTTACCCACCGTAACCGGATTACGGTGGATAAATAGCCGTAATATCGATGTTTTACTGTAGATGAAGCTGTAGACGAAGCTGTAGAGGCTACGGTAACTCGAGCATATTATAGGAAGTCGAGGATCGAGCTCTCGAGAAGACTGTTGACTTGAAAGAGCAAAAACAGAAGAATGAGGAGCGAGAGAAAGCGCTGAAGGTAAGCTTTAAGGATTACTGTAGATCTACTGTCTACTGTCGGATCTACTGTCGGATTACGGTAACTCTTTAACTTTTTAGGAACTTCTCGCTTTCGTTGCCAAGAAACGCGATCAACTGCTAGCGATGAGCTCTGCGCCGACGCCTGAGGATCTGACTACGGTAAGCGAAGTGGCAAATAGATTTACAGTCCTGGATTACTGAATTCCCTGGATTGCTGTAGCCATTCCCTGGATTATTGTATCCAATCCTTGGATTACTGTATCCATTCCCTAGATTCTGGATCCATTCCCTGGATTACTGTATCCATTCTCTGGATTCTGTATCTAATCCCTGGATATCCATTCCCTGGATTACTGTATCCAATTCCTGGATTAGTGTCTCTATTTCCTGGATTACTGTATCCAATCCCTGGATTCTGTATCCAATCCTTGGATTACTGTATCCATTCCCTGGATTACTGTATCCAATTCCTGGATATCCATTCCCTGGATTACTGTATCCATTCCCTGGATTACTGTGTCCAATCCGTGGATTCTGTATCCATTCCCTGGATTCTGTATCTAATTCTTGGATTACTGTATCCAATTCTTGGATTAGTGTCTCTAATTCCTGGATTACTGTATCCATTCCCTGGATTACTGTGTCCAATCCCTGGATTACTGTATCCATTCCCTGGATTCTGTATCTAATTCTTGGATTACTGTATCCAATCCCCGGACTAGTGTCTCTAATTTCTGGATTAGTGTCTCTAATCCCTGGTTTACTATATCTAATCCAGCAAAAGGATTACTCTGTCATATTCAAGGATCACCGTATCTTTATCCAACACTTACTGATCACTGTACCATTTTTCAGGAAGAAGCCCTAAGATGGGTGGGTGAAATGAGTTCTTTTCTTAATCATATGTTGCTTTTTGTCTTGTCCAAAATTTCAAATATTAAAGAAAACCCTGGCTTTTAGATAATAGATAATAGATAATAGATAATAGATAATAGATAATTGATAATTGATAATTGATAATAGATATGTGTGCTGTGTGGAATTATCCTGTATCTACTCTCTTTTATCTCAAATTCAGGTGGATAACATGCTGCAAGCGTACGAGCAACTCGACTTTGAGCTCAACGAGAAACAACCCGAGGTGGACGACGCGGTAAAAGGAGGACAAAAAGCAAAGTGAGTCGGGTGGCTAGGGGATTTGGGCTGTAGGACTGCTAGACTCAACTCTGGACACCGTGCTGAGCTATACCGTGCTGTGCTGAGCTACAGCCTGGCTACTAGACCCTATTCAATCCAGATGCTAGGTGTTCGCGTTCACGTAGAGGCCTAGAGGTCACCAATTGACCTTTTAAACCTCTCAACAACTCCATCTTATAGAATCAACTACGCTGATTCTGAATCTGTTTTCAGTTTTTAAACACGATGCCTGTAACGCGAGTTATCTCGGCTACAAGTTTTAGGCCTCCTGCACCACATCACTAGTTGGCTCCGTGAAGTGAACTCAAGTAAAGACGGAGCCAACTAGTGATGTGGTGCAGGAGGCCTAAAACTTGTAGCCGAGATAACTCGCGTTACAGGCATCGTGTTTAAAAACTGAAAACAGATTCAGAATCAGCGTAGTTGATTCTATAAGATGGAGTTGTTGAGAGGTTTAAAAGTTCATGGCACTGGCAACTGGTAACTGGTAGCTGGCAACTAGTAACTGGCAACTGGTAGCTGGCAACTAGTAACTGGTAGCTGGCAACTAGTAACTGGCAACTGGCAACTGGTAACTGGTAACTGGCAACTGGCAACTGGTAACTGGCAACTGGCAACTGGTAGCTGACAACTGGTAGCTGGCAACTGGTAGCTGGCAACTAGTAACTGGCAACTGGTAGCTGGCAACTGGTAGCTGGCAACTAGTATATTCCTAGTAAACTGGATTCATGAAAGCTAGAATTTTAATAACTCTAATAGCTACATAGTTGAACTGTAGCCTGGCCAGAGTAGCAAGTATTCAGAAAGATCCCATAATGACCTAAATCCACGGTGTGCGCTCCAGAATCACCATTTATCTAACGAAAAACAATCTGGGGCGCTTGCGGCGCTTGCGGTGGCTGCGGTGGCTGCGGTGGCTGCGGTGGCTGCGGTGGCTGCGGTGGCTGCGGTGGCTGCGGTGGCTGCGGTGGCTGCGGTGGCTGCGGTGGCTGCGGTGGATGGATTCTTAAAGCTTTTACGGTACTTGATCATTTTAGAAACCCGAAAGCCATTCAATTGGGCGACGAGTGGAAACGTTTATGGTTGGACGCGTTGGGGCACAAAAATGCGTTGGATGAAACGAAAGAGTTGCTAGAGGAAATGAAACGATTAGAAGGATGGCAATGGGAGGATTGGAAAGAGAGGTACGAGGCGATTCGGAGTACATTGCCTACAGTAAACACCTAATTACGATATTACATCTTTTCTTTTCAGATACTGTGAATGGAATGATCACGCAAAAGGTCGAGTGACTGATTTGTTCCGAAGAATCGATCGAACCGCCACCGGAAATGTGCCAAGACAAGCATTCATCGACGCTATCATCAATAGTCGTAAGTTGTGTTTGAGAAACGCCTTAAAATGTGCCTTAAACGATCGTAATCCCGTAAACTAATTCGTAATTACTCCAGGTTTCCCAACGTCTCGCTTGGAAATGGAAAAAGTTGCCGATTTGTTCGACAAAGACGCTTTCATCAATCACAAGGATTTCATCAATGCGTTGAGATTCGATAAAAATGTAAGCAATAGGTTACTGTAGCTATTGGGTTACCGTAGCTTTTATTGGGTAGGTTACTGTAGCTTTGATTGGGTAGGTTACTGTAGTTATTGGGTAGGTTACTGTAGCTTGGATTGGGCAGGTTACTGTAGCCTTGCTTGGACAGGTTACTGTAGCCTTGCTTGGGCAGGTTACTGTAGCCTTGCTTGGGCAGGTTACTGTAGCTTTGTTTGGGCAGGTTACTGTAGCTTTGTTTGGGCAGACTACCGTCGCTTTTATTGGGTAGGTTACTGTAGCCTTGCTTGGGCAGGTTACTGTAGCTTTAATTGGGTAGGTTACTGTAGCTATTGGGTAGGTTACTGTAGCCTTGCTTGAGCAGGTTACTGTCGCTTTAATTGGGTAGGTTACTGTAGCTATTGGGTAGGTTACTGTAGCCTTGCTTGAGCAGGTTACTGTCGCTTTTATTGGGTAGGTTACTGTAGCTATTGGGTAGGTTACTGTAGCCTTGCTTGAGCAGGTTACTGTCGCTTTTATTGGGTAGGTTACTGTACCTCTATTGGACAGGTTACTATAGCCTTGCTTGGATAGGTTACTGTAGCTTTTATTAGATAGGTTGCTGTAGCCTTGCTTGGGTGGGCTACTGTAGCCTTTATTGGGCAGGTTACTGTAGCTATTGGATAAGTTATTGTAGCTATTGGGTAGGTTACTGTAGCGACAACTACGAGAGCCTAAGTAAGCCTAAGTACTAGAAGTTTACCGTAATTAAAGCCTAAAAATAAGCCAAGCCAAAAACATTTAGCGCCGAGCCGAGCCAAAGTCAGACAACGAGCGGATCGCGATCGAAATCGACCGCCAAGTGCGCGGCTGTGCCTGCTGTCAACCGTACAAAATCGAGAAGATCAGCGATGGGCATTATAGGGTAAAAAAACGATTAGAACTAACAATCAGCAGAACTGGAGCTCTTGTCCGTTATCCTGGGCTTTTATTAAGTTATCTACTAAAACTAAAACTGAACTCACAGACAGGTCACAGACAGGTCATAATTATGATCACAGACACCTCCAGGCCCATAATTATGATCACAGACATCCTTCTAGCTCCTTCTAGCTCCTTCTAGCTCCTTCTAGCTCCTTCTAGGTCCTTCTAGGTCCTCCTAGGTCCTTCTAGATCCTTCTAGGTCCTCCTAGGTCCTCCTAGGTCCTTCTAGCTCCTTCTAGATCCTCCTAGGTCCTTCTAGATCCTCCTAGGTCCTTCTAGGTCCTCCTAGGTCCTTTTAGATCCTTCTAGCTCCTTCTAGATCCTTCTAGCTCCTTCTAGATCCTTCTAGCTCCTCCTAGGTCCTTCTAGCTCCTCCTAGGCAATCGCAAGGGCCGCCCCTTCTCGGCAATAAAAGGGATAAGCACAGGGGAGAACACATTTGCATAAGAGTAGACAAATCATCCAAGAATAACAATAGTAACTAAAATATCAGTTTGGCTGGAAATATCAGTTTCCATCGTGGACCGGAAGTGTTATAGTGATTCTGAAAGCCTAAAACGAGCTCTATAAAATGCTGTATTTGCTTTGGACCATTATTTTAATTTTTCACGCATTTTGAGGTGCGCAAACTAGGGTTTAGAAAAACAAAACATTATCGGCCCTGTTTTTCTTGTTGATTTTCTTGTTTTCTTGCCACTACGGTGTTCTTTTCAAAATTCAAAGTCTCTTTTTAAATTAGCAATAATATTTATAACGGACAAGAGGCTTCTAGTGAAATACAAATCGTTTCCTAGTTTTGTTTTTTAAATTTCTGCTAACAAATTTTGCTAACAGTTTTGCTAACAGACTTTTTACGCCACTCCAGTTCCTCGATCGTTCACCGCGTTTTAGAAGCTGTTTCACACAGGTTTTCTTCACCAGAAAATCCCCTAAATTTTCGCACTTTTCGTTGTAATTTGTGAAATTTCGGGTAGCTTCTAGTAGATTTGTGCCTTTCGTAGTTTACGATAGCTACGATAGCTACTATAGCTAGGATAGCTACTATAGCTATGATAGCTACTATAGCTACTATAGCTACGATAGCTACGATAGCTACGATAGCTAGGATGGCTACGATAGCTACGATAGCTACGATAGCTACGATAGCTACAATAGCTACTATAGCTACGATAGTTAGGATAGCTACGATAGCTACTATAGCTACGATAGCTACTATAGCTACGATAGCTACGATAGCTACGATAGCTACGATAGCTAGGATGGCTACGATAGCTACGATAGCTAGGATAGCTACGATAGTTAGGATAGCTACGATAGCTACTATAGCTACGATAGCTAGGATAGCTACGATAGCTAGGATAGCTACGATAGCTACTATAGCTAGGATAGCTACGATAGCTAGGATAGCTACGATAGCTACGATAGCTACGATAGCTACTATAGCTACGATAGCTACTATAGCTACTATAGCTACGATAGCTACGATAGCTACTATAGCTACGATAGCTACTATAGCTACGATAGCTACAATAGCTACTATAGCTACAATAGCTTACTGTGGACATCGTTTAGCTCCTCCAACTTTTCGGTTTATTTACCGTTCATTTATTGTTGGTAATCTACGTAATCTACGCTACAAAACCTTTGATTTGTTTTCTGCTTTCGCGTAAACGCTAAACCCTCTGGCGCACTGAATTTCCGCGTTTTAAAGCATTGTTTCTAGAAGGAATGCGGAATTCAGTGCGCCAGAAAAGATGCGTTTAGATGAGAGCACAAAATGCAGCAGAAAGTGCAGCACAAATAGCAGCAGAAAGGCTCGAGAATTCAGTAAATTACCATCCACCGTAGTCGGGCGTTTCTTTTTTTAAAGTCTCGCATTCATATGCAAATTTCAGTTCGGTGACACGCAAATCCGGCGAATGGTGAGAATTCTTCGATCAACGGTCATGGTTAGAGTTGGCGGTGGATGGGTGACACTGGAGGAGTTCTTGCGATCACACGACCCGTGCCGGGCAATTGGTAAGTGGAGACGCGAAATGGATACAGCGCCACTAGCACTAAGCTACAGTACAGTACCGTACTATGCACTGACGTCTGGATCCAGATACCCAAGCATCCAGATACCCCAGGGCAGAAAAGCAAGCACTGTAGGCGAGATAAGATTACGGTGAGTTTCGCAGCGAGACAACGCTAGCGAAGGGTTACTGTAGCGCCGGATTACGGTCACCAATCGGCCTCCTTCGGCTCCTATAGGTACTGTAGATTACGGTAGCTAAGGGATTAGCTAAGGATTAGCTAGCTAAGGGTACTGAAACTTGAGCTTGGTATACTGTAAAACAAAAGGATGAAAAAAGACTTGAACCACTGACTACGGATCAGCAAGCCGTTTTGGCTGTGCTCTGCCAGGTCTAGAGCCAGCTAGCCAGTTACAGTACCCAGGTAAAGCTCATTCTACGAACTACTAGACCCTGTGGTACTGAGCTAAGCCCTAGACTACGTTGCCAAGCCCTAGACTACCTTGCCAAGCCCTAGACTACGTTGCCAAGCCCTAGACTACCTTGCCAAGCTCTAGACTACCATGCCAAGCCCTAGACAGCCTTGCCTAGCCCTAGACTACCTTGCCAAGCTCTAGACTACCATGCCAAGCCCTAGACTACCTTTCCAAGCCCTAGACTACCTTTCCAAGCCCTAGACAGCCTTGCCTAGCCCTAGACTACCTTGCCAAGCTCTAGACTACCCCGCCAAGCCCGAGACTACCCCGTCAAGCCCTAGACAGCCTTGCCTAGCGCTAGACAAGCCCATCTACCTTGAGAACTGTTTTGTATTAAAGTTATCGTATGTTTACAATTTTCTAGGTCGTCGTTATCAAGATATCTATCCCGACGTCCGTCCATCGAACGCCGTCGACACAATGCGAGCTTTCACAAAAAATCGGCACGCTAGAATGTCCTCAACAGATTCGGATGGAGCACAAGTGCCGCCAGGAGCTCTGGGACCGATTACGAAAATTCGGTATAATAAAAGCAACTCGAAGGTTGACCCTGTAACTGGGTAATTGAGCCGAGTGCCAAAAAAAGCAGAGTGCCGGAAAAAAAAAGTGTGTGTCCCAGAAGCCGTGCGATTCCATAAACGCACGCATCTGGTGTACTGGCGAAACGCCAGTCGGTTTAATTGCCCAGCTGCAAGGCAATTCAGCTATCTCATTGCAAAACTATTCAACTTTTTACAGTGAAAAGACCGAGCGGAGCTTCCCGATGTTCCCGCATGGCCACGATCATCAAAGCCACGCACACAACGGCTCATCATCATCGGTGTCAAAGCTGCGAGCCCCGTCCGACGTGTCGCTGGGTGATTCGAGAATCGGTAAGTCACTGTGAGGTTTACTGTAGCGTAGCAATCCTTTAGCAAACTCATCTTGACCTCGGGTTACTGTAGCTATTCCTACCGTTTAGAAAGACTCCCGATCCTATCTTTTAGACCAAGTACAGTAATCCAGTCGCCTCAAACAGCTATGGAGGTTACTGTAGTGCCTTTTAGCTAGCATAGGATTACAGTAGCTCGTCTTCCAGGGGCACCTTTTAGAAACGACTTTCAATGAGTTTAAATCTACCCTACAGTAATCTCAAGAAACTACAGTAATCTCCGACTACAGTAATCTCCGACTACAGTAATCTCCGACTACAGTAATCTCAAGAAACTCAATCTAAAAGCCCACGAGTCTAAATTATGGGCCAAGTACAGTACCCCATTTTCAGGCAAGGGTTGGCCGGGTGGAATCTCCCCAGCTGGCAGTCAGTCGAGTCTCGACCGGGGCAGTCGTCCGCCAAGTCGGGCAAGCGCCGACCCAGAGCGCTCCACGAGGATTCCGTCGTTGCGCGGCAAAAAGGGAGTACGGTAGGTGCTTCACAATCTTAAATCCTACCTTAAAAGCCGACAAACGCCACACTAAATCATTTTAAGAAGTACTGTACTTCACAAGGAGTACCGTATCTTTTTTTACTGGTATTACTGTAGCACAAGAGTCAGACACTTTGCCATTTACCGTTCTCTAGTGCTTTTTAAAGTGTTATAGATAATTATTATATTATTATAGTATTATATTATTATAGTATTATATTAAAAATAGTATTATAAATAAAAGATAAATATAAATAAATAATAAAAAAGAAAAATATAAATAAATTATAAAATAATTAAAATAAAAAAATCAAAGCCTGAGAATATCCACATTTTTAGCTACAACCCACCGCGTCAACTGTAAAAATCGGAATTTGCCTTATTTTTTTAACTTTTTTGAAGAAACCAGTATTTTTATGGGTTTAAATGCTCATTTTTGATAAATTTTATCATTTTTTGCTTAAGTCCCAATAAAATGTGATCTTTTTGAAAGCTTTCTGTGAATTTTTATATGTGAACTTCTGTTTGTTTTAGCATTTTCGTTGAGAAAATTCACAATTTTGCCGGTTTTCGTCAGTTTTCCTACCGTAATTTATCTGTTTTATGCAAATTTTGCTTGTTTACCGTAACCATGGCGCATTTTTGGTTGTGTTTTAGCCTTTGACAAGTGATTTTTCTAAAGTTTTAAATAAATTTTGCAATTTTTCTTCAAAAATTTCACGTCTATACAAAAAAAGCGACCAAAAATTATCACAGGAATCCGTAAAAAGAAAAAAATGATGGGAATTTCGGCATTTCATAGTTAAACCGTTTAAAAACTAGCAGAAATTATAAAATTTAACTCAAAAAAACAGAAAAACGTTACCAAAACACGTGTTTCCTATTTCTTTTTCTTGTTTTTCTTCGCTCCACCACCACCACCACCGGATGATCCTTGCTGGGCGCTGCTCTGAGCTGAGAAACCCGGTTGTCGACTTTTCAACTTGGGAATCGTCTCGCACAGATACGCAAAGAGCTCTTTTCCTGGAAAATATGACAATAAACTAGGTTTATAAAAGGTCGTCGAAACCAAAATCTATCGAAAACCCTAGAGTACAAATTTTTAGCTCATAAAATCCATCGCTGAATAAAACAGGACAGGGGATATTAGTTTTAAGTCAAACCCTGGAACACGTGTCCCCTTATTTTTGATTCTCTATCCAAAAATATAAAACACATCGAAACCGGTCCATTCCCCGATTCTTTGCTGACAGACAGACAAACATTTGACAATTATATAATAGTAAGATAACGGTACTATTTACCTAAAATCGGTCATTTTGGTCAAGGGAAACAAGTGAAAATCAGTAAAAACTCTACCTTTACTTCCTTTATTACCAAATCACAAAACCCAGGCGATCTCGTAGCTTTTCACTACCACTTATGCAATTCAAACCTCAATTTATCTACGTTATTGAATTTTAAACCCATAGCCACGGCTTACTCGCACATCTTTTCATTCAAAATTGACGAATACCCAACAATTGCCGTTCGAACAAATTTCCCCTCAAATCAAGCACCACTCACTTGTCTTGAATTCCTTGAATTTCGGTGTGTCATCGTCGTTCAATAATTGTACTTTCACGCGTCCCTGCATCGCCCAATCTCGCGTCTGATCACGGGGATACATCTTTTTCTGAAAAAAAAATAGCAAATCAATAAAGCTGACTCTCACTTTCTACAATGAAATTTCGCCAACCGATTCTATAATGTAATAAATAAAGTCTAAAGGTTGTCGTCAACAGCTTCAAAATCTATTTTACAAACCTCAGCAATTGGAGCAAAATTTCCAGCCTGGAGAATGTCGAAGATCTCTTGAGTCGTCGGATTCTCAACAGCCTAAAACAAAGCATTTTGATGATGACAGAATCAAAAGTAGACTCAGGCTATCAAATATTATCAAATCCAAATTCATATCCAAATTAAACCTTCAAAAATTCTTTAAATCTTCATCAAAACGTTCTAAAAAATTTGTCCAAAGTTGGAGGATAATCAACCAATTTATTTCTTTATTTATTTATTAAGGTTGATTATAATTATAAGGAGGATTTATTATGATTGATAGGGCAAGTCTATCAAAAAGTACCCGGTACCTGAGCCTGTGTGATTCGGCGTCCCTCTTGCACGGTTTTCTTCGCGTTGATGTATGCCGGATAGACGGCCACCCATCGTTCCTGTGCCGATCGGGGTTTTTTCTTCACGTCGCTCATCACTAAATAATGTAAAGTTACTATAAAGCACACTATATCGACAAGAAATTGAAAATTCAAGGTCCAGCTATGTAAAAGGCTTAAAAATATCGAAAACTTCAACGAAATAGCTAATTTTCGATGGAACACTTGCAACATTTGGACTCAAATTGATAAAAACGAATAGATTTTCAACTTTTTAGCTTATTTTTCTATAGAATCACCAATTCAATAAAACAAATGGCCAAATTGGCTTTCATCCAAACGGGAAAAAGTACGGTAACTTTTCGAAAAGTCCACAAAAAGGATGCCAATCAATTTGCGTTCAAAAGCCTTATTCATTCCAAAGGTCTAAAAAATATTCAGCTAGTGCAACTTTTTCCATAAGTATTCCAATTATAACAACATTTATTCATTTTTGAAACTAAAAACAACTCAACAAACAACTTTAACAATCAAGAAATGAGCGATAACAATGAAAAGGATTGGGTAAAGGCACAAGAAATGATGGGTGGATAACAAATTGGAATAAAATCTCGAAAATTAAACAAATAACAACGTTTTTCCTCTCAATTCTCCACGGCTTTCCGAATCGATTTCAACATCGGAAGTGGCGTTTTGGCGTTTATCTGAAAGAAATTAGTTAAGGCAGTTTCAAAATTTACTACAATCATTATCTTTATAAGCACAATGAAGGGATTTTAAGCTTAAAAATGTTCAAAAGTGTTGAACACTGTATTTTGCATGTTTTGAGTACGTCTATCAGTTAGTCTCGCAAAAATAACCAACCTGTTGACAAGAAGCGTTGAGTTTCTTCAGCGATCCGCCCGCTTTCCACAAATCCTCATCGCCGATCAGCGTGTCCAATGTTTCATTCAACGTTTTCCCAGCCAACGACATCAACTTCTCGTCATCGGAGCAAACCGACACGAATTGGATGAGCACTTTGAGCAATGCAGCAACGATTCGGGGCTTGATGTCGGCACCGCTTGTCGTCAGAGTCTTGAGTAAATTGGCTGAGCTTTCCAAGAGCATCTTCACCAATCCTTTCTCCAATGGGCTCACTTTGACGACATCTTTCCGCAACAAAGCCGCCGCACACAGGAAAGCCTCAGTCTGAAAGAGAACCATGTAATAAAGAAAATAAGATGTAATCAACTCTTCTAAAAGGTCGAATCTTCTCATTGAACCCGTAAGCGATCAATTTCGGTAATTCCGTGCAGAAAGAGGCCTAAATTTGAAAGTAATTAAGAGAAAACAAGTGAAAAAAGCTTACCGGATAACGTGTATACGCTCCAACGACCACTTCAGAGTCAAAGTTCGCTTCATCACCTGCAAAAAATTGTGGTTAGAAAACGGTCATAAATCCAAGTAAACTTGTCATGAATTTGTCCATCAATCCAACAAAAGCGGCCACATGTTTGGGATCGCTTTGACCCTTCTCGGTGCCGAGAGTGAACTAAAAATGAGTCCTGTGCAAGAAATTAAAAGATAGCAGGTTTTAATGCAAAAAATCAACAAACCAGCCAAGCCGAGAAATCACCAATCGCCTTTTTGATGACCGGATTGATGGCTCCTTCGGCTTCTTTAGCCAATTCGTCCAAAACGGCTGTCAAACGTTTTCGTGGTACTTCCAACTGGAAAAAAAAATATTCTTAGCTTTTAAACTTTGACTAAAATACACCTTCATTGGTGAAAAGCCAACCTTTTTCATATGAACAAGCACATTCAACAACTCCAGCGCTTTCTTGGTGACTGTGTCATCTTTGGCGCGTCGCAAAAGCGTCTTCACCAAGGAGAGTAGTGGAATAGCGATTGACTAAAAAGCAGATAATGTATAAATTTAGCAGAACTGATTTCAAGTATCATGGGCAAATGGTCAAGTACCAGTGTCAGTTTTCCTATTCAGCAACTCACCAATTTCACTTTTCCCGGTGTTGACTCGTTCGAAATGAAGACGAGAAGCAGCTCTAACAGTTTTATCCTCAACGGGTTCGCGATTCGTGACGCATCGGCTTGCACCTAAACATTGCCATATAACTTGAATTTCCAGAGTTTATTATAACGCTAATATATAGGCTATGGTTATGACTTAGATTTGGTCTGGCTTTTGGAACAAATCCAATCACAAAATCCGAAAGTTGTACCTAACTTTTAGCTTGAATGTTAGTGTACCTTTTTCTTTGAGTTCTTCCCGCCAATCGACTTGAACGCAGCCGCCAATCCATCATCCAAACGGAACATCTCGTCATCGTCAGGCCCATCCGAGAGGTCACTTTCCTAAAATTGGATAAATGGCATCTGGGCCATAAATGTAATTCAGCGTACACCCGATTTCGTCTCATCAACGGCCGCTTTTCCGAGCGCTTGTTTCAGTCGACTCAACAACATTGGATCAACCTAAAACCTTGGTTTTGAAAAACAAACTTTTGATTGCATACCTCTCCTTCCGGATCAGATTCCGATTCATCGGACAACTCGACATCACTCTCCTCATTTTTTCCGTTTTGCTCCTTTTCACCGTTGACTCCATTCACTAAAATAAACTAGCTTTACGAACAGAACATTAGCTTTATTTCTTAGTCTTTACAGCAATTTAGCCCTGTTGTATTAGCCATTCACAACCAACCTTTAGCATTCTCGATCTCCATCATTTCTTCATCATCTTCTTCATCCGCTTCTTCATTCTCTGCTGTTCCCACCAACTCCTCGTCACTTAAAGCAATCGCCTAAAATTTTTACATAACTTTCAAGAACCCATAAGCTTTACCTCAATAATGTGCATCACGTGAACTGTTTTCAAATGTGGCAGTGTCGACAAGAAGAGGTACTGAACAGGGGCTCGGTGGAATCTAAAAAGCATAAATATTTGCGAAACTTTTCAACAAACCGATGCAATTGAGACAACAAGGCTACGAAGAGATCGAGAAGAACCTGGAGAAAAATATTTGCTAGAGACGCGTAAAAGTTTACCTTGAAAGAATCCTCATCCTCTTTGAACTTTGCCGCTAATCCGACCAACTCTTGCGCGTTCTCCAAGTAGGCTTTCTCCTAGAAATGAGAAACTATTGGAAAAACCTTTAAAAATTATTTTAGTAAGAAAATTCAGGAACTAGAAAGAGAAAACTAAGATATCAATAAGCATCAGAGATTTCTTCAAAACAACCCCTACCTCATCTGAATCCGGTGTCGTGGCCGCCCAAATTCTCAAGCATTGCCAAAAGGTGAGGAGTTGTCTGAAAAGAAAAAGGTTAAGAATCAAAATTTTTGATGTTTTTTTGAGCTCCTTAGCGCTTGTTTTTAAGTCTTTTTAGTATTCTGTAAGCATTAGCTTTCTGAAATCTCCCAATCCAACTGATTACCATGACAACCAGAAATCCATTTCCATTCGGTAAACAATTTGTTTGTTTGCTTTTAAAAATTTCTATTAAAATTATGCCCTTTTCTCCGGAAACCCTTCCAATTACCATTATCGTAATACTTATTATCTACTTACTCATTGTTGCGCTTGGCTTTTGGATAATGATTTTGTATTGGGTAAGTGAGCCAGGAAAATGCAGAGAGAATCGAATTTCAGCCTCATTTATTGAAGCAACGAGCCACCTCGTCAATTTTACCCGATTTCCCGACATTTGCAGGTTCATTATTTGAAATTTTAGCCGGTTAGGACCGGTAAGCCAAGCAAGGCAAGATCAGTACTTGGTTTCTGGCCTAGCTCTTGCTTAACTTGCCTTTGCAGTAGTAAACTGAAGCAAATTCCAGATTGTTCCTTTATTCTCAACTGTTGTCCGTGTGTGTTCCCGAGTGGAAGAGCTCTATTAAAGAGATGTTGTCCAAAACCGGTAAGCTTTGGCTTTTGCCTTTTCCGTCAGCATTGGACCAAACGATTCAAAAAACTTTCTAGGGTTGGCTCCGAAAAGTGGCCACATGCGAGCCTTGCCGACCGGCCGTTCAAAATCCAAATGAAACCCAGCGGTTGCATTTAGTTTGTTGTACTATATGACTTGGTTTATCTTCATAAAATGTGTATTTCTTACTGTTAAGACAATTTTTTCGCTAAACTAACTTTGCAAAATCCAATCCCGTTCCGGTCAATCGCTTCTTTCCTTGTTCAAAGTCTTCCTTCTTCAACAGAATTTTTGCCGTCGAGTCTATCAGTTCAACACTCTCGTCGTCGATCAAAATTTCCGCCTTTTCTCCGGCTCGAACCTAAAGCAAATAATTTTAGAAACAAAATCTTTCAGTCCACCTTGACTTTAAACATCGTATCGATACAGTTGGCGATTGTCAAGAATCGATCCTCCGATTTGAACATGTTATTGGTTGAGGCGAGCAGGTGAAGGGCTTTCTAAATTTAAAGGCTTGGATGATCAATCTATCAAACCAGCAAAACAGCTAGTTTTCTTGTTGACAAGTTACTTTCAAGGAAAATCTGTGTTTAAAGTAAAATCACCTTTCTCGACTCCAAATCCCATTGTGGATAGATCGAGGCCAAGCGACGCACCGAGGAGCCACCGGAGCTTGTGTGCTAAAAATAAATTTGCATTTTTAAACCGCATAGATTTAAACCTAAAGCCTAGTTGAATTCAGTTAATCAGCCCTCCCAATTTCACTCACCGTTTGCAAGAAAACATCCAAATCCTCTCCTTGTAGCTTAGCCATTAGCGTTTCGGCAAACCTAAAAAGGTTTACACTTTAAAAAACACCCTTTCAACGTTACCGTATTCCAATCGTTTTGTCGAAAGTGCTCGTCAAATCGATCTCTTTCAACAAAATCGCAGCAATATGTGAGAGCTCCTCTTTCGACACCGAATCAGCCTCCCGTTGCATGAATCCCAAGATTGATTGGCAAAAGTTACGCACCTGAAACAGAACTTGAAATAGAATTAGAGGCTCTAAAGCCCTCAAAGACTTTCACAAAGCCCACCTTTAAAATTGTTGCATTTTTCTCCGGAGTCGCTTTTCCTTGTGTGATGAACCTCAACTTATTCAAGAGACTCGGCGAAAAGATTCCCAGAAGCTAAAAAGGTACTTGAACATTTAAAGTTCACAGTACATACATCTTTGGTCGATCCGTTTTTTATGATTCGTTGAATAATGTCGAATAGCTGATCAAGCGCGTGCGTTTTCTCGGCTCCGCCCAAAACCCAGGCCTCGACGACGCCTCGATAGACCTGAAATAAACAAAAATTAGTGAGCCTCGGTTCAAACTTTAAAGGTTCTTGTGTAAAGATTAAATGAACTTAGTCAAAAAAAATTAAAACCTTTGCAAATTGATTTGTTTCACGAGCACTCGAGAGCAACACCTCGATTAAGTGAGTGACATTCAACGAGTTTGTCTTCTAAAATGCAATTTGTTAGCTGCCAAGATTTATCCTAGATGTCTAGATGCCTAGATCTATCTTTTTAGATCTTAAAAGTTGCTTAAAACGATCGTTTAATTGAAAGTTTACCTTCAAAATGGCGATCAACTTCGGAAAAGCGTCCTCATGAAAGGTGAGATGTCCCTTTTTGCTAAGAAGTGGTACATTTTGTAGAATATTCTGAAATCAAAGTACTGTAAGGTTATTATATGAATGAAATACTTACCCCAAACTTTTTCGACCACAACAGAATCGCTAACAAATGCTCGGGACCCAAGTTGTCAAGTGAATGTGGAATCTGAATATAAATATAAAACTGTGTTTAACTCAAAGATAACCATTCATATTAAATTTTTTCAAGTAGTAAAGCTTTACCGATTTCTCCACACATGGATATACGTCTTTTTGGAAATCGGCAGGTGAAAGATGCAACGATGTAGTGATAATCTAAAATTTCTTCATTAGCTGTGTAAATATTTTACGGCTTATGTACGGGCCCTTTTGTTGGAATAAAATGCGGAAATCACTCACCGACTGCCAAACGCCCATTGAAAGCCACTGGAAACGCACCGCCAACGCTAACTGCTTCTCGGCAATCCATTTGAAGTTCTAAAAGATGAGAAAATGACATGGTAATAAAAAAGTAGACAGCTTACATTTTTATACACTTCCGAAGCAAATAGTGAATCCAAAAATAGGTAACGCCCGACCGCGTGTGCCTGTGCTTGATCCTAAAGAAAGGATTGATTTTTATCAAACCAACTCTAAGCGCACTTTATCATTTAACGGTAATTTGTCCTCGCAAAGTTTCCACAAGTCGTCGCATTTCCATCGTTTCGGGTACTTCTGCAAGCAGTGCACGAGAGCGCATGAAAAGCCTAAACAATGGCCATAATTGGGCCTAACCGATTTATTTTGTTGAGTTTGATAACCTCAAAGCGTACCCAGCTACTTACCAACTCTAGCCGCAGCTCTTGTCGACGACAATCCGGTGATGAGTCGATTGAGCACATAATCTTGAACGCCATCATCCAACTAAAAAAAGAGAAGCATACGAAAGAACAATTTTAACCTAGATGTAATGGTGAATTGCATAAGAACCGTGTCTTCTAGATAATAAAAGAAAATCTCTATTTATCCCTCACCTTTTCCCCAACGAGACTTGCGCAAGCCTTCAGTCGGCACTCCCCGTTGAGACTCGCCAAATCGTCGAAAATTGAGAGTACTTCTTTGGGGATTTGACCCACCATTTCACTAAAAAAGACACGCATTACCACGATAAACAAAAAAACATCAAACAGCTCATTTAAGGAAATTTTTAAAAGCATGTTTCCCACTGCACATTTAACACAAAAGCTCTCGTTTATTCATAAAATTTTCATTCTCTTCATGAAATCATGGCTTTTTTACATCCAGTTCACATTAATTTTATCAAAAATCCGTTACAAAACCTTTATTATCACAGTGAAAGCACACTAGGAATCTCCTTTTAAACCCTGCAAAGCTAAGCACGAACAATGAGATCAAACAACACCAGAAAAGCATATAAAAATTGCACAAACTTAAAATTTATATACAAAAATATGTTCATCAACTATTCTTTCGCTTCTTTTGACTCTTTTCCCAAAGCAACTTTCCAGCCGATTACCTAAAATTGAAATTTCAAGAGTTGAATGGAAAATGAACCTGTCCATCGAAGCCACAAGTGATCAAATTGGTCGTCGGATGATCATCGGCCCAAGCGACGCCGGAAACGATACGATGATGGCACTAAAAAGAGGAATTTACTGTTTTTCTATTAAAATCTTTCATTGATTATTTGCCTTCCTGGTTTCATTAGGAGCCTGATCTTTGATACTAAATATTTTAGGTTCTGAATTTTTAAAAACAAACCCTTCTATTGGGTACTCTCGGTATGCGAACGCCGTTAAGATCATAGATTCGCACATGACGATTATCGTGTGGAATGGCAACAACTAAACAAAAATGAATTAAGATTTTTGACTTCATAAAGCTTTAGAGCTATAACTATTATTACAGGTTTCACTTAAACTGGATTTTAAAATTAGACCAAAAGTAACTGACCATCCTAAAAATTTTAAAACACCCTTGACTATATCTTAATTGTTTAATCAACATAAATTTCTACCTGAATGCACTTGACTAACAGCTAAACGATTCACGGAAGAAGTGAGCCGAATCGTCGTCAAAGCAGAACGCATATTACGAAGATCCCAAACCTGTTTCAAAAAAATTAACTGTTACAAATTTAAATCCTAACCTTAACCGTTCGATCATCACTCCCCGAAACGAGGCGATCACCCGACGAGAAAGAAACACACGAAACCGAGCTAAAGCTTCGTTGTTGGGTAGAAAACTTATACACTCACTCATTATGCCCCTGAAAAACGGCCACACTTTGAATTGACTCTCTGAAATCCCATAAGCGAAAGGTGTAATCCTAAATGAAAACTTTAATTTTGCCAATTGTGAGCTAAAATCTTACCTTACTCGAAGTGACGACCAATTTTTGCGATGAATGCGCAGAGCAATGGGTCAATTCTTGTTCGTGACCTGAAAGGAAGAGATTGTAAATCAAAGCTATTCAGTTACCTGATAGAATGTTCAAGATCTCTCCTCGTTCCGCGTCGTAAACGTTTGCCGTTCGGTCCCAGCTTGCCGTGAGCAACTGGTGCCCGCCGGCCAGCCAATCGCAGCTCACGACGGCTCCCGTATGCCCGGTGAGTCGAATTTGCGGATTTCGTATCTTTGCTCCCTCAGCGTTTTGTGGTTCATTATCTAAACAATTTTATAAGCTAATAAGCCTATTAGCATACCATTCGTTTCCGTATTATCGCCTTCCTCTTTCTCAATCAAATCCGCATTCTCATCCTCGCTGCTAGTATGGTGAACAGGCTTGGCTTCTAAAGCGGCAATTAATCGATCAAATAAACTAAAAGGACCTGTATTTGCAGGAATTTTCCAAATGTGAGCACTCTCGTCACCACTCGCCGAGCAATAAATCAAAGTATCGGTTTGAATCGAGGTCGGGCACAAAGAAACGGAATTTACTGATCTAAAATCTTATAATTGTCGAAACACTTGAAATTCTCAACCCAGTATGTCCAACATATGTTCCCAAACAGACACCGGTGTCCAACGAGAAGACCCGAGCCGTTTGATCTAAAATATAAAAACTTTGAATGTCTCATTAACAATTATTGTTTAATATTTTAGCATTAATAACATTGCTGTTAGTATAATATTGTCACTTACCAGCGCTCGCGCTTGCGACAACTTTTGCCACTTCATTCGCTGAAACGTGCCATACACCATCACGATGCCCAGTGAAACGAGAAGTCATCCTGAAAAGTTATCAGTTATCAGTTACAAAGATGACAAGTATTGGCACTCATTAAGGTTTTAAAAATCTTAACGGAGTGCTCGGTAGTCAAGTTAGCCGTATGCAACTTCAAGGATTACCGAAAATTTCGCCCATCCGCTCCACCAACTTTAAAAACGAGTCGTCCGGGTGGTCCACGAAGAGCCGTGCGCAATTTGAGGCCCATTTGCATAGCTAAACGGCAACTTTGAAAAAGCAAGACTTTTTTGAGCAACCCTTTTTCCCAGATCCTTTCAAGGCCACGATTTCCGAGTTATTTTGCACGATTTCCGAAACGGGCACCGATGAGACTACCGAGTCGCCGAATTTCTCCGTCAGTGCAGCGATTTTTGCATTCACTAGAAAAAGAGAGTTTAGAATCAGAAATTTTTGACTTACGCTCGCAATTCTCTGCGTACAAGGCATCAAATTCTTTTTCGATCAAGCCGAAGAGTTGATAGAGGCGACTTCTGAAATCGAAAATTGACTGAAATTTTGTACACGAGTCTATCTAGGTCAAAAAAGATTATTGGAAATCGATAGACAAGATAAATTTAGTTCGATTCCATGATGCAAACGAGTTATACCCAAATGAATACCTGTATGGAGCATCGACTTCTTGATCTTTCTCCTCGCGTTCATAGCTCGGGCCCACATCAGTCGCCGATCGCAGTCGTTGCTCATTTTTTGCTAAAAACGAAAATATTTAGAAAAATGATTATGAAAAATACACTAATCCAGCCGTTTAGTTTAGTTTTACACAATAAAATGAGCAAACCCAATCAAAAAATTATATTACGGAGGTTTAGTCCAAATTCTATTCGATTCAAGCTGTAAAGTGGCTCCAAAAAACTAGTTAAACTCTTTTTTAGCTTGTGAAAGAACGAAAATAGCTCCCGGACAGACTTTAAGTTTTCTAAGACTTAAACCAGCATAAAAATTACGTACCTGGGGTGTTTTTCTTCAAGCTGTACTCGGAGTGCGACTGATTTGACGTTGGCATCAGCTGGAAAAAGCAAAAAGTTAAAAGATTAACGGTTTTTAAAGTTTTAAGCTTAAAAAAATGAAAAGAGTTTAATGAAATTCTGGGTTTTATAGCTGTAAAACTTTTATTTATTATTTTAAGACATTCGAGGGAAGGAAAAAAAGCTGAACAATAGAATATCTTTATTTTTGTGACGAGGTTATTTAATTAAATCAAGAAAGATAATATTTCAATCTTGGTGGTGTCTTTAATGTTATAAAAAAGTTAAACAAGTAAATTCTTGTTTTTGAACTTAAGTTTTTAAAACTTTTGATTTTATATGCATTTTAAGCCCAAATGCATGTAAAATCAAAAATCTTATCAACTACAAATACCTATTTACGCAAAAAATCCATGCGCTTTCTGCGGCAACTCACCAGGAATTTCCCAATTTTGCATTACTTCACGTGAATTTTCGTGAAAAAACTTTTAGAATTCTGATTTTGATGTACTTTTTGGTGTTTTAATGCTTTAGAATGCTGGAAAGCTTAAATTTCAATATTTTTCTTTCAGGAAATGCAGGCCGACGATATCACGTGGAATATCCTCAACAAGGGGCATTGTTCTTACAAAACAAAGTGGGTTTTTGAGTTGATTTGGTGATTGGAATAGAATTTTGGCAAATAGTAATGTTTTAACTCATTTAAAAGCGAAAAAAAGCAGTTTACTTTGAGAATTTAACTCGGAAAGGCTTCTAGAAGGAGTTTGGTAGCTTTCATCTCAATGAAAATCTACGATATTTTCCAAAGTCTCAACCTTGTTAAGCTATAAACTTTGGTAATTTATTGAATCACCAAAAATTTTATTTTAGAGTGAAGGTGAAGACGTTTTGCCGAAATGAGTACAACTTGACGGGAATTTGCAATCGAGCCTCGTGCCCTTTGGCCAACAGTCAATACGCGACGGTTCGTGAAGAAAATGGTGAGTTTTTGAGTGCATTTTTTACCTCGTGCTGTATCTTTTAAGCTTAATCAGTACTGTTCAGGCGTCTGCTACCTGTACTGCAAAGTCGTTGAGAGAAGTCACTACCCTCGGCGATTATGGGAGAAGACAAAGCTCAGCCGAAACATGGCTACGGTGGGTTGATTCTTCAAGTTTTAGAATGATGACAGCGGGTGTACATGATAAACTTTTAGGCGATCAAGCAAATATCGGACCAACTCATTCACTGGTCCGAGTTCGTGCGACAAAAATGCAAGGCTCGTCTCGTGCGAATCCACCAATATCTCATTCGAATGCGCAAAATGAAATTGAAAGGCCGGCAACAAAAGATTATTCCAATTCAGGTTGAAATCCTGGCTTTAACGTTTTTAAATGGTTTTGTTTAGACAAAGATCGAACGTCGCGAGAAACGCAGAGAAGAAAAAGCGCTCATCGCTGCTAAATTGGACACGGCCATTGAGAAGGAGCTGCTTCAGCGTCTGAAGTGAGTGTGATGTGGTTATGCTTGTCTAACTGTTCTGTTTAAATTTAGGCCATGTTTTAAAATGACTAACGAGTTTACGTCATTTAAAACATCCCTGATTAAGAATTGGTACAGTTAGCAAGTTACACTTGTTATTAAACGTATTGCTAATTTAGGCAAGGCACTTATGGCGACATTTACAACTTCCGCCAAGAAGCGTTCGAGCAAATGTTGGAAGAAGGTGAGAGGGAACTTGAAATGGAGCATGAATTGGAAGAGGATGATGAGGTATTTATATTTAGCCAATAATTGTTGAACAATTGGATATTTAGCAAACTGGTCAAACGCAGTTCGTTGCCGATTTCGAGAGCTCGGATGAAGAAGGGGACATCGAGAATGCTGAAGGTACTACAGTTTTCTTTATTTGATATCAACTCGCACTAGACATACTACAATTTTACGCGATATCTGATTATAGATATCGGGTAAATAAAATTTAAACGGTGCTAGATTATATGCGGCCTCTACCGGAGCATCAATCATTTTCATAGATTTGGTCTTTAAAAAGAAGCTGACATTAAAATTTTGAATCATTTTGGTAAACTATGGGCTAAATTTTTAAGCGATAGAACCCTTCGTTTGTTTTTAGAACATTGGACTCCGCCAGACACGGATTCGGAAGAAGGGGAATGGGAAGGGCCAGAAGAAGATAGTGATGATGACAATGATGAGGAAATGGATATAGGAGAAGAGAACGAAATGGATCAGGTTTGTTGATTTGAAAGATGAAACATAAGAGCTATTTAGATAAATGATAAATTATCTATTTCAGGCTGAATTCAGTGGCGATGGATCAGATGGAGAAGAAATCGATGAAACACCTGTTAAGAAGGTTACATTGCATTGTTTGGTTTCTAATTTTCTTTTTAGATTGCTTCCAAACCAGCGGCCAAAGATGCTTCTAAGGGAAAACAAAAGAAAAGAGTGTGTTAAAAAGTTGTGGTCCAATTAATTTTTCAACTTTTAGGTCTCTTTCGATCTCCCACCAAAGAAAAAGTCAACTAAGAAGGCGCAACGATCTAGGGTTTATTTTAAGTATTTCTTTAAATCAATAGAAAGTTTAGATTGAAATCGAGTACGAACAAGAGCCGACGGTGCAGAAGCAAAAGATTCGACACCATGATTTTTAGGAGAATTACTATCTGTTTCATTGATTTTTGTTGTTATTGTTGCATATTGGAGAATGTTCGCGTTGTTGTTATTGTTGAGGGGATTTTTATGTCTTTGATAAATTGTTTTTCAAGAAAAGTTGAAAATTGATGGTACTGACCAATGTCCTATTGAAGAAATGTGATTGTTCAAGTTTTGAGTGAGTACCTCGTCGATTCGTTACGCTTGAGTCAAAATCGAAAGTCGGTTTTCGAGTTAAATTCTCTATCGGTTGGCTAGTAAACATTGAGTCGATCGTCTTTAAAGAATTAGCGGACTTTATGCTTTTTTGTCAATCGTCATACCTTTTTGATGCAGAACAAGCCTTTTATCTTCAGAATGGAGCCGATTGAGCAACCGGCGTTGGACCCATCGACGGGATTCACCTGCGTCACTTGCCAACTCGTTTTCAGGAATGCTGAAGTTCAGGTAGATTAAAATTTAACTGCTAGCATTTAACAAGATTAACGTACTTTGCGGTTTAAATGCGTAATTTATCTATCGAACATGTAATTTAACTCATAAAGTATCCTTTGATTAACTTAACAGCTGTATTGTTTTGTTTTAGCGTGAACACTATCGAACCGATTGGCACCGATACAATCTGAAACGTCAGGTGGGGTTATTACTTGAAATTTTGAACTCAAAACATTCTTTAGGTCGCCGAATTGCCACCAATCACCGATGAACAATTTCGATCGAAAGTCTTGATGTTTCGAGAAGAGAAAGAGGTTAAAGTTAGATAACTTCAACAATAACTTCAACAATTTTTTTAGCAAGCTTTGCGAAATGCTGAAGAGGAGACGTCTCTGCTTTGCGAAGTGTGTAATAAACGTTTCAACTCGCAGAATGCGTAATTTTTTAAGGTTTAAACTTAAAACAGCAAGTTTTAGATATTCTGATCATTTGAAATCGAAAAAGCACCTGGAAATTGTAAAGAACGGACGTCGTGGGCCGAAGCAGCCAAGAAAGGTTAGAGTTTTTTTTACATGAATTTACTTTCAAAACTATTTTAGAAGACTGCAACCACTTCCACTTCCACTTCAACTACGGTAACTACCATTGAGAAGATTGAAAAGAAAGAGGTAAAAGTTTGCTCTTTTATCTTAAAGTTCCCAAATTCAGCCAGAAGACGAGAAAATGGAATCAGATGGCGAGGAAAGTGATTCTTCCGGTTGGCATACCGACAATGGAAGTGACGAGGAGGATGAAACGATCGACAATTGGGATTATGATGAGGATAAGGTAACTCTAGACCACGATTGCAGAAAGTCATTTTTTCAGGCCCTTCCGATCACCTCGTGTCTCTTCTGCCCACAAACAGCTGGAACCTTTGACAAGAATCTCGAGCACATGAAGGTTCGAACCATTTATTGAATATTTATGTAAACCTTTTAGACCCGACACGATTTCACAGTGCCTGACAAGCAATATTGTGCCGATTTGGAGGGATTGATTCAGTATTTGGGTTGGTTTTACTTCTTTTCACTAAAAGATTCTTTTTAGGGTTAAAAGTCGGTGCTGGTAGAGTGTGCCTTTATTGCCCGGAGTCGAAAGGACGTTATGCGAGTATTCAAGCCGTTCAACAGCACATGAATGATAAGGTATGAGGATAGTGTAGCTCTATTTTACCTATATTTCTTTTAGGAACATTGCAAGATCCCCGTGAGCCTAAATCGATGCTCGAGTTTGCGGATTGGTACGATTATAGGTAACTCTAGTCTTTTAAATTGATCCACCTTTGTCATTTAGCCCGTTGTACGACGAATTGGCTAATAAAGAGGCGCCGATTGACGACGGTTGGACGCTGACATTGCCAAGTGGTGAGATTTGTTGCCAAAACTCACCAAAACCTGTGCTTTTAGGTGCCAAGATTGGTCACCGAGCCCTGATGCGTTACTACAAACAGAATATTCGGGGAGTCGACTCGCAAAAAGGAAGCACACCGGCTTGCTCTTGAAAAGGTTTGATTTTTATAGTTAAGGGTTTTTTATTACATATTCAGGGGCTTAATCAACCGAAAGCACTCAGCTGGATAGGTGGAACTGGTAGTAGCGGCAACAAAATGGTCGTGTCTAAAGGTTGGGCTTGGAGATGATTGAAATGTGCATGCCTTGAGTTAAACTTTATTTGGCTATAGTCGTGAAAAGGATTAGGTGGTAGTCTAAATTTAACTAATGGATTTAGACTTGCTTAGCGTTAAGGCTTGTAATAATACAATACGATAAATTAGCTAAAGTACTTTATCATTCTCCTTCCAGGTGTGCTCATTCAAGCGGCTCGCGACATTCGAATGATGGAGAGGGCTCGTCGTCGTTTCGATTTACGAGCGGCCGTCTGGAGCAATAAACTCTTCAAGACACGCGGAAGAGTTGGTGACAATTAGAGGGAAGCATTTGCTTGTTGATTTGTTTTTCCCCATTTCCCGCACAAAACTTGTGATTTTGTTTTTTTGTTACACTTTTTTGTTGACGATAAATTTCTATTTCCCAACCGCTGACCTGCCATTTTTTATGGTGGGCGATCGATTGAAGAAAAGGTTTAACTTCGTGAAAAATCAGACAGTCATGCCTAGTCATTCTGGGAACAATGCACACAATTTCTATTCTAACACAATTCTGGCATTCATTTTCTCAAAATGTGGCACGTTTTTGGACTATATTTGGTGATTTTGCCGATCGCGATTGGGTTACAATGTTACTCTGGGGTTGTGTACTTTCAGGTGATTAAAATCTGCACAGTATTTACTCTAATGGAGACCCAAAATCCATTACATAATCCGAGCCACATATCGTGGCTAACTTTTAATTTTACCGTATCCTAAGGCTCTCTACAGTAACCCCACGTGTAAAACTTTGAGAATGCACTCCAAGTTAGGCAAATTTTTACGATTCAAGGGAACCTCTTTGGGCACCAAAATGGAAACTTGTAAAGCTGGTGAATCGTGCTACAATATGAGTGTCTCGTTGACGGAAAGGAATAAATTGTCGAAGCTTGGATGCTCGAGTTTTCGGTGTTTTGTGAGCTTTATGAAATGCGAGTAATCCACGAAGATTCTAGTTCGCGAAAAACCGATGCATCCTCCAGGAATTCATGGGGAAATCAGTTCAACTGTGCTGTTGTGATGGAGATGGATGCAATACTGTGGTGGGAAAGAGGATAGGCTTTTTGGGCGTACGGTAGGATAGATAGACTTTGAGACTATTGGGGTTACGGTAGCAGATCCAGCAGGATCACGGCAGCAGATCCAGCAGGATTACGGTAGCAGGTCCAGCAAGATTACGGTAGCAGATCCAGCAGGATTACGGCAGCAGAACCAGCTGGATTACAGTAGCAGATCCAGCAGGATCACGGTAGCAGGTCCAGCAGGATCACGGTTCTACCGTTAAGAAACCGTATGCGGTAGCTGGAACCAGTCTAGCCTTGGATTTCGGTAGCTTTTCGGGACGTAATCAAAACAGTGGGACCAGAGCAGCTCCAAAAATGCGCCACTATTAGACTTGCTTATCGACCCATAGCTGACCTATAGCTGATCTATAGCTGACTCATAGCTGATCGATAGCTGATCGATAGCTGATCGATAGCTGACCTATAGCTGATCCATAGCTGACTCATAGCTGATCTATAGCTGATCGATAGCTGATCAATAGCTGATCGATAGCTGATCGATAGCTGATCTATAGCTGGCCAATAGCGAGCCTGAGAGCCTGAGATTACGATAGTTTTCTTGTCTTTTAGAGAAGAATTTTAGAACCTCTCGAAAATCGACAAACTCAAGCACACCGTGAAAACGGTTTTGGACATTTTCGGGTGAAAAGAAAAGATTGTTTTGATCAAAATTTGGTTCCGTTTTCTTGCGCTGAATGCAATAAATCTCAAATTTTTCGATTTTTTTTCGCTTTTTTTCGCTTTTGAGAGAAATCTTTGTTACTTTCACAAGAGATTTCGCGAGTTTTTCTTTTGTTAAAATGAGATTCTTCGTATCGATTTTATTCCTCGCTTTCCCCGTTGCTTTAGCGATTGAATGTTTTACTGGATTCACGTATATTAGAGTGAGTTTTAATCAGTATTGTTTTAAAACGTCAACAATTACGGCCCTCAAAGGCCTCAACAATTACGGCCCTCAAAAGCCTCAACAACTACGGTCCTTAAAAGCCTCAACAATTACGGCCCTCAAAGGCCTCAACAACTACGGTCCTCAAAAGCCTCAACAATTACAGTCCTCAAAAGAACCTACCCTAAATACTGTAATGGTACCCCACCCCTCTCGTACAGTCGCGTAGTCTAACTTCTTTTTAGAAACACATCTTTTTCTCTCCTAGATTCTCAACCCCTAGATTTTTCCCAACTACACTTTTGGTCTCAAAAATTATTAGATTCTAAGGACTAAATGGCTAGATTCCAAGGACTAAATGGCTAGATTCCAAGAGTTAAATGGCTAGATTTCAAGGGTTAAATGGTTAGATTCCAAGGACTAAACGGCTAGATTCCAAGGACTAAACGGCTAGACTCTAAGGACTAAATGGCTAGATTCCAAGAGTTAAATGGCTAGATTTCAAGGGTTAAATGGTTAGATTCCAAGGGTTAAATGGCTAGATTCCAAGGACTAAACGGCTAGATTCCAAGGACTAAATGGCTAGATTCCAAAGGCTAAATGGCTAGATTCCAAGGACTAAACGGCTAGATTCCAAGGACTAAATGGCTAGATTCCAAAGGCTAAATGGCTAGATTCCAAGGACTAAACGGCTAGATTCCAAGGACTAAATGGCTAGATTCCAAAGGCTAAATGGCTAGATTTCAAGGGCTAAATGGCTAGATTCCAAGGGCCAAATGGCTAGATTCCAAGGGCTAAAAGATTGAGTCAACTTTAGGCTTTCGAATGGCATCAAAATCAGGCTAAAGCATTTTTTCGGCGCTGAGATATAAAGTTTTTTGCATTGTAGCATAAACCAGTGTTGAGAAAAACGCGTTCAAAGCTAGACCACGCAACACTCCGCACCGTCATTATGGGGGTGGGGTACTATTACAGTATTTACGGTAAATTGTTGATTAAAAGAATTCTATTTTTATCGATTCTATCTATAGAGATAGAGAAAAGTGGATAGAGAAACGAAAAAATAGAGAGAAAATTTTTTTAGACTTTTTAGAAAAGTGCCTAGCTATGAAATACCTTTCTTGCTAAGGACAAGAATGGATTTTGACCGGGCTGACACTTGAAAAATGATTACAAGGATTACAAGGACCGTCACAGGGTGTGAGTGTTGGCACGAGTAAGCAGCGATGCTCGTCCGATTCGGATTACTGCTACAATGTGACCGCTGACTTGACGAGTCTCAATTTGATCTCGAAATCGGGATGCTCGTCGTTGATGTGTCGAGTGAGTTGAGCAACAAGCTTACAAGAGATTCGAGCGTCCCAGAAAGCGCGTGTTTACATGGGAGATGGCTAAAACGGTAAACAAACAGCGCATCGGCAAAAATAGTCGCTTCGTGGTTAAGTTTTTACAGTACTGGACAGAATAATCACTCGCAGAAACTCGATCTTCAAGCCCCCGTCAAGCCCTAAGTCCCCCGAACACCAAATACCGTATTCTCTCTAATAGTAGTGCAGAGCAGAGCCGAGTTGATGACTATTTGACGGTTTTCAAGCTTTTGCAGAAGCTCAGTAAAGAGCTCGAGCTCTTTACTGAAAAACAATTCCGTGTCGCTTCTTAAATTTGTCTAACCAGCCGCCACTCACTTGAAAATCAGTAACTCCCTTCGGCTCCAAAGCTAGCAGACAGCTGATCCAGATAGCAGATAGCTTCTACAATCTGTCAAAAAATTATAGACGCACCCTGTTTTTTGCTAGTTTAGAGACGGGCATAAGTGCTAGTCCAGCGAAAAGTATTTTTTTAGTTTCTTTAATGTAAAAAAACAACCCATGCAAAATTTCAAGTCATTTCACTCATCCAAAGTACTTTATCGTACAAAAAACGTTTTGTCAGCTGTCAAAAAATTATAGAAGCAACTTAAATTTGACGATTTATTCTATCGATATTGGTGCTGATGGTTTTCGAGGATATTCGAGGACAGCCAACAGCGCTTCATGATCTTGTCTCTTCGATGTCGAGACGTCTTTTTGAAGTTGGACTAAAGCAAGGAGGGGCCACACATTATTAATTTATTTGTCTCTTCGATGTAGAGATGTCTTTTTGAAGTTGGACTAAAGCAAGGAGGTGCCACACATTATTAATTTATTTGTCTCTTCGATGTCGAGGCGTCTTTTTGAAGTTGGACTAAAGCAAGGAGGGGCCACACATTATTAATTTATTTGTCTCTTCGATGTAGAGATGTCTTTTTGAAGTTGGACTAAAGCAAGGAGGTGCCACACATTATTAATTTATTTGGTTTGTGTTGTTATTTTTATTTCTGTTAACTTTTTCTTGATAAAATAAAAGTGCGTCTATAACTTTTAGACAGCTGATAAAACGTTTTTTGTACGATAAAGTACTTTGGATGAGTGAAATGACTTCCAACTAGTCCAACTTCAAAAAGACGCCTCGACATCGAAGAGACAAATAAATTAATAATGTGTGGCACCTCCTTGCTTTAGTTCAACTTCAAAAAGACGTCTCGACATCGAAGAGACAAGGTCATGGAGCGCTGTTGGCTGTCCTCGAATATCCTCGAAAACCATCAGCACCAATATCGATAGAATAAATCGTCAAATTTAAGTTGCGTCTATAATTTTTTGACAGCTGATAAAACGTTTTTTGTACGATAAAGTACTTTGGATGAGTGAAATGACTTGAAATTTTGCATGGGTTGTTTTTTTACATTAAAGAAACTAAAAAAATACTTTTCACTGCACTAGCACTTATGCCCGGCTCTAAACTAACAAAAAACAGGGTGCGTCTATAATTTGTTGACAGATTGTATATCCAAAAGAAATAAGAAATAAAGTTAACCGGAAACGCATTATTTTGGCCGGCTATTTTGGCCGCATTTCGACTATTTTGAAAAGCTTCCCAAAGACATTAGGCATTAGATTTTAGGGAAAAGCTTTTTATTAAAAAACTTACCAATTCTGGAGCACACCAAAGTTTTCCCGATTGAGATTTTTCCAGTTCAACCACAATAAATGCATCGAGAAGTCATTTCTGGGAAAAAGTGGCCGTTTCTGTTGCTGTAACACCGGAGATTTGTGCAATTCGAAAGCAACGGTAAAGAAATGAAAAATTTTGCGATATGGGACTTTCATTGGATTGAAGTACGGTAACTTATCGTCTCAATTAATCAAATGAAGCCTAATAGGGCTAAACGATACCAAAAGCTATCATAATCCAATCCTGCTTTAGACAATTTCGATTTAAGCGTTGCGTCTCGTATGCAAATTTGCAATTTGCAATTTGGAAAATGAAAATTTCACCAAAATAGTCAAAAGTACGAAAAAATGCACAAATCTATCTAAAGGAATTTGGAAAAATCGAAAGTAATTGAGCTAAACAACAATAAACAATAAACAGATTTCTAACAGGTTTCTAACTATTCTAACAAACAAATTCTAAAATTGAATAAAACATTACTTGACATGTGTTAAACCATGTCAAGCAATGTGAAAAGTGTTAAAACCTGTTTGGAAATCCGGTGCTATAGTAGTGAGGGGGAGGGGGGTAGTGTTAATGTTAATGAGTGTTGGAACCGTATTGGATCAAAAAAAAGAACTGTATTGGAACCGTATTGGATCAAAAAAAGAACCGTGTTAATGTTAATAGTTAATAGTTAAAAGTAAACAGTCTCATGAAAAGTAGTTTAAAATAAGCTTGTATTTGAAACAGTTTGAAACAAACAATTAACTTTGCAAAAACAAAAAAGCAAAAGGGAAAGCAAAAGCAAAAGCAAAAGTAAAAGCAAAAGCAAAAGCAAAAGTAAAAGCAAAAGCAAAAGCAAAAGCAAAATCAAAAGCAAAAGCAAAAGCAAAAGCAAAAGTAAAAGCAAAATCAAAAGCAAAAGTAAAAGCAAAATCAAAAGCAAAATCAAAAGCAAAATCAAAAGCAAAAGCAAAAGCAAAAGCAAAAGCAAAGCAAATCTGCTATAGTATTAGGTTGAGGAAAAAGTAATGTCGGTTTTTGTCACAAAACTGTTTATTGCTAAAAACATAAACAAATGCACATCAATCAATGAGAATCAATATTCTCCATTATTATTGATGACTTGTTCCCCTCTTCGTCGCAAGTCCCATCCTCAACAAAATGGGGAGTTTCGTAAAATAAGTGTCGACTGCTTTTTTGATCTGTGCATGATTCTCGAACTTTTCTCCCACCCATATGAAAACTCTTCAACGACCGAAACAAAAAATAATCTGATGGGACCAGGCCCGAACTAAAAGGTGCGTGGGGTGCGTGGGGCAGAAGTTTCCAGCAGAAAGGTGCGTGGGACAGAAGTTTCCAGCAGAAAGGTGCGTGGGGCAGAAGTTTCCAACTAAGCTCGTCGTTCCAACCAACCAATTTTTTGGTGAGTGATTTCTGCAGTGTGAGGTTTTGCATTAAAGCAAAAAAGCAAGCAGTTTTGCAAAAAAAGCACTTTTGATGTTTTAACGCCCAATTTTCCCCGCGCCTCGTTTCCAATTTGCCTCGCCCAAGGCCTCATTAACTCTCATCAACTGTTTTGAATAAAAATCAGCGGTGACAGTTTCTCCCGGAACAACAACAACTCATAATACACCAAACCTTTTGTATTCCACCAACAACAAAGCATAAGTTTCTTTCCATGAATAACGGGTTTTGAAGTTGGTTGTGGGAGTTGACCTAGAGAAAGCCACTGATTTTTGCGCTTCACATTCTATTGAATTCATATTGAATTCTTATTGAATATTGAATCCATGTTTGATCAGATGTTAGAATTCTTCCCCAAAAATCATGAGATTTGCCTTTTTGAAGCAGAGTAGAGTTAACGATAACAAGCAGTAGTAGAGCTAACGATAACACGAGTTGTTTTGTCGAAAAAATCGCATAAGCAAAGAACTGGAACAAAGCAAAGAGCAAAGAAATCGCCAGCAACGGGAATTCAAAACCGACATTACTTTTTCCTCAACCTAATAGTTGTGGGGGGGGGGGGGGGGGAGGCAGTGTACACCTCTATTCACCTCTATTGACCCAGAGCGCACTAATTTTTGCTTCTAGGCGTAGATTCTTAATTTGGTATTTATTTAAGCTTTAGTTATTGCTTTCTAGTTATTTCAAGCGGTTACTAAGGTTTTAAGCCTCTTAATTCGATCGCGCACTTTTTAAGGTCCCGGTTTTAAGCCCAGTGGAAATAGAGCCACTCATGAAGGAGCGAAATTGTTGCTCAAACTAGCATAAAAGCTGTTTAGAACGGTTTATAAATGCTTCCAATGGATTCAGTGCGATTAATTACCCCAGAAAAAGTTTTTAAAACTACTAGCAAGTTCGAAAAAAAACCGGTGTTTACAAACTGGCCGCCCCCCCAACTACTATAGCACCGGAAATCTTATTTAAAATCATCACCAATCGATTCAGCATGGTCGAAAACCCGAGCGAGCAAAATTTCAGCCTTTTCGAATGAGTTTCAGACTTGCGGCATTTTCGCCGACTAAACCCGGCTTATAAAGAAAATTCGTTGACTGAATATCTTTAGAGGAAGATTATTTTAAGATTTTTTTAAGATGTTCAGTCAACAAATTTTTGTATATAATCCAGTTTTGGCGGTAAAACGCCACGATTTTAAGTTTATCGCCGTTTTTTAAAATTTTTTTTAAAGGTTACTAGATCGAGTACTATATATATAATTTTCAACCAAAAACTCAAAAATTTCAGGGTCAAACGACTTTGGAGAAGTTTAGCGACAAAATGCATGATTTTGCGAGGATTTTTGGATGAATTGTAATAAAAGTTTCGAAATTTCACGTGCTTTTGACGATTTTTTACAAGAAAAACACATAGAAATGCTGAATTTGCGTAAAATTGTGCACAAAATGACGAAATTGTTGAGGATTTGATGATTTTTAGCGTTTCTTGTTTGTTTTCATGTTTTTCTTTCCGAATCAATATATAATTTTGTTAATTTTTGTCTTTTACAGTTAAATCGACAATGATCGTGCATTTTGGACGAATCCCGATTGAGGAAACGGTGATGCTGTATCTGATCGGTGACACAAAACATCCGCCGAAAGCCTCCCCGTACGCGGAACAACAACGATTGGCTAGGTAAAGCTTTAAAATATTATGTTTCTAATCAAAATTCCACCCATTTCGGGGTGGGACAAATGCGACCTTTTTTTGCTGGAAAAAGCCTTAGGCAAGGCCGTAGAGCTTCGAAAATATTTCCATATAAGGGAATCGTATGCGTAGATTCCGAATTTCGACAAATCCGACCTCGCTGGCACGTCAAATTTGGGCTAAAAGGCAAAAACTGCGAAAAAGCGTTAAGTTGCGTAGTTTTTGCCTTTTAGCCCAAATTTGACGTGTCAGCGAGGTCTGATTTGTCAAAATTCTGAATCTACGCATACGATTCCCTTCTATGAAAACGTTTTTGAAGCTCTACGATTCCTAAGGCCTTTTCCAGCAAAAAAAAAGGTGTGCAAATGTTCAGGTGCGCAAAAAAAAGGTCGCATTTGTCCCACTCCCATTTTGAGTCAAACCAAAGCTAAATACACCGGTTTGTTCTGTAAAATTCCACTCGTAAAGCTCTAAAACGGTTGTTTTCTGCAAAATCTCAGCAAAAATAGGCTAAACTGCTGCACCCATTTTACAATGTTTGACACTAAAAGAGGGTCAGAGCTGAAAGTTTGCAAAAAATGAAGTAAAAGTGTGTGCTTTAAATGATGTCAATGCACTTTTTGAAAGTAAAATGCATCTCTGAACAAATAACCGCCACGTTTTTTTAACTAAAGCTTATTAAATCAACTATCGAAATTGACGCAAGAGCTAAGTTTTTGCGGTTAAATAGGCGAATAAGGGTTTGGCTCTAAGCCTATTTCTTTGAGTTTATTTTAGTTCCAGTAACCGTATAGGGCACAAGTAAAACAAATTTAAGCGCCGGAACCATGTTTTTAGCAAGAAAACTGCAGAGCTTTACAACGTTTACTTCACGTCTTAAACCCTTTTTTTCAGTTTTTCTTTTCTTTTTTGTTGATTTTATACCAATTTTACTACTACCTAATTAATTTTTTTTTCTTCTAGAATAACGGGCATTAGCGAGTTATTTGATGATTTACCAACTATAGCAGCGCCGTAGGTGACGCCCATGCTAGCCCATGATGCACGGCCAGGAAGTAACCTCCTGCCTCACACCGTATTTTTTTAAATGGACCGAAAACTACGTGACGCGCAGAGAACGCACAAAAAATATTACCCGATTGAGTTAGGCCGCTCTGCCCAACACAAAAACTATCAGCTCTAAAATTTTTGTGTAAGACGTGAAGTAAACATTGTAAAGCTCTGCAGTTTCCTGCAGCTCTGCAGTTTTCTTGCTGAAAAACATGATCCTAGCGCTTAAATTTGTTTTGTTTGTGCTCTATACAGTTACTGGAAACTAAAATAAACTCAAAGAAATAGGTTTAAAGCCAAACCCTTATCCGCCTATTTTTCCGTTTTTGCAAACCTTGCACAGTTTTAGGTTTCGAAAACAGACAGTCTGTATTTTTGCAAGTTTCTGTTCCTTCGAGGTGTTAAAATACTAAAAAACTAAAAATAGTATCGACAGGGTGTCCCACAATTATGGTGACAAAATATCATCAAAAGTCTATCGACCTTATTTTGTCAAAACAAATAGTAATAAAAACTTTTTTTATTCAAAACAACTGCAAAAAGATTACAAAAAAACATTTAGAGTTCAAAATGGCCACCGCGCAATGGCATTAATACATTTTCTTAAGCGCTTTAGGAAATCATCAATGCCTTTTTCAATGGTGCTGATAGAGATTTCGTTCCATGCCTTGATTAAATCTCGTTTCAAGGAGTCAATTGATTTGTGAGCTTTAGCATATGCCTCGCTTTCAAGAATCGACCATATTGGGTAATCTAAGAGATTGAGATCGGGCGAGTTTGATTCGCCTTGGCGTTGTTGACTGATGTCTACGGTGATGATGATTGATGATTTCCCAAAGCGCTTAGGAAAATGTATTAATGCTAATAGTGGCCATTTTGAACTCTAAATGTTTTTTTAATCTTTTTGCAGTTGTTTTGAATAGAAAAAAAAGTTGTTATTACTATTTGTTTGCCAAAATAAGGCCGATAGACTTTTGTTGATATTTTGTCACCATAATTGTGGGATAATTAATAATTAATACACCCTGTAGATTGTTTCTATTTCAGAAAACTTCTCTCCACTCCAAGGCTCTCCGGTTTTTGTGTGGCCCCGCTTCGCGACACCACGAAATTGGTCGTCTTCGGCCTAAAGCGCCACCTCGATCCACCGTGCCCGGAACTTGAGCACTTGATATTGGATTTTAATTTATCGGTAAGGAACTTTATTAAATTAAATTAACTTATTAAATTCAGATCGAGTCCGTACAACGGCCCGATCACACTTTCGTCGAAGCGGCCATCAAGTTCACACTCTTTTTCTGGCTGGAAGCTGAGGGGTTGGTTTTCCAAAAATTTAAGAATCTTGTTTTTTCTAGATACGCAAAAGTTGGCGACGCGTTGATGCCACATGACAGTTTATTCGCGCCACCACATGAAGGAATGCTTCAAATCGGTAGGTTTTCAAATTCACGATTTGATCCAAGATTTTTCTTTAGCTTTTAACATAAACGTTTCGCCGGACTACGATGTTGATGTGAGCTTTATGGCGAGAATGGTTCGTGTGCAAGTGCTGGAGGAATGGCTGTTTGAACGATGCAATAGTCAACTGCAAGAACGATGGGTGTTCGTGTTACCAAAGTAAGCTTAAATAAGTGGAAAGCAGAAGTTGGCTTAAGAAAAGTTGCCCTGCTCCGGGAGTAGCTCGAGCTGAGCTGGCATGACTCACTCAAGGGGTAATTGGTTAAGCTAAGATTAGGCCAAGAATCCGTGGTTAGCCCGTGGCCCAAGCTGTGCTAACCTGGCTCAGAGGTCTGTAGGCCAGGTCAAGTCGTGGTGGACCTGGTAGTAGAATAGAATACCAAAATACCAAAATGCACTAAAATACCTGGCTCAAATTTCCTTAATTTATGTGTCATAACTTTTCTAGTGAATTTCTCCCACTTTGACTTTTTTTGTCTTTCATTTAATTTAGTCCTCACGGAACTCCTTTAAGTCTAGTTTCGACTCAAATCAAATTTTTGCCAGAGAAAGGCACAAGATCTAGGAATTTCTTTGCGAGAATCAGTCTGAAAAGCGGAGCACTTTTGAATCGAATGAGAAATGTGAAACTGATAGAGCCTTCAAAGACAGATTGTGGAAGAAGGCCGTTGACTCAAAAAAGATCTGAAATAGAGATTTTGTAGGCTGTTATAGTTATAGAGCAAAAGTTCACAGACTCGCGAGAAGATCTGAAGAAGAGATTGCGCGAAAAATTCCCTCCTATCTCTCCTCAAGTTTCTCCAGTTCCTTTCCATGGCATGGAAAATTGCGCGGGAAACGAGCGGAGAACCTCTCAATTTTTCCCTCATCTCATCTCCTTTTCACTCTTTTTTTTCCTTTCAGTCGTCTCGAGTTCTTGGGCCTTTTTGTGCGTGCGTGAATTGGATCTTGCCCATCTCTTCCATTTTTTTCAGCGATTTGCTTTCTTTTTGCTTCTTCTTTGCTTTGAGTTCATGTGTCTTCAAGGGGAGATGTTTGCACAGGAACGCCACCTTTTTAACTCGAGTCTTTTCTATGAGAAAAGGAACGATTCTTTGAAAGTTGCCATTGCTAGACTTGGTTTATCGTCCATTTGAAGTACTTTTCATTGTTTTCCATTGCAATTTAGACAGGTTGAATGTAAACTCGCCTTTTGTGGTATTTTTAAGCTCAATTTTCAGCCAATCAGGTTTACAGACCTGCTGATTGTTTTCAAACTTGCTTTTCCAAAGTCTATTTCAGCTAAAGATCAGTCCGATAATTCATCTTTGACTTAAAAATTCTGCATTTGCTACCCCGACCTCATTATCCGTTCCCTCTTTCTGCATAATTTGTGTGTGGTAAGCGAGATTTCGCAAGTGTTGACCACTCTAGGCGTACATGCCCAGTTTCAATACTCATCTTTTTTTTTTCGTTTTTGTCCTACTTGCATTTAAAATCCTATTTTTTTTAGCTATGCGCTAATTTGTTATCTTTTTATCTAATAATTTGCATTCCCAGCCAAGAACCCTTAATTTTATTCATTTCTCCAACTCAAAATGTCCCCAATTCCTCAAGAACCATAGAAAAAACTACTTTATCTACTCGCTGACGTGATCGATGCGGTGTGGCGGGTGGGACTGGGTATAGCCGAGGAAAGAGGTCGGCCGTGGTTTGAGCGCCGTCGCCGCCGAAAACCCAAAGACCTAAGGCATTGCTGTTGTGTGCTGGGCAAAGGAGTGTAGCTCTAGCTGCCTTTTCTTGAAGGCTTTTCCCTTGAGGGACGTTTCCTTTCTCTTTTCCCGGTCTCTTCCCACTCCGGGGCTCATTCTCGCTCTCCTTTCTCTCTTCACAGCCCCATCTTTTGGCCAGCTTTGGGAGTGAGGCGGCTTTAGGACCCGGCACATACTTTTTCTCCTTCTCCGTCTTCTCCGCGGACTTTCCCCTCGCTCAGATGTCTTTACATATGGGTTTCGAAAGCTTTTCTGTTTATCACTTGAATATTGAAGTTTTATGTTAGGGTCTGATCTGGATTTTTGAAGATTTTTTTGAAACTGATTTGACTAATTTTTCTTTATTTATCCGGCTCTTTAAGATGCATTTTTTTGCTAATCCCGGCCAACGATTAGCCCTCACACTCATCTCATTAGCGTTTGTTGATGCGTTTGGCTCTTTTTTTTCTTTTACGACCATGTAGGCATCACTTTTTGAGTGAAACTCATTTGGGTGGCATTTTGAATGGAAGTTCTGTAAAAGTCGATTTTTCCAAATTAAAAAATCAAATTATCTTTCATTTTTAAACTGAGGTACATAGTTGTTTGCCGACCGTACTCCATTTTTCTATCGGACCTGATTTGGCCTGATCAACAAATCCTAGGATCAGCACATTTTATTTTTGAGCATTATTTGGTTATTCTTGTTCTAGGTCATCATTGAGTAGAACTCATTTCGCCGACCGGGGATCACTACATCTGCCTATTTTCTCATTCATCACACGCCTTTTTTGATTGACAGCCGGCTCTGGGGCTCAACTCTCTTTTTCTTTCCCTCTTTCACTCATCCAGTTATGACCTCTTTCTCCTTGATACTCCTCGATATGGCCTCAATGACACGCCATTCACTACATTTTTTATGTCGAAGCCAGCTCTCTCCCTCTTCGAATTGCCAAGCTATACATGTAGTAGAACATAATTTTAAAGTAAATCATGATTTTAGGAGTTTAAAAATTTTTAATTCAAAACGTGCGATTTTCAAATTCAAACCGTTCGCTTTCCATTTGCGATCAGACAATGCAAGTCTGGGGTGAATCATCTTGCTCTTTTCTTTCTCGCCGTTTTTTTTGTTTTCTTTGACATTTTGCCATCCGATTTGATTGGCGATTCGTAAAATAACACATGTGTGTTTGAAAGGAAAATTTTGAGCCACCAGATTTTGTTCTTTGAATTTATTTGATTATAGAAAAGCAGACAAAGTCAGTTTGATCAGCAGATCCGGACCAGGAACAAGTTCAGGAAAATTTGGACAAACTGTAGCTGGGGTAGGACGGTAGATTATAATTAAGTTCAACTATTGCATAAAAGCTAATTTTTTAGAAAGTGTCCGAAACAAGCTTTGCAACAACAACAAGCTCCAACGTTGCGTTTATCTATCTTTCTTTCCGGCACACCTCTTTGAAAGCTACATCTAGTATGGAGAAATCTGCATTGCAACCGCTGCTTGTGGTGTCGGGTTTTGCACTCTCTAATGTTCCCGTCGCTTTCAAGAAAGTCAAAGAGAGGCTGTTGATCGCTGGGAGGGTCATCTGTTGCCTTGGACTATTCAATTGATAGAGGAAAAGGGGATGAGATCAGTCAGGCCCATCTTTTTCATCATTTCTAGGACTAGTCTCTCCGAGAATCTGCCTCTCCTGCTGCGTTCTGTCTTTGTTCTTTCAACCCGACTAACCTAGCGATGGAGGGCAGCCGGTCCTGTATATTGGGGAGATAGAAGGGGAGACAGGACACGCGCCATCTGTCGCTCTTCCCCTTTCTCTCTCACTAGACACACCGGGTCGACCCCCCTTCCCCTTTTTTTTGATTTTCTTTTCATTTCCTCACTGCCATTGTTAAGTTGTATCATTCTTTTTTTTGAATGATACAATTTATTTTGAATGATTTGAATGAATAGACTTTGTGAAACACGATTTTATGACGAGTCTTGTGAACTAATGTGAACTAATTCGATGACTGATGGTAAATTTGATGTCTGTTTTGAGTTTTGACTGGAGAAGACTTTGTAAGTCTTACGACCAAACTGGTTAGGTCAACCGTTCTTACGATTAGGTCTACTTGACTTGAGATTAGGATTTTGATCAGTATCAATGCCTGTCATTGCTTACTTGATTTTCAGCTTCTTTCTGGCTCTATTTTGGACTTTTATAAGTCGTTTTTGGCCAACTTTGTTATTAACAGTGATTTAAGCAGCTTGAGGCCAAAGGTAGATTCTTTGTAGATTGTAGATTGTAAATTGAAAGCTCATTTCTGGAGAATTTTGTTCAAAACACCTCTTTATGAAATAAATTAAACCTCGAAAGTTAAAACCGTGCATTAAATTTAAAACTCATTATGCAAGTTAAAGAGATTTTCTGACCGGATCCAGGATTTACTGGATCTAGTGAACGGGTCACCGCTTGATGCCGGTTGTTTTCCCAAATCGTTGTCCTTTCACTCACTCAGCCCTACCTTTCTTTGTGTCTTCTCTCCCTTTTTTTGTCCCAATGCCCTCTGTTCTTTCTTTTCTTCAATGGCGCTTTCTTCACTTTTCTTCCCAATGGCTTTCCACTTCTTTTCACTGCTTTCCTCTTGCGATTCCCCCTTTTCCTCAATCCAATCCTCATTTTCCCATCGTGTCATCGACAACCTTGTCTCCCCCACTAGTCTGCCCCAATCCTTGCTTTTTTGATTAAACAAAAATTTGGCCAAGAAATTTAGTGATCTTGCTGAAGCTTCCATCTTTAAAAAAAAATTAATTCTTATGCTAGAGTTTAGAACGTTATTGTACTGACAAATCCACTTTTTTTGAGTAAAACAAATCAGCCCAATGAACTCATTGCTTCGTTTTAGACATTTAAAGCTAAACATTCATCCAGTTTTATCCCAGATATTCCCAGTTTTATATTGTCCAGTACATTAGGGCGAATTAGATCCCAAACTTTTGACTTTATGTTTATGAAGTTGAGTCAAATTTTATGGTTTAATTAATCTCTCCTCATTCCAGGCTCGGTCGCGGCCGTGTGGTGGGCGCTCATCGGGCGCTGCCCGCGCACTCTCCGTTTGCCACCTACGGACAACTGCGAGAGTACTGGAGTGAATCGGTTGGTTTTTTTGAGATTTTAGGTTACTAATTTACAGATTAGAGAAAATGTTCATACCTATGTTCTTTTTTTTAGTATGGATACACACTTCCACCACGGGATCCCGATTGCTACTATGATATCAAGTTCAACGGAATGAGGCACACGTTCTTGTAAGTTTGCTAGTTGCAACTGCTTAATTTCATCTTTCTTGTTCAAATTTATGTGGTTTCCCTTTAGATATCCGTATTTTCTCGTGTGGGCGCAAAAGCCGGAGCCAATCCATTTTATGGCATCAATGGAGCACGAGCGAAATGTTTGTTTAGAAATTTTTGATTAGATTAGTGATTTAATAGATTTAATAGATTAGTGATTTGCTAAATTTCAGGCATGCAAAGAGTTTCTCGTGTCGTTGAAGAACTGTTGTCAGGGACGAGTGATTGGTGGCTTCGAAGTTGATGGTGGGGTTTAGAGAAAAACTTGATAGTCTAAAATTAAGCATTTTGGCATGTGAAGATAAGATTTCAGCAGCTTGAACACCGTCAAATTTTCCGTTTTAGTTAGACTCAAAGCCGGCGAAGTGAACAAGATCACCGCTTCTGTGGCCTCGTTGCAACAACGGCGACAACTAATGGTGCCGAAATTGGTGTGTTTTTATTTTGTTATTGATCATCTCTATAATACGTAAATCTTGAAATTTTGTTCCAATACTTGAAACCTTCCAATTCTCATAGAACCTAGGCTTACTTTTATGAAGCCATTAGTAATTCATTTCCAAAATTTTCAGGGTCCATTTCGACCGGATGCCCCATTTAAGCGGCCGATAATTGTCTCACCGGAGGAAGTGAGGAAGAGGAGAGAGAAATGAAGCGGCAAGAGCAAAGACAAGAAGGATCACAACAAGGCCCAAGACTGCAACAACGAGCAGAAGTAAAGACTTGGAGAGCACAAGAAGAGCCACATCAGCGATCACAAGAGGAACAACAAGCCCAAGCGAAGTCTTGCAAGGTTCTAAAAGCCTCACAGCAACAACGATTGCCACTGCCATCGCCAAAATGGAAACCTTCCGTGAAAGTTGAGGAGGACTCGTCAAGTGAAGAGGATTTCCTGACCAGCAAATTATCGAGTGGGGTTTTTTGAAATTTGTTGGTTTAAACTTTTGAAACTTTGCATAGATTTTTGTTTTAAAAGGTAAAACTAGGCTCTAAAAATATGAATTCTATCTTTTCAGGCTCCCGTACCAACTTGGTGGAGAGTATCAAGCCGACATTTGGATATCAGAAAGTTTCTCCGGCTGAAATGGCAAAGTCTCTTGGGAAAAAGGTGCGTTTTAGCAAATTTTATCCACTTTGCTTTGTATTGGATAAACTTTTGAATAGATTTTGTTAAATTTCAAGCGCTTTTCAATACTTTTGTTTAGAGAGATTTCAACGCGAGTTTGACGAGCGATTTAGAGCCACTCGAGAAGAAGAAACGAGGATTTCTAAGGGAATTTCAGCACTCAAATGAAAAGGTATTCAATTAATTATTTGGCAAATTTTTGAGACTTTTTTCCAGTACTATATTAAATTTCACCCGTATCTGTCTCAAGATATCTTATGCCAAATTAGCAATTTTAAATCACTAACCATTTTTTTAGAAAACTTTCGCCGGTCCATCCTTCTCCTTGCAAGTTCCACAATCGGCCACTCAACTCGCGAAAGAACAGCCGGCTAATAAAGAAATGAAACTTAAGCAGGTAAAATTTGCAGAACTTTATCCAGATTTCTTGTTTTCTAGGTCTCCTTCTCGAAGCTGGCCGCTGATGCTTCAAAAAGTGTCGAAGATCCACCGCAAATGCCCGTCAAATCGTCTCTTTCGTACAAGCTGAAAAGGAGTTTCGAGGTGGCGGCGAAGGTGAGGGTTTGTAAATTTAGTAAAAGGCAGTTAAACGCGTTGGTTAGAGTTAAGATTTTAGCATAGCTTTTTATCGCTTTATGGCCTGCCTGGCCTCAAAAATTTTGTTTAGTTTAAGTATAGTTTAGCGCCAGGCTTATGGCCTAGAAGACCAGTCTGCCTATAAGCGATAGTGAAGAAAGTTTTAAGGCTTGTAAATCGAAGTTGGTGCTTTAAAAACGATTATCATACTACATCCTTTAATGTTTTCATTCAGACATCATTGGACACTTCAATGGCCACGAAGGATCTCGGTGATCGTGTTGATGAAGTGAGGCCATTGGAAAGGATTGAGCGAAAGAAAGAGAGGACACCTTTCACGACTCAGTCCCGAAACGGCGATCCCGAAAAGATTTGGAGAAACCTTTCAACTCGTTCAAGCGACACCACCAAAGCCAAAGCCTTTGCTGAAAAAAGAACAGGTAACGTTTAAAGTTCACTGATGCAAACAGCTTTAAATTGACTCTTCTAGACCTTTGCCACTTCATCGCCAACCGGGAAGACCCTGAGAACACCGCTGCTGGATCTGAAGAATAAAACGATGCCATCTCAACGCGTCTCCCAGCCCAGGGCTGAGCCTAAAAACGAGAAAGTGGGTGGATTTTTATAAGCTAGAAGTGCCTCGGATTTTGAAAAATTCCTTTTTTATTTTAGACAAACTTTGCCACTCCATTGATGAGGAAGCCGGGTACATCACACGCTTCACAAGTCGTCATTGATGTGCCGAACACTCAACAGCGACCACCACCTGACCGCTCTCAACTCTCACAAGTGAATCCCAGCCAACCATATCGGGTTGTGCTGAGCGATGGGATCTATCCGATTGGATCAACTCCGGTGAGGCTTTATCCATTTATTATCAATCTAATAAGATGACAGGGCTTGGCTGATCTATCTAGTTCTGACATGACCTACCCTGTCTTCAGACCAGGGATGTTTTAACCGGACTCTAGAACCTGTAAGCTAGGCGCTTACAAGCTTACTAGTAAATCAAAACACACCAGTTGAGGTTAGGCAAATTTATATCTTTACTTATTCTTGATTCAAAAATAGCTTGATCCAAAAATAAATTGATCCATTCTATTTTCAGCGTCGTACGCCTCACCGCATGCCGAACATCGAATTCTAGGATCGGAATCGATTTGGTTTTGTTTTTTGTTAGCAAAATAGCTTTATTTCTTGATTCTCACAATAACCCTTACTCATAAAATGGTGTCATATTTTCTTTCCCCCTTTTCTTTTTACCTCTAACCTTCAGCAAAATGTGAGATTTATTCAGAAAGCTGGTATCCACAAAAAGAAATGTGCTAAAAGCTTTTCATTTGTTTCATTTGACTCATTTTCCTTTTCCTGTCGTTGGGTTGGGGCTGTTGATCTGTGCAAAAAAGCTTCTGTTTCTAATTGTGAATGTAATTTTGAGGATTTGTTTTTGAAGGTTTGTTTTTATCTTTTTGTGTAAATTTACTTTTGTTACCCGAAGCTCTTTTCCCTGAACAGATCTTTTTCAGCTCCGATCACTGAGCATTGTGATACTTTGTTTTTTGTGCAGGGCGCGGATTGTGCTCCTGGACTATTTCTTTATATGTGAACTCTCGTTATTTGGGGAAAACGTTGCCAGGCTAGGTTTTCTATAATTCCCGAAAAGCTTTACTTTGTCTCGACTGCTTTAAATTTTTGCGTTTATGAGGTAGATTTGTAGATTTTCCGGTACTTTGGCTACTTTAGACGAAAATTTGCATTTAACGGGAATCTATATACGAACCGCGACGGTTAAATGCAAATTTACTGCTGTCTTTACCACGGAAAGCTACCGTAATCCAAAATTTTACAACGTAATGCAAATTGAGCCAGATTGCGGGATGACCGTAACTTGGTGTGTCCTTTAGCCGCCCGCTTGATTACGGTAGCTTTTTGGGCTAATGTCACAGTGAACTACCGTAATCTGACCCTATGGAGTCGATGGTAGCTAAAGTGTGAAAGGATTTGCATATCTTTATGACAATTTAAAGTACAGTATCTGTTTCCCCGGCTTTTCCTATCGCTTTTCAAATCCCCACACTGATATTTGGTCTGTGAACGATGTCAATCTGTGAGTGAAACCCCGAATTTTTTGATAAACCTCCCCCAATTTCTGATATGATAACTGTAGATCACACTCATTTCTTGAGAAAAAGAAGGTACACAACTGTAATAGTGTTAAAGTTTGATAGCGGTTTATGATATTTTTGTCTTGTTCTTTTTGTCAATAAATTGTTTTTAGTGTGGTTTCTGTTTTTTTGGAAGAGATACTTTCAGTATCAATGTAGTCAAATCAACTAAAGCTACGGAATTGAGCGATACAGTAATACAGGGTGCGGCAAGAGTTCCGACACTTTTTCGAAGAGAAATAAAAGTTGCAAACTTTGGCAATGTTAATCAAAAGAACGATAACAAATTGTTTACTGAAGACAAAACTAACAAAAAATCATAACAAATATTCAAAATTTCTACCCTAGGCCTCGATGCACTTCTTCAATAGCTTGCTGAAGTTGCCGACGATGGTCGCGCATTGCTGAACAGTGATTTCAGCCCAGCCCCTCTTCAAAGTAACTTTCAAAGAATCCACGGAGTGAAATCTCTTGCCAGAGATCTTGTCTTCCAAGATCGACCAAACGGAGAAGTCCAGGGGATTCAAATCGGGGCTATTCGACGGCCAAATGTCCTTACCCCAGTAGCCCGGAAACAGCTGATTGCAGAGAGTCGAGAGTCGAGCGGACTCCATGGGCCGGCGCCCTGTCCTGCTGAGGGGTAAATCCAGTTTGTCCGAAGTGATTCGCTGCCCAGGGCTCTAAGATATCCTTTAACACCTTTTGCTGGTAGACCTTAGCGTTGATTTTCACATTTCGATCGATGAACACATGAGGCGTCTTTCCTGTGGCACAGATGCCGGCCCACACCATAACGGACTTCGGAAAATCTTGGTGGACCATCAATTTGACTGCCAAACTGTTTTTCAGACCTCACTTGAGAAGTTGGCGATGGTTTTGACGATTGTGGATCGGTTGAACGGTGAAGATCTTCTCATCTGTGAACACAACCTTGTCCAAACGACCAGCAGCGACCAGGTGCAAGATCTTCTTCGCTTTAGCCATCCTCTTTTGCTTCATGGCGTCGTTCAGGAAATGAGCCCGAGCAAATTTGTAGCTGGACATTCCAAGTTTCTTATGAACAATCCTTTGAACGCTTCTTTCGCTGATTCCGAGGCTTGTGGCCATCTTTCTCATTGAACGAGTGGGATTTCGACAGATTCGGCATCTGACTTTGTTTATTTTCTATGGGGTGACGGCTGTGGTTGGTCGGCCGCTTCTTGGACGGTCCTGATCGTTGCCCTGCTCCTTGAATCGTTCAATGGCTCGATAGACAGACTTTTTTCGATATCCGGTGACTCGAACAATCTCCATCGGTATCTTTCCGGCTTTGTGCAACTCAAGTATCACAGTGCGCCTCTTTTTAGCATCCAAATTGAAAGCGAACCTAAACAAAAACGTTGTTTCTTGTTAAAAATAAGGAAAAACAGTTTAACAAATGCTAAAAAACAAAAAGTGAGCCAAATACTGTTTTTTGAAATTTTATACAGCCGTTTGAAAAAAGTGTCAGAACTTTTGCCGCACCCTGTACAAGCGCGAAAACGTTTGCCCCAAACTCTTGGTGTTAGCTAGTTGACTTTGCATCAATCAAACAAATTCATGGCTCTCAGGCGCTCATGGCTTTATTCATGGCTTTATTTGTTACATGGTTAGAATCGTATTTACGCGCGGTTTAAAGGGGTTGGCGCGGAAGCAAGCGGCGCGCTTTCTAAAGCGTGGATACGCTACCCTACCCCGCATGAAAATTCCCCTTGGCCATTCCCTGATGGAATCGTGAATGTTGTTTGGTTTTTTATGCCGAGTCCCGCTTGTTTCTTTCCCTTGATAAAATTTAATATGCTTTGTGGCGTGTTTTTAAAGTATAGAAAAGGTGTTTTATTTCCATATCCCGATTCAAAAACTGAAAACCGTTTTTGGCTGATCCTTACCGTTTTCTAGAGCTGAGAACCCGGTTTGGAATGGAAAATCGGGTTTTTCGAGGTTTGGACCCATAACTTCTTTTGGGTTAGAGATCTAAAAACCATTCTGATTTCAAAAATCTAGCTAGAATTTGTGAAAAAAGTTATTTCGTAGTAAGGAAATCATTGATTTATTCGTCACATATTCGCCCTAAAAATCACATTCTTTTTTTCAGCGATAAAACTTTAAGGATCTAGCTGTCAAGTATAAATTAGAAAAATCAGAAACGAGAAAAAAAAGGGTTTCTTTAATTCATGCCAATTGTGGCAGCTGTTAATTCGATAGAGAAAAGCGTCTGGAGGCCGATGAAAGTAAAGGATCTCGCCATTCTCCCCAAGTACGAACTTCTTAACAAGTGGAATTTGAGCTTCAAGGAAGATAGAAGTGAGTTGCTCGTAGCTCAGATCCGACCTGCTCACTAGAGCCCCTTCACATTGAATGCTAAGAAAATCATTGAAATGATTGCTCCTCACGAAGAATTTCACACAATCCACAAAACTCGCCCCATTATCGTAACATAGTATGGGCAAGGCATCTTCTTTCATTAACAAAAACTTTTCTTTGATAAGGTCAAAAGGAAGAAATCCCAAATAGAGACGCTCACAGAGCGCCCAGCGATTCTCCATAAATCGCAGAACTCCACGATGAACGTCACGAGAAACGTCACGATTGCCATGTGGAAAGATGATTGCCACGCTTTTGCAGACTGGGATCGCATTATACATTGAGAGAAGCGAGCGAGTGACGCTGGAATCTTCATTGAATTCGAAGCGTACGAGTTTCAAAGGTTTTCCCTTATTAATCGGCAAAAACTTCTGGACATCAAATTTTGGGGAACTCGTCCCGTATTCATCAAGACAGCATATTTCCAAATTCGCGAAATGTGCGAGCCTTCGAAAAAGTCGCCCGTGAAGGGGATTCAATCGCACGTGAGATCCATCTCGTTCGTACGCTTACATTTTGCTCGAGAAAGAAAGCTCAAAGTTATCTCTTGTTAACAAACTGCCACAACGTAAATAAATGTGAATCGCACTTGCCGTTCAATGCAGTTCTGATCCGACATTCCTTTTTTTTCCATAGGCTTCCGCGGCATCACCTCGAAAGGCCGGAGACTGGGGCCTGGTCCTAACTTGACACCTTGGCCTGACCTGGCTTAACTCCGGTATGAATTAGTGGAAGAAAATTCCAACCGGAACCAATTTTCCATAGCTAAAAGGTAGCTAAAATGTTTCCCCATCTCAGCTGAGCCTGAGTATACGGTAGCTGAAATATGAAATAATTTCCATATCATTATGGAAATCTTTATGGAAAATTTAAAGTACAGTACCCGTTTTCCATTTTCCGGCTTTTCCTTTCTTTCTTTTCGAATCCGCCATTGATTTTGTCTGTGGTGAATTTTCACACTCTCATTGATTCTGAGACCAGATGTGAAATTTCCAAATAGAAGGCAAAATGTCACTACAATTACGTTCGCGCTGCTTTGCTTTGGGCATTTTTCACGCCTTTAGCCTTCCAATCATCCAAATACATAACTTTTTCTCTAACAAAAAAAATTCATGACTTTCCAAAGTTTCCCCTCTTTGCCGTCTCTTCTCAAAACAGGGATTCTGCATAAATTGAAGGTGTTAGAGGCACATCAATTGCTGAAAGTGAATCACGATCTGCGCTCATTCGTCCTATTTTGTAGGCTAATCCCCTCAAATTTCGAAAATGTTGAAGTGCGACTGTTCAACCCGGAAATAGATCAGGACAACGGACGAATTGTGGCAAATGGGATTGGCATTTCTTTATTTTATAACAGTAAATCACGAGAAGAGTACTTTTGGCTTAGTTTTTTGAGCGACGGGATCTCGCGCCGTGGAAGTAGTGTGACGGTGCAGGTGAATCCCCTTCACGGGCGACTCTTTCAAAAGCTCGCACATTTCGCCAATTTGGATATAAGTTGTATTGAAAACAACACGAGTTCCCGAAAATTTGATGTCCAGAAGTTTTTGCCACTTAATAAGGGCAGGCCTTTGAAACACGTAAGCTTATATTTCAA